AATTCACATAAAACCTTTGAGGGTGCCCTTTTTCGCCTCCAAACGACGAAAAAGGACACCCCCCTCTTAATTCTACCGTCTATTTCTACCTCCTATCGCGCACCTGCGATTCCAACTTCACCCCATAAACGTATTCTTTACATAATATTAGCCTATCATGTCATCTTGCATATTCACGTCGTTCCAATATCAATTTCATTACTTCCGGCTACTCTTTAACTCTTTATCCATTCTACCTACATACATATATATATATATCTCCTCACCCACCCATAGCCTCGCACATCAACCCCCACCGCCGTCTTTGCTCGCTGGTTTGCAACACGCCGCCGGCAAGCGCGCCTCATTTCCTTAGGGATATTTTTTTCCCCTCCAAATCGCTTCTGGACCGGGACGAAAAAGGGCACCCCCTGTAATTTGTAGTGTCCTAGGTCCCCTAGGCGTGTCTATATATATGTATGTAGCACCTGTTATCCGTAATTATTTATAGATATATTATTCAATCAATTTTATAATATAAGTCATATTGCTTTTGGCTCAAGACCACTAGAGCCCGCATTTGCACCGCTCGCCATAGAAAAGTGTGCTCTCTGCCGTTCGCGCACTTCGATATTGCGCTATCGAGTCTATTGGGTCTTATTTGATATTATCGATCAGGTCTAGCGTATTTCACTCTCATTTTGGGGAATTTACCCCTCACCCCCCCAAAACCTATGTCTTCTATTTTCCTTTTCTACCCCCTATGAGTGTATTTGCGATGCCAATTTCACCCCATTAAATTGATCTTTGCCCGATATTAACCCATCATTTCCTCTAGAATGCCAAATTTTTGCCCGGACCTGCCCTGAGGGCACCCCCTAAGCCAGAGGGTGGCTTTCGTCCCCTCCCTTCTCAATTATATTTCTTCGGATTATTTAGATATGGATATTATAGAAATATATTTGTAATATATATATATATTGTTTTTCGATTATATATTTAATATCTAAATAGATATTATTTTGCTTTTAAGATATGACTGTAATTAATTATTTAATATTGGAGAATTAAAAATATATAGTCGATAACATGTTTTTATTATTATTCAATATGTTTATATATTGATTGATTATTGAAATTTCAATAATTGTAATAATGTATAAAAGAATAAATTTTAGTATATATTTTGCGAGGATTGTTATATTTCTTTATAGGATGATATTAATTTTGATAAAATAAATAGAAAATTATATATCTTTCCTAAATTTTATCATAAATATATCTAGATATATAATCAATATGGGGATCCCTTATCTATACGCAATAATTTGATTATTTCATTGATTTTTGTAATATCATGAATTTGATTCTTCTTTTTTCCTCAAAATATGTATTGCGGACGATGCCATCTATCGCCACGTAGATAATGAATAGGAAGACAAGATGAAATATATAGGATGAAATAGGAAAGATAAATGCAATCTGTAGGCCCGGTTTTCAGAGACCAGGAGAAAATTACAAGATTTATGGGATCAATATTAATTGTATTGTGTGCGTACGTCCATATGCACCTTATTTCATCGAATGAATCGGTCATGACCAGGGTCATAAGTGCCAATATAATTGGATACGATCAGATATAAAAGATCAAGGCAATTCATTCCATATTTGCTGCTAATTTATTGGACTAATTGAGAATTCGTATTTGAACCCTTCGGGATTCTGATATTCAATATTTGCCTACATCAATCATTTCCAATTATTCGATCATTGAGGACATAAATGCCAAATCCTGATGCCTAATAGATTACCAATTCTTAAGACGATTATTTTACATCAGAATTGATATCATTTATTTATGTTTATAATACGATTTTAATTAAATTCGTATTAATTTCTCAGAGAATAGTGTATTATTTAAATACAATTTATTATATAAGAAAAATATATTTAAAATATGAAAATACATAATATTTGTATATTTCAATTAATATATTCAATATATCAAATTATAAATTTTCAATTGTTTTTCAGATAATTAATATTTAATAAAATATAAATTTAGATTTTATGTATTAATTATATTATTTGATTCCATTAATTTAAAAATATATTAGTATATATATATATATCAATCAAATATATAGAATGTCATAAATAATATATATAAATATATTATATTCAAAATATAAATTTATTCGTAAATTCATATATATAAATCAATAATAATATTGAAATATATATTTCAATAATCCTTCATATCAATATATAAAATCTAAATTTATAATATCATTTATTATTTATAATTCTATTCCTTATAGTAATCCGCAAAAAATCGAAATTTTCAAATATAGAAGAATTTATATATTTAATATATCATTATTATGTAATTTAATATGGGGCAAGTTTTTTGTAATCCTTAAACCCTTTTTCTTTTTCATCCCGCCCTTTTTTTTTCACCCTCCACCTTTCTTTTTCACCCTCTGAACATTTCTTTGCACCCTCGAACCTTCTTTTTTTCACCCTCTACCCTTCCATTTTGACCCTAGACCCTTTCTTTTTCACCCTCCTTCCGTTGTTTGGTGTGTTGGTTTGTTGGCTAGCTTATTGTAGTGCAAATCAAATATCGACAGCCTTTGAGGAAAACAGAGGGTCGTGTGATTTTGGTTGCTTGGATTGTTGGTTTCTTGGCGGGCTACCAATGCAAGGCAAATATCGACAACAATTGTTGAGAACACAATTTGGTTGCTACCCTTTCTTTTGTATCCCATTTCCTTTGGTTGGTGTATTGGCTGGTTCGGCCTGCTTGGCTTCTTGGTTGCTTGGATTTGGTGAAAACACATACGGTGATGGATGGATTATGGACAGGGATAAATATATAATTTTTGCGCGTTGGTTGATTGGTTTGTTTGCCATGATTGTTTGCGTGATACAGTGTTTGATGGATATGCAATGTTTTCTGTTTGTGTGTTTGGTTGATGGAATAATGGATGGATGGATGGATGGGTGGATGATAAGAAGGAAGGAAGGATGGATGGATGGATGGATTGATGGATGGATGTTGTATAAATAAAGACGGGAGGGGGTGTGGGGGAGGGCGTAACGCCTTCCCCGCAATGCGAACCAAATATCGACAGCATTTGGGAAAAACGCAGGGTTGCGTGGCTTTGATCGCTGGGTTTGTTGGTTTCTTGGCGGGCTACCAATGCAAAGTAAGTATGGACAATATTTGGGGAAAATGTTTGCTTGTTTGGTTTGTTTGTTGTTGGTGGGCTACCCACCCTTTCTTTTATATTATCCTTCCTTTGGTTGGTGTGTCGGTTGGTTCAGCCTGCTTGGCTTGTTGGTTGCTTGGATTTGGAGAAAACACATACGGTGATGGATGGATCATGGACAGGGGCAAAAAATGTAATTGTTTGGTCTGTGTTAGTTGTTTGATTGAATTTTTCTGTTTGTGTGTTTGGTTGATGGAACAATGGATGGATGGATGGGTGGATGGCAGGAAGGAAGGAAGGATAGATGGATGGATGGATGTTGTATAAATAAAGACGGGAGGGGGGTGCGGGGGAGGGTGCGCCCTCCCCGCAATGCGATCCAAGTATCGACAGCATTTGGGAAAATGCAGGGTTGCGTGGCTTTGATCGCTGGATTTGTTGGTTTCTTGGCAGGCTACCAATGCAAAGCAAGTATCGACAGCATTTGGGGAAAGAGTTTGCTTGCTTGGTTCGTTTGTTGTTGGTGGGCTACCCACCCTTTCTTTTATATTATCCTTCCTTTGGATGGTGTGTCGGTTGGTTCAGCCCGCTTGATTCGTCGGTTACTTGGATTTGGAGAAAATATATGCAATGAGAGATGGATCATGGACAGGGGCAAAAAATGTAATTTTTTGGTGTGTTGGTTGTTTAATTTAATTTTTCTGTTTGTGTATTGGTTTTTTCTTTTTCATTTTCCTTCCTTTAGTTAATTGGTTTGGATCCTGTGTTGCTTCACGTTCCGGAGGCGTCCGGGTCAATTCCGTCGTATCGGACAATTTCTGCGCAATTTCCGGAGGGTTTCGAAGGATTAATCACGAGAAATTTTTAAAATGAAATTAAAGATTTGACAAACACAGATAAGCGGTATAAAACAAACCGAAGGCGACATCGTTCTCTGTTCAGATTCCAATATTACCTGCTTCATCGGCGAAAGGTTTATTTAAAAAAAATCGAAGGATCAAAAAAAACATATAAAAAAAAAAAAAAAAAAAAAAAAGAAAAAAAAAAAAAAAAAAAATAAAAATAAACTAAAATCTAAAGGAAATATGCTATAACATAAATATAATAGAATTCAAAAGAAAATAAACAATATTAGTTTTTTTTTTTTTTTTTAAATAACCATAACATAAGAAAAATAAACAAATTTAAGGAATGAAACATAAATAAAAAAACGAAAATTAAAAAAGAATCCATTAATATATAATTAAAAAATCATTTATATATATATAAATTATATTCAATAAATTGTTAATATAAATTCTATATTTCATATATCTATATTATTATTCAAATTAAAATTAATCCTAAGATATTCAAAAAAATTTAAATTATATAATTTAATATATTTTACATATTTTTAAAATATATTAAATAAAAAACACTAAATTATATTTAAATCAAAATGTATATTAATATATAACATTAATTATATAATAATATAATTATTAAATATTAAATTTATTTATTTTAGTTAAAATATATTCTTTAAATCCAAATCATTATATATTCTTCAATATATATATATATTATGATAATTATGTTTATTATATAAATTTATATTCCCATATATTTTTCGTGGATAATTTATTTCAGCTCTTGTGGAACACCAACATGCCCCACGGTTGCTAAAAAGAATCGACTTTGATTGTGTCATTGTTGTCGCGTAGGCTTGAAACTCCCCCCGATTCGGAGAAATGCTTAGATTTCTCAGGGCAGAGTACCTCTCTCGGATTGCTGTGGGCCTCATCTACTGTGCAAAACCCTTCTGTCAATTCCATTTGTTCAGCAATCCGGATCCCCATCGCTGGAGATGATGGAGGCAGCAACGCATGCAACGCATGAACACCGTGGCAGCAACGCATCCGGCGGGTCGAGCTGGTCTCGGGATCGCTGGAAGCCAACAGGAAGGGATCTCACGAAGCCGTCATAAACCTCAGGGAGCGGGAAGAGCTGCTCCATTCCCAAGAGGGTTCCTTCTGCTTTCAAAAGATTCGGGAGCCTTTCCAGTTCGATCAACCAAGGAGAAGCGACAAATGAAGTATGAAGCATCATGAAGCCATGCATGCAAATGGCTTCTCCCAATGCAGAAGTCATAAAAGAACACACATGAACAGATCAAATCCGCCCGAATAAATAAATTAATGGGTGACAATGTGCATTTATATATACAAAAAATAGAGAGAGAGAAACATATTGAAAAAAGCATACCATCGCCGGTAAACAGTCGCCCAGTTGCGGGATCATCTCTGATTCCCCAGGATCGCCAGCAGGTGGTGGAGGAATCCGAACCTCCAATTCTACACGCCAATTGGCGTTTCTGACCCCCAGAGCCGCAAAAAGCACGTTGTTTGACCAAAAAACGGGAGCGAATCAGATGATTTCTACGTTTTTGGACCAACAAAAATACGCTTCACCAAATCATTCGACCTGTTGGGTTTGAGGGCAAAGCGAACACCCTCACTGCGTCCGCAAAGCGAACACCCGCGGCTCCATGGCGATGCGACGACATCCGGGGCTCCGTGCCACAAGGCTTTGACCCTCCACGACACCGGCTGGAACGGTGACCTGAAACCTGCAAAGGGTGAAGGGCGGAAGAGCACAGGGCAGAAGAGCACAGCCAAGCATTAAGTTGATGAATTATCAGAATGAGGTATCTGATGGTCAGGATGTGGAATGTGCGAGGACTGATATAACATCATACAGTATAACTCATACATACTTAAACAGAAACACCTCTTCAATCTATCAATGATTCAACCATGGCTCAGCCATGCTCAATCAGCATGTTTGCAGATGCCAACCAGCACGAGACCTCGAAAAAAGAAAAACGTGCCTGCCATTGGGCCCCGTTACCTCGAAGGCATCGCCCGCCTCATAGAAGGTCGTTCTTGTTTGGAGGGTGAAGCTTGGTCGTTCTGAATGCTCTAAAACAAGGCTGACGCTTGAAAAGGATGAGAAGAACTGGTCCTTGGGTTGAAGAACTTCCTTGTTCATCTAGGATAAGTTATGAGTTCTGAGGATCAACTTCAACCTCATCGAGCCCACTTCAATCTCACCTGCCTTCAACCAATCGCTTCATTTGTCTGCGTAGCTCCCCCAATCGGTTCAATAGAACCAAACAATGCCGCTAAAAACGCGAGTGTGGTTGCTCCAGCAACATAACCAACTAGTAGTGTTTATCTTGGGCCTATCCTATTGCCAGTAACAGTGGATGATGATGGTTAGCAAAAGCCTTTCTCTAGAATGGTGATAATATGTGATACACCGTTCTGAAAGTTTCTGGCGCAACACAGGGTTCCCGGGAGGGTTCCGGCATGCGCCATCAATGTATTTGTCCTCGGTATTTGGCACCTGTAGATGGCGCATTTACGGGAGAGGAGGGGGTGAAAAAACGCCAACACAAGAAAACAATGAGTTTACAAGAAAAATATTTTAAAAAACAAACAAACGCGCGGTATTGATGGCACAATGCGCCTGTGTCGCCCATGCAACCCGATACAAATCAGTGGAAACCCATTCAAAGCAGTCCAAACCCCACTCAAACCCATCGGCGCCCATCCTACTCTGTTTTTTACTCTTTCTATTCAGCTAGTTCTGCTTTCCAACTGGAGTAACTGGAGTATACAGATGGAGCGTGCCATCAGTGCTTTCCGAGTACGAAGTTTTTTAGCTTAAACCTCGCCCTCTATATAATGTCGGGATGCCTACTGATGGCGCAACTCTACTGTGGTACTCTGGCACTCGTAGATGACGCATCTTTTCTTAAACCGTCTTTTCAGGGCGGAGTAATTGTTTACTAACTGTTCCAGGTAATAGGGCTGACAGCATGTTTATCTCTCATGCAGCCCCAAGCCACTCTTAAGCCGAAGGGAACTGTGACCGTCATGATCTGGTCGGCCAGCTCGCCTGGCATTGGCACACCTCGGCTCGTAGAGTCGGTCACCACCAAGCTGCTTGGCTGACTGGTCCTTCTGTGGTGCGGATCCGAGGAAAAACGACAAACCTGGCCTTGACCACCAAAGGTAGACTGCATCATCTCTTGAGGAGGTGGGAATGGCACAGAGAGTTTATGAGATAAAAGGTCGGCTTTTGTACCCAGCTTGATGATCTCGAGCATGAGATTTTCCTCTTGGGCCAGGGCTTGGGTACTTGGAGTGGTTGGAGATGACTGAAGCACTGAAGTGGTGACTTGTTTAAAAAGGCTCCTGGAGGCTGTATCATGGAATATGTGGAACATCTGGAAGCCCTGGCAATGGCCCAAAAGCCTGCCTTGTCACCAATCCACCAAGGGGTGCTCTAAATTGTTATTTCAAGATATTTCAAGTTATTTCTATCCACTTGTGGCCTTGAAAACAGGGATGGGAGGCTCCCACCTAAAAACAGCAACAGCAACTGGTCCCCAGGAAGCAACTGCCGTCCTGCTGCCGAATCTGTGCAATGTTTCCACGCTTCACTTTGCGATGCTGCAATTCATCGGAGATCTCTTGTGTCAACCGCTGATTGCAACCGCAGCCCGGACACACCATGTTCTGATCGGTGTGAACCTGGGAGGGGGCCCACAAGGCACCAGGGCACAAAAGCTCCCTGTAAACACCATCGATACATCATGAAACCATTGGTGCCGAAAGTTTCGAAAGAGAAGACAACCGCCTTCCTCATGTCCATCTCTGAAGTTCCATCAATCGACTCGTTCGTCTGTTCGTCTGTTCGTCGTGCGGAGTAGTTGATGGCGCCCCTGTTTTCCCAAGAGCTGGTGAACAAATGGGTCCCAATCTGTACATCGTTCAAGGGTGCGGTGATATTGCCATAGGTGGCCGTGGCACCCTTGAACCAGGTGCAAATGGGGAACCCCAGGACTAGGACTAGGTCCCATCAGTTGGGGGAAATACACCGCAAGGCTGTAAGGATTGGGTCATGGGATGCGAAATTCACATAAATCCATCCATATTCTGGTTCTACATGGGACGGACCTGCTAGGCCTTCCAGTTTTCAATGGGTTCACCTGTCACCACGTTCTCCTGCACAACCCGCTGCCACCGCTGTCATCCGCGTCACGTTCACACAGGCTCCGAAGCAAAGCCGCGCGGGCTCTACGGAGCCCAACTGTGCATAGGGCTCGCGCCGCACGGACTTCAAACAACAGCTCTTCTGGCGGAAGATCGCCTCCGGTCGAAACGCGGGGTTCGAAATGGGTGCGAAATGGGTCGGGATCCGGACGGAGGTCGAAAAACCAGGTGGGAGGCAAGGATGAGCAAGGACTAGGTGGGGTGATGTTTGTGACCTCTTTCCGTGCGTTCTGAGCATATGTATATAGGACTAAATGTGCAGTCCTAAGGTGCCGGCCTGGTCATACTTATGTAAGCAGCTAGAGCCATCTTTCAGCAAATGGATTGGTGGATCCCTAGGCCCAGCATGCCACCTCTGCACCACCAAAGTGTCACCGATTGGTGGACCGGCAGTCCATTGGTGCAGTATGTATCGGTATGTCGTCTGATTTTACCCTTCACACCCCAAGGGCCAGGCCTCTTCATCATTGAGTTCCAGGTTGGTGGTCATGCAGCAACAACACACAAAGTCGCAGGCATTCGTGATGTTGAAGCTTCTCTGTGGCATTTGCTCTGATGCACTCAAATGCATTGCCTCTCCTCGTTGAGCTCCTGCACTCGGCAATTGGGGTGGGTTTGGTCCATACACGGCTTGCATGGTTTCCTGCGAAGGAGGATAAGCGACCCCTTGGTTCTTCAGCAGGATGTCCATGCGGATGTCCTCAAACACTCGAAAACATATCCTCCGAACCAACTTTCGACACACTGTGCTACATTGTATGACACAAAGCGTTCAACAGGCTTGCCTTAGCCCTTCTAGTGCATCGCCTATCGTGTCTTGCCACCTGAAACAAAGATCCAGCCTGATCCAGCTCACTTCTTTTATCGCTTGCTCCTGCTCCATCCCTTGTCACTTTGGGGCATCGAGAATTTCAGGCTTTTCCATCACTCGTCTTTCAACATTTTTGTCCTTAGGTTCCTTACTGCGTCTATATTGTAGCTTCTTGTTACTAGTAGCGATGGCCTCCAACCTAATAGCGATTGGCCTCCAACCTCATGTCTCGTCTGAGTCTCTTGAGCTGTCTCTTGTCTCCAAGGCTCGGCTTCTAAAGCCTTGATCATGGTGTTTTCCTGGTTTCGCAGCTGTGCGATGTTCCCGCGGCCCACCTTCCGCGCTTGGAGTTCTTGGGCAATGTCGCGGACACGGTCCGTATCGCCGCACCAGCCCGGAACCATGCCTTGCACGGAAACCATGCGCCGGCCACCGGGTTGCTGGATCATTTCTGCAGAGGGGCAGCTGTTTGAAGCAGGTGGGGGGTGGGTGGGTGCGTGGGTGAGTAGCAAGTTTGTTCTGCCACACGGGCTTTTGTTGAGTGGAAAGTTATGTTAATAGTGGAATCCTGCAATATCCCCAGGTCACTTCTGTCAAAAGGGGAAAAGAGACGCCACTGTATAGTAACGGGACCAAACATTGTATAGCAGGCTGTTGGCACAAGCACATCGCCAGAAGCTGTTGGTTCAAGAACGCATAAGCGAACAGATCTCAGTTGAAGAGAGTCCGGACTCGCCCCCTGCCTGTTCGAACACGCCCCCACCAACGGGGCGTCACGGGCGTAACCTGCCTTTTTTCAGAAAACCCGACGGTGTTACCACCGAGTTGCAAGACCGGGGAACCGGGACCACATGCAAAAGACATTGGTTTTTCAGAATGAAAAGGGCTAAGTCGGCTAAGTGCCACCTCTTGAATGAAGATAATCAAGTAAATTCCGAGTGTCCGTTCACCATGTGACAGCAGCAGCACACGATCTCCTCATCCACTGCTCGAAGCTGTGCATAGGGCTTGCGGTCGATGGAGCTACAGCAGTTGTTGCGGGAGGTTGTGACCATCTGCTCAGACTCCAAGTTGATTTCGCGCGTGGTGCAGCCAGCCAGACCACAGGTCACCGCCAGGCAGCAGCAGTTCAGAAACCTGAGAACGACTACTGACTTGAGGCCAGGGGGAGGAGGTCGAAAGCTAGCGGAAGCGCACCGGACTTTTTCGGCTGAGAATTGTAAAGAGGAAAAAAGTTAAAGCAGGACAAATAAGAGTGCTTATGAAAGGCTGAGGAGAAATAAGAGTGCTCTATTGGGTAAATTTACCCCTCAGATTTTGTAGAAGCTATGGCAAGCATTTCTTGCATCACTGATGTGTGGGTGCAAATAGAGCTGGAGGCCCCCTCTGGACTGCCCCAAAGAAGCTTGACTTACGTTTATATAACTGATACTTTGTAACCGGCAAAGGCCTCCAAAAGTGGGGGGTAAATTGACCCCTCAGATTTTGTAGAAGCTATGGCAAGCATTTCTTGCATTATCTGATGTGTGGGTGCAAATAGAACTTGAAGCCTCCCCTGGACTGCCCCAAAGAACCGGCAAAGGCATCCAAAAGCGGGGGGTAAATTTACCCCTCAGATTTTCTAATTTAAAGCAATGGCAAGCATTTCTAGCATTTTTGATGTGTGGGTGCAGCCCCCTCCGGGTCTTGAAGTAGTAGAGGACTGCAATGAAGCGCCACGCAGTAAGGTGTCCCTGTCTGCCCGGCCGGGTGTTTCTCTGAACCTGTAGCTGTTAAGAAAGACAGTAAAGGACACATCATGCATTCAGTGGAATGGTGGTATGCACCACAACAATAAGCGAAGCGGCGCAGCTAGGAGTTGAACCGCGGGGGGGGGGTTAGCTTGATATATCAATCTTTAAGGCACGCAGCCCCTCCCACCACAACATTGCTAAAGCAAAGAAGAACTCAGCTAGCATGCTAGCTTTCGTGACTACTGTGCCCGCGGGCTTTTTTGAGCACCCTGGGCTGAGAAGGTGAGGCAGAACGTGGAGGGCCTCTTAGAATGACCCCAATCAATGTTCCAGGTTTGGCACATGGATCTGGCAAATGGGTCAACAATAGCAAATAAACTGTACATATAACTCGGACACCCCCCACACCCCCACCTCCACACTTGGTGTCTTTTTTCTTCAACACTCCCTTTTCCATCCGCTCCAGGCAGCTCGTTGCGCACGTTGAAGTGTCGACTCTGAAAGGTTTGACTGGGCACCTCATGCGGCAAACTGCTGGGCGGTTGAATTTCAGGCCCCTGCTCGCCGTAGACGGCGCTCATGGTCTGCTGCGAGGGCGGGTACGAGGTATCGGCTCCAACCTGCGGAACACATGTGTCGTTCGTGGCTGAAAATCCAGTGAAGTGGTCCAACCCTGTCCAACCCAGTGATGTCCTCTTGGAAAAAAGGAGGGGTTGGTTTGCTACGAATTCACGTATTGGTTGTTCACCAGCCGGAGTGTATCAGGGTACCTGTTCCAGTGAACAACCGGTCATCCATGGTCCAACCCATGAGTTTTGGATGGCTTTTGTACTGGCTTTCACACACCAAATTCAACTCAACAGGCACCTGCCACACAAACGAAACTCAGATGGCTCAGAAGAGGGCTTTGATATGCACCAACAGTTATAGAAAGATCTTCAAGGTCTCAATATGTCTCCTCTGTTTCCATTTGGATGCAGCTCAGCCCGCTTTGTCAAGCATCAGGGGGATCTCCGTCGCAAAGTCACCGAACTTGGCCATCATCTTCTCTAACTGTTTGATCTGCCCCACGTTGCCACGCACATCCACCCTGGCCTGCAGCGTTCTACGGTTCTCATTTGCCGTTCAGAACTAGACTCTTAGAGTCTGTTTCAACATGTTTCAACCGTCCAGGCATGGACTGTCAAACCTCTTTGCTTCGACTGTAATGACGCTTTAAGAAAACCAAGCCATTCAGGTGGTTTCCACCTCCCCAAGTGGAACCTGCTTGTTTTCTTGAAATGTTTGTGGAAAACACGACCAGGTGGTGGGTGAGCCCGGAGGGAGCCCGGAGGCAAACACATGCCAACACGATTTCATCACCATTTCAGGCCCCACAAGAAGACTTGATTAAAAGAAAAACAAAGAAATTCAACAACTACCGATTAGTTGGGTGACTTGGCTCAAATCCAAGGAAAATGATGGAAACCGTGCCAGCATGCCTTTTTCCTCACATGTTCCGCCCCCCCAATATCAATTCCATCATCCGTCCTCGCCTGCATATCCTCACGAATGGTGTCCACCAAGGCTCGATCACAGCCGAAGCCGGGTTGAATCGGCATGTGCTCCGCACGTCCCGGCGGTTTCGTCAGCTCCCCGGCTTCCAGAGCCACGCAGCATCCACAGGACTGCATCGCGTCCACCTGGGAGGTGAGCGGAGCTGGCGGAGCTGGGTGGTTGGAAGAGCCGCACCGTCCTGTGCAGTGGAGGTGGTCACCCAACCAGTGAACAGCAAAAGCCTCCCCTCAGGAAGGACTTGGTGAGCGGTACGTCAGGTGTGTCGGTCAGGGAGGTTGTGGAGTCCTTGAGGCTACTCCAAAGTCGGAAAGGTCCTTCTCTTCTGCTTGGGCTCTTGGTGGCTTCAAACCACTTGACTAAAACGAGTCATTAGGAGGAGTAATCGAAACCAAGTAAAGGTTGAACATAAAACAAGAACACATTGCCACCAGCCGGTCTTGCATGTTGCAGGAGTCAACAGTTTCTCCTGGGATGCACCATGCCCCATTCTCCAATTCTCCCCTCCTCTTGCAGCTTGGGCACTGACTGAATGTTTCCATACGGAACTCTGCTTGTGATGACCTCAGTTGTTTCCGATCACATGCGAACTCCAACAACCAGACACAGGGCCACCCTAGCCAGTGGCAAAACTGATTTTAGGATATTTCAGGGCTCCCTTAAGCATGCTACTGTAGGCTGCATATAATTTCACCATGTTCACTGCTCCAAAAGGGTGGCAACCTTAGCAAATTGACTCTTTGACTGTTTGACCAACAAGTCCGTTTATGTTGAATTGTCCACTTCCACATCACCGAGTTGAGGTTCCTCGAGATCAACCGTCAAAACCTGAGATCCTCACGCTGCCTGTGAGGTGTTGCCGCGTGGTCAAGACGGCTTCATCCGGGGCCAATTCCAAGAGCTTGGAGGAACAGCACAAGGAGTCGCAGCAGCAGGTGACATCCTTAGGCTGTGGCGTTAGAGATGGTGAGAGACTGTGAGAGACTGTGACGGTCACTGGGTCTGTGTCTGGAATTCACTGCGCGGTGAATCTCACTGGTGGCGTTGGGGGTTGACGCTGTCATAGTTGGGTGACTCAATCATAGAATACCAGTGACCTCCAGTGACTTGAGCTGAACTTGAGCCAGGGCGATTCCAAATATGGATGTGGCATCTGGGCAACTCTGACAGAGCGACTTCCAATCGTGGAGTTGGATGGTGGTTGTGCTGTGCGGGCTGGTAATGTGTTTTTCCTTTTCGCACCGTCGTGTGCCCAAACCTCACACTGGCCAATGAACCAGGGGATGAGATCAAGAATTTGACTGTCCCTGACTGACCAAAGGGATATTAAGACTGAAGGCCATAGAAGGCCTTCTCTACACCGCTCCTTGATGACCTTGACTTCGGTCCAAGCATCATACTGATGAGCCGGGAACTCCGGATTCTGTGCCACATAGGCCACCTCTGCCAAAGGCCGCATCAAAGGAGTGTGGTCGAAGATCCGTCGTAGAGTGGCTTCATCTGGAGGGTATTGCACCCCCAAACGAGTCAACAGGACTGGAAACTGGATCGCCATCTTGCTGATCTTCTCCAACATGAACTTCTGTTGCCTCATCTGGGCGACTTTCCCGCGACCATCCTTCCTCAAGTTCAGCTCGTGAACGATTTCACGCACGAGCTGACTGGAGCAGCCGCAGCCGGGAACAATGCCGCCTTCACCCTTGTCATTCACAGGGGCTAAATCCGAGTTGATCTGCGCACAGGTTCCACAGCACAACGATCTTTCCTGCAGTCTACATCAGTCAACATCCAGATTGTTCAATATGAGTCCAATGAGTCCAGCGTCTTCCAAAATTGCTTCATCTCCGAGCATGCCTTGTCTCTCTTTGTCCCACCTTCAACGCTTGCCCCTAGCTTCGCCCCCTGATGCGACCTCCACCCCTCCTACCGCCGTCCCGGTCTAGGCTAGGCCGCTAGGCCCTCGTTGGGGATCGGTCAGTTTCCACTGTGAACCCGCCCCGCCTCCAGCAGGGTCAGCTGAGCGTAGGGTCGCCGCTGCGAGCTGCTGCAGCAGCAATTCTGCGTGCGAAGAACCACCTCTTCACTTTGAAGCTCCAAGGTTTTCCTGCACACGAACAGTGGATATAGACGGAGGCTGCCTGTGTCTCTTTGAGTGAGCCGGTTCTGGGGCGAAGCCTCTCTGGTGAGCCTCTGTCCCAGAGTTTCATAAGCTGAGCTTGTGGGGGGAATGATTCCCTTGATTCTCTGCGTGGCCAAAGGTCCATCCAGGTCATCGGATGCATCGAGATTCTTCACCACTGATACAGTCTGAGAAGTCAGTGAATAGGGTTTTATGTGGTTTTCTATGTGATTCTGATGGGACAGGGGGCTCTTGGGCAACTGCATGCAACCGCATGCAACTTGTTAAACCTCTTGAGCTCCACCCACCTGACCGGCCCATCATCCAAAATCTAACAAGTCTTGGGATCGAAAAATTCATCGCCTTAGCAAGTCTTGGGTTCCAATATCGCTCTCAGATGTCCTTGTGATCAAGCAGCAGCAAACACCCATCAGAGCTTCTATCCAATTCGTCACATCATAGGCCCGCTCCGGAAAGGACTGCATTAAGTTCTCCATGGCACTCTCTCGAGCGAGTGCCGGAGACGGGTAGGCGGACCACCTCACTACGAGTCTGTACAGCTTTGTAGTTTGAAAGTGGAATGGCTGGATCATGGCAGTTTACTTGCAAGGAGGTAAGCCTGTAACGCTGTGTGCACACTACAAGCGCCCATCGACAGGAAATAGATTTACAGATACTTACAGTGGTTTCAAGAAGTAGGCGGCACAATCCCCAAAAGGATCCAAAAGGTGGTTTCTATGGACGCCCACATGACCAACGTCTTTGGGTTTGTGCCATCTACTCTGAAACCACTGCAAGTCCTCTGGCCTGACGAGTCCATTTTCCACCGACGCCAGGCGTCGCACACTTGGGCCACCCACACGGTGGCACCCGACTGTGTCTCGGCCAGCTCGAAGATTCTGCAATCACTAACCATCACTGCCATCGCTGAAACCGCCATCTCCACGCAGCCGGCACCGCCGTAGACGGCCCTCCGTCGTCGTGCCCCTGCGGTCGGCAAGCCATCTCACCTCGCCCATGGTGCCAGGCGCAGCCAGGCGCAGTCACCAAGCGACGTGACCTGACTGTGCCTGTGAGATCCCGGTATCGGAGCAGAGCTCCCACATGGTCGGGTCGATGCACCTGTATCACCCGCCATGCCGCAGCTAGGACAGAAGCTCTGCATAGAGTCCAGTCCTCAAGTCATCTTAGATGTGACATGTTTGGAGTTGAAAATGCCCAACCTGCAAAATCTCCCAAACACACCATAAAACGCATTTATCTCCTTCCATCTTAATCTGAAACCACCCCGAGTGCAGCACTCCAAGAGTTGCTTGATGGTCGAATGGATGCCCAGGTGGCAGGGTGTCTTCCACCTGGCGGTGGTGCAGCGCTTCAGATGAGCAAACAACATGAGAGATGCTTCATCGAGAAGAAACGTTTTTTGAGACGCTCCACGGGGGGCCAATGGATCAATGGCCTTTAGCAGCTTTCAGCGGCTTTGACGGGTGGATGTTGGGCGTTTGATTGTCACGAAGCTTGATGAGCACTCATCCCCATTGCAAAACATGGCCATCATCCCATCCGTGTCGATCCCGCCTCTGCGCGGTGGTCTTCAAGCGGTGCAAGACCTCCATGATGTCGCGAAAAAAAGTGACTCAAACCACGAGCAAAATCGCAAAATGCTGCCGGTCCTATATGGAAATCATCCAAAAGCCAAACTAAGCTACTATTGCTGTCGAGGGTTGGCTTCGAGGGTCCAAAGCCACATGCGCCCCAATCGAACCCATGAGGGTTCTCGAGCTCGCGGTAACCGTGCAACTCGTTGGCGTCTTCCGTCTTCCGATCCAACTCACCTCCCGGACATCCCACCACCTCCAGTCCACCTCCTCGATTCGGGTGGGTGTGTAGCTCCAATAAGGGAAGGACCTTCCCACCCAGGTGTTCCGACCCCGAAGGACAAACAGACCAGTGGATCATAGTGGATCCCCACACCCGGGCTGGGTCTCACTTGGGTCTTCCGTCTTCCGATCCTTCGTCTTTCGACCGATCCTTCCACTTGGCCATCTGCAACCGCCGCGGCTCTGGCTCCTTGCGAGCGTAGCATAGCGTGCCGTGGCGTTGTGCAAGTGTTTCGACGTGGCGTGGCGTGGCCATCCTCAGGTGGTGGACCATTGCAAAAGCCGTTTTGGAGGCACATCATTCCACCAAGCCAAACAGATGTATGCGGATGATAGATGTGCTAAAATGACCAAAGCGGCATGATCCAAAATGACCAAAAACCGAAAAGTGCACTTGCAACCGGGGTCACCTGCCTCTGCACGTTAGGCAGGTTGCCAAGAGGTGGACTGATATGTTCGATACTCATGAAACGACATGAAACTCATCCACCCACCGGACCTTTCGCCAAAAGAAGCAACACTTCCCACCTGATCTTTCAAGAGCACTCCTGTCACCCCCCCTGTCACCAAACCTTTTCCAAGAGAAGGGCATGAAGAAAACGCCATGCATCTTGTATCATCTTAGTTAGGTCTTTTTCTCTGACACCGGGGCCACACTGGCCCAAAACCTTCCAAGACCTTCCACTAGAGACAAAAGCACCGCGGCCGCGCAAATCGTGCTTCGTTCCACCGACGGCCTCGCCTTCTCGTGGGGCCGACGAGCCGTGGCATTGAAGAGTTGCATCAGCTGCGCCTGCACCACCGGCGGTGCCAACGGTGGCGTGCAAACGGCGTGTGTGAGCATGGCAGCTGAAGTCGTCTGAAGTCGTCTGAGGGATGGCAGTTCAGCTGAAGGTGGGGAAGCAGCTGAAGCACGTCTCGTCTGAGGATCACTTGGATCTGTGACTCTGCGTTCTCCGCGTACCTGCTTTTCCATCCGGGAGAGGCCCTTGGAAAATGGGCGAAGTGGCTGAAGGTGGTTCATGAAATGATGTGAAATGGACGTAAGGGACACGTGTTTGGCAAACTGGAGAACCTTTATAGCACGTCCTAAGTCAAAGGCTGTCGAAGTAGCGGAGGTGTAGTGGAGCAGCACAGCCTAGACTCTGGACTCAGGACACAGATGTTGAGGAGTTTTCTGATCTTGGACACTCTGCTAAATATTTCACTCAAACTATAGACATTCAACAGAAATTCAATGAAATTCACGATGTCCCAGAATGCCAGAATGTCCCTCAAATTCTCCCTACAAGCTAGGGGCGAGCTGCTCGTTCTTTCTAAACACTCTGAGTTGATCAAGAGGCTCGATGCCGTTGCTTCTCCAACGATCCCGACCAACCTGCGGCGGGTCCCACCACCGGCGTCCCACGGCCGAAGATGTGTTACCACATGTTACCACAAGATGTGGTGTCTTCATGCTGTGGCTGATGGGGGGCATGGGACACTCTGATATTAAAAATGCAAGTGATGATAGAAGCCTAGCTATAGAAGCCTGAGTTCCTCAAAAACGGAATCTACAGACGCGGCTAAGTGCCCATGCAACTCCACGCTGACCAGCCGACCTGCCAGAGTCACGAACTCCAGGTCCGAAGAAAGCACACCATAGGACACCTGTGGCTGGGTCGTTGCGATGAAGATCCCCAAAGAGCAGAAGACCTTCCGGAAATTTGATGATTCGGAACAAAACGATGTGTGTGTGTATCTCTCTCTATATATATATTATATATGTGTGTGTGTGATGGTGGTGGTCGGAAATCCCATTCAAACACCGGAAGTCTACAAGATCTCCACAGTCAACCCGTTTTAGAACCCTTGTTCTCATCATCTTCGGCTGGGTCTCGTCGGTCTCGTCCGCACCGAGCTCCCACGCATTCAACAACTTCTCGGGCAACTGCGGTTCCACCGAGCCTCTCAGAAAGGAGTCCAAGCCTTGGGAATCGGACAAACAAGAAACCGCCCAAAGCCGTCAGGCTGGAAGAATCGACGAAGAAGCTACTTCTTTGGGCAAACAAGGCCTGTAAGATTGGGAACATGATTGCAAACATGCTGGAAATGGTTGGATTCTTGATACCTATAGTGTTGGCCTTCCACATGACGGCATTCTGACCTCACTTGTGCATGTTCCAACTCAGGTGCTGTCCGTTCTGGTAGTGACCTGGCACACTTCTGGACGAATGCGTCCCGGCAGTTTCGACGTGATTTGAACATCGAGGAACTGTGGCTTTTCCGAGCCACACTGGCAGAAGGACAGTTGGACTAGGGTGCAGGGTTGCCATGCTGCAAGCACCTGCACAATTTGACAGGTTCCAGTGATTTGATCAGACAAGTGGCCGAAGGGGTAGACATGCATCCATTGGATATACTGCCTCAGCTTGTCCGGCCGAGAATGGCAATGTGGCAATGTGTGTCTGGTACAAATCAGGCACAAGAACTGAGAACTGCGACTGATTGCTTTTGTTTCACCGACGTGCAGGCGAGGCTCAAAACCCATAGAAGTGCTCGGTCACTTGCTCGAACCTCATGGGGTCCAAGTGTCGAGCCCGTTTTCGGCGGAGAGATCCTTCTCCGCAGCGCGTTTCGGTGGTGAACAGCTGCGAAGACGACCGCAACCAGTGAGGGGTGGACGGTGGACGCCGTCCAACGCGTACGTCGCGCCGCATTCGCGGCGCAGCTGGGCGCAAGGTCAGAAGACTTATCTTGAGCTGCGAAGAGCTGTCTAAGTGCAGCCAGGGTGCCACAAGGACTCCGGCATTCAAGCAGGTTCCGTCAAAGTGGTCCATGACCTCATGGACCAACACTCCATGGAGTCTTCAGTGTGGTAGGCCCGATCCTAGCAGGCCCAACAGGCACGTAAGACACCCAGTGAAATGCCTGCCTGCCACGTAATAAAGGACATTTCGAAAGAATTGAGCTCCCTGCAGCCATGTCCAAAGGATCTTTCTTATAGACAGCATCCAGGAGTTTGGCCGTTGGGTCCTGTCAACCGTGATTGGTGGCACCTTTGTCCAGGGCGAAGAAACCAACAAAAGACATCAAGAGCAAGAGTCCTTGAAGAGAAACACGTCCAAGTCCAACGACACGATGTCCATGCCTGACACAAGAAGGTGGCTCCGAATCCGACCTGTTCCGAAACAACCGTCTTTAGGTCTTGCATGCTTGTGGCCTGAACTCGCCACCGGAGAGCATCCCCAACTGCGAAGGACTCACCAGCTTCTGCCCCCCCGCGTGCTCGCCCTCGGGCTCGTACCCTCCGCCAGTGACCGGGTCTGAGCCCGCGACCCAGCGACAGGAGTAGGGGAAACAAGTAGAACTTCGCCTCAAAACACCCGTAGTCTTCGTTCGTGACACGTTCCAATCTCTTCATATGGGCTTCTGGAAGTGGGGAAGGGCGAAGGGCTGGTGGAAGTTCTTTGGATCTGGTTCTGTGTTTGCCGAGGCTTGACATCGTTTGCCACCGGATAAAAAGAACAATGCAGACTATGGGCATATCGGCATATTTCACTTCCATGATTGCTGGAGGGAAGAGTGGGTCCAAAGAATTAACTATACTAACTACTACCTTCCGTGGGTCCATGATTGGGCATACTACTTCAGTTGGAGTATGCTCTCAAGAACCCTTCAGTCTTATTGTTGGGGTTCTCCATCAAAACCACCGGGCCTTGTCATGCAAAGGCTTGGCAAATGGATGCGCGACGCGCACGCCTCAAGTCAGTTCGTTCCGGACTTTTCGGAACTCCAAAGGGGTGGTAGCATGTGGTAGCGTGATCCCGAGAACACACCATAAAACATATCTGAAAGTGAGATGATCAGTCATGTCTGTGACTGAATCCCCTTCTAAATGAAGCACACTGAGGCTGCTGCACAACAAATGGCCCAGTCTTTGGCGGCTTTGTCGTACATCTTCGCACGTCAGCAACCATCTTAGACGGCGGAACTTGCGCCCGGACGGGTTCAACCGACCATGGAGCATCAAGGTATAGACTCATCGACACATACAAAAAGCATCTAGTCTATATGATCATCTATGTTTACAGTGAATTGTTCCCATTTTTTGCGTTGGACCTTGTTTTGTTGGACCCAGTTCCTTGCGTTGCCTCCAGCATCTTCCCATCTAGAGACACATCCAGACACTGTCAAGTGAACCGACCACCCACGCTGGGCTCCCCGAACTCCACCTCAGCAGTGACGAAGATCATGCGCCGCAACCTCGAGACATTGCAGCGCACGCAGAAAAAGACGCAGATCGCTTCGGAAAGCTTCACCAGATGTGCACTTGACCCGGAAAAGCGCCTGCAACAGCTCACATCGTCGACATAACACTCTACATGGAAAGTGGATGGCCGGACACTGTTGGCAAAGGAAGAGATTCATCCAATGGTCCATGTTCCACTACCAAGACTGCTTTCCTTTTTCGGAAGAGGGTGTTTTCCACTTCCATCTTAGTGAGTAGGAGGGCCGACAGAAGACTGCAAACATCTGCAAACGATCAAAACTCTCAGGTGGCCACTTCAAATCAGCTGCCCGATGCAGAAAATGGAGAATCCATTGTTCATGGATGGGGCCATGAGCACCCCCCACCACGAAGACCGGAGCTGGTCTTGAGGGCCTCTGTGAAAACAGGATGAAATGGATCTGTTGCGCAGCTCATGAGAGTGCTTTTCTGGCCAAGTGACAAATCTTTCCTCCTAGCACCTGCATTCTGTCGTGAATTCAGTCTTGGATTCGGACGCTTTCGGGCAGCCTTCGTGTCATTTGCTTTGAAGTCACTATAGCTCTCAGTTTGGTCATTGTGCCGGCAATGTGGCACACATTCGCTCGCCTGCTCCTTGACACTGCAAAGTGGGATGGGACACGAGCCAACCTCAGCTAGAGACATTAGACTGAAGTCTCCTTCGTGGTGCCATTTGCACAGGGACCCCCATGAATCAAGGGCCACCAAAGGTGCCACACGCCACACACACAAGACCTCTACATACGCCTGGTCAAAATGCCAACGCCAGCTCAGTCACCCACGCCCAAGTTGCTTCCAAAGACTGGGCCACGGGGCGGATTGAACAAGGAGATTTCACCGGCTGAGGCTGATGCAACTGTTGCTAGCTGATCGCCACAGGAAATCCCTCTATTGATCGTCATGTTCCAAGACTAAGACTTCGTTGCCATGCTATACATCATTCTCAAAGCCAAGACCTCCGCACCTCACATGGAATCATTGTTCACCTCGCTCCGCGTGCGAAGAAAAAAAACCGCGGACTGAGGCCACGCACGGCGGAAGCTGGGCACTCGAGCCCACGGCCTTCCGACTCCGCTCCACAGGGGTCGAACGGGCCGAGCGGGTCGAGTGGAGCGTGGGCAGCGACCAGCGCCTGCCACCAGGTTCGAAGAGCAGCTTCACCCTGGAGGGCAGCTTTGGGCGGCTCTCGGACTTTTTTGGAATAAAACCTCACTATTCTTGCCCAAAGGAAAGATCCAGATGCCATGTGCGTTGAACAATGAACTGGCCAGTTTTCCTAGGTAAGGTGCGAGTTGATGTTCTGATTGCATTGATTTTGATGTGTTCAACTTTTCAAGAAATATATATAAGTTATCGTTGACGCCCTTGCCGAATTTGCAGAACAAGCTGGGTTTCAAGAGCAACAAAGTCTGGAGTGCGTGTGTGCTTATATGTGCTACGTGTGTCAGTCCTGCAGGAACTAACCAGCGTGCTGTGCGGCTCTCTTTGTCCGTTTCGCCCGTGCTCTTGGCCACTCGTTGGCCATGCCAGCGTGGTTGAAGACCGGACGCCATATCCTTTTCAAGTCCTCAGGCACTGGTTGCCCTATCAGCGGTTGGCATTGATCATCAGCACCAGGTTCCTTGTGCCAGCACTCACAGAAAACCAGAGCACGTCCTTTGCCATCTTTCCCGCCAACACTTCGTCCAATGCGGTGCACATGGCGCTCTCTATACCAAAAGCAGGAAACTCACAGGGTTTCTGTGGAAGAAACCCTGTGAGTTTAGATGAGTTCATGGCTCGTGTTTCCTTGTTTCCTTGGGCCCACCAGGTGACCCAAATTGATCTTGAAAACTTAGGTAAGCCCGTAGTTCAGCTACAGGCACACCCAAAAATAAAAATTCGCGAGAGTTTCCCCCTTCTTAATTACTTAACATTTGGCTGTTTCTCTATTATTTTTTGCTTTTTCTGCTCACCAAAAACGGTCCACTTAGAGTTGTCAGTTCATTCCACCAAATGCAGGGCCAACTGAATTGGCAGCTGTGGGGACTCCGAGCTGGCCCGAATTGGGCGATTGGCGGGCCCTGAACTTGGGCTAGGACCCATGGGATTCCCACAAACAAGTACTTATTTCGCTATGTTTAAGCCATGTGTTATGCGGTTCTCTCCCTCTCTCTCTCTCTCTCTGTAATCTCTCCAAGCACTCCTGCCCACAAAAGAAACAAGAACCATCAAGAACCCATCTATCATTCAGGCGCTGCCTGCTGATGGAAGTGATGCAGCAAATCGCATCCCGTTTGGCACCCACTGACCTTCACAGCATGCAATCACACAAGACTCAGGTTGCCTGCTGTGCAGCCATGCGCATAATTTAGCTTGTGCCACAACAGGGCAGGTTTTCTGCCGGAGATCGGCAGCTTTTGGATGTTACTAATTACATATATATATATATATAAATGTGTGTGTGCTTATTCCTTTTGGATCCTTTTGGCACAGTCCTGTCGCATGTGTCGATCCCCTGTGAACGACCACCTGACCATCCGATGTCGTTTCGTTCGCAGCCTTCTGAAGGCCTTCTTCAAGGACTCTCCGGATCTGCGACACCAATGGAAATGCAGAGAAATATGAGAAATCTCTGGAGATCTCCCAACATCTGCACAAGGAATTGGAATTCCAAATGTCCCTAAGCACTGTGGGACACAACTGGACATAACTCACCTCCAAGTCATTCGGGTCAGCCAAGTCAAGTCTCTGGGGCCAGCTCCTCGGCATGCTTCACCTCCAAGAAGGTGTCATGCCTCACATCTCTCAACTCGCCGTCTCACCGTCTCATGCCACACGCCCGCGACGTCGCACGCCCGCGACGCGGCACGCCCTTGCATAAGCCGAGCAACGAGCGCCAGGCGATGAAGTAGGAGACAGCCACGACGGCGAAGACCTACCACCAGCCACGCGGAGCCAGCCAGCGCGACTATAGCAACAATAGCAACAACATGCCTCGTTTCATCTCATGCTGATTCATTCTGAGTTTCGACCCAAGACGTCAAGATTTGGAAAAAGCCGAGTCAAGATGTTGCTGGGAGATGTTGCTTGAAGCGATCTATGCGGACAACCAAGTCTATCAAAAGCTTAACACCTGTCTTCAAGCACCTGCGAGACCCTTCTCTCCCAGGTTCAGCAGCCCCTCGCCACTGAACACCCCGCCGTAGGTGCGCGCGTGAGATTTCGAAAAGAGGTCTGCGCAATCAGCGAGGTCAGCCTGGTCCCGTTGGCCAAGGACTCTAAAGCTCACACCACGGACGGATGCTCAAAAAAAAGCAGATCAATACCGGCGAGGTGTTGAATGGCTCTGACACGTTTTTGTTGGTACATCTTTACCTTGAAGACATGCTCTTGGATGGGTGCTTGGGAAAGTTGAAACATAACCTTAAGATTACTATCCACTAGGTCTGAGACATGCTGAAAACGTACTGAGTCGGATTCCTGGTGGACCAAGACCATCTAAGTCCCTGGCTCCAGCAATCTTGGACCTCAGTCTGCTGGAAGCCGTGATTCATGCGGCATGGGAGAGTATAGGGGACCGGCCTACCCCCTTGTCTGGCAACCAGTGTCTCTGGTCCTTCGCTGGAAAGTGCCCTGCTTTCAGGGAACATGGATTCTTTGGCACCCTCCTCCGAGAGAAATGCCAATGCTACAGTAACACCCATCTGCTGAAACGGCCAAAAGAGTTGGACTCGAACTCCTCATGAGTCGGGATGAGGATGATGATATGGGGCGACATCATATTATGCAATATAAATCATATGCGATATATAAGTCATTATAAGTCCGATGCCGATAAGTGATCTATTCAAAACAATCTCATGTCTGTTGCCCCACCCTCAAACGCTGTATCTGTCGCAGCGACACCGTGCCATTCTCGGCCATGCACGATGCAAGGGGTCTCGCGGCACAGGTGGGCCAAGCAAACGGATCCTGAGCTTCACGACGTTTCTTCTGAGGTTTTTGTTTAAAAGAAGGACTGAGGACTGAGGATGTCAAACTTCATGGGAAATGCGATGATTGTCGCCTTTCCACATCAAATGACCGCCATCCACAGCCGTGCGGCTCCATGATCCTCATGAGTGTCGCCTCATGGGCATCTGGGGTCAACACAGCATGAGTGTCGCACCTTCCGCGCACATGACCTCAGGTCAAAAGGTCCATTCCTGAGGCCCAAGGCCCTAGATTATGGCATTGCCTCGATGGTCAACACACATGGTCTGGTCCAATTGTCCGAAATACATTTCAACCTTTCCGGCACGTTCTGCAACCAAAGAACGGACACGTCGTTCCGTGCTGCTTCTTTTTCTGCCATGGAGGCCGTTAGCTGCCGGGGACCTCTCTTCCGGGACCCCCCAAAATCGAGCAAAGACCCAACCGAGGCCACCGCTGCCGGGCAAGTGCTCGCGAACTCGGGCTCCGCATGTGGGCCGCCTGTGACGCGAGCCGCTCCCGCTACTCGCTGGCCGCTGCTCGGTGCGCTCGAAGTCGCTCGTGCGCGCTGAAGAGTGGAGAGCGTTTTTGGGCTCGGGCTATTCATGAAGGTTGTTAAGGAACCTGCACCAGGCAATGCACATGGCTCATGTGGCTCGTGTGGTTCATGTGGATGGGTTTTTGCTATCGTTCTTTTTCAGGTTGAGAGCTGGACGCAGTGTGGTGGCAACAAACATGCCCAACCTGAAAGTCGAGACGAGCATCAAGGTGACCCTATTCCTTCACAAAGGATATCCGCATGATTTAAGCGCGAGTATATGGTGAATGAATGTAAATAGACCAGTCAATACCAGTCACCAACTGCCATGCAGAAAGCTGAGACATCTCATTCGCTCTATGACATCAACCTAAACTTCACTGACCGAATACTTCTTCATATTAGCGTTTTGAAAGATGCACTTCAATCTGCACGTTCAAGGCTTAAGATCCTCATCCTCAAAGAATTCCCCTGCTCCACTCCGGACTCCGTTGATGGCATGTTTCACGTCTGACAGTGCTCAGCTGAGACTGCTGCATCACTTCAACTGCTCCAGCTTTCTCACGCGGCTGCCACAGAAGAGGCATCAAACTCAGCGAGACCCGAGACCGGACTTCGCCCCAAAAGGCGGGGCGGGTGTGAGCTCGACAGCCGTGGACCAGGGGTCCTTGTTCCGTTCGTAGCTTCTCGTTACTATACTAGTATGTAGTTGCACTTGTTACTAGTGCCCCTACTGCCCTGGTTACTAGTAGCACAACCACGTGTCCTCGGCATCGTCCCCGGGTCTCTGTCAAGGTCTTTTAGTCGCAGACGATTCGCGCTCCGCTGAGCGATGCGGCCCCCGGCTGTTCCTCGGTGGCCTCCTCCGCCCGCGAGAGGAATTGCACCACCTCCTGCCTGGACGTTCGATACTAGCTACTAATAGCTCCTGGCATTACTAGTAACAAGAAGCTACAAGTAACAAAGGGCACTACTACTAGCCGGAGCAAATAGCTACTAACACGTTGGCCCCTCGGCCGAGGGGACGTACTGCGTTTCGTTTGCGGCAGACTTGTCTAAGGAGTCGACTGTCTGCACAGGTTGCCGGTATCGACCTGGAGGGAAGGCGTTGGAGGTGGTTAGACAGGCGGACAGAGCGTTAGACAGGCGGAAATGATGCAAAGCTATAACACTCATAACTTATTACCCTATATAGTTGTTTTGAATGGTTTTTGCATGGTTCTTGTATGGCTTTTGCTTTCAGGATGTTCCAGGATTTCAGGACCCGCCCCAGGCTCGACGAGCTTCACCGCCAACTCCCAGCGGATCGAGGAGCTGTCTTCGTTCAAAGAACCGCGCCGCGCGGCAACTCCTGTGGAGCCCCGAGTCGCGGACGATCTTGAAATCCGGATCTTCTCCACAGTAGGATTGCCACTTGGCCTCCCCAAGGGTCAGCTGACTCCGTAGACATGGAGATGTTGAGGATGGGCTCAGTTTTGGACCGGAATTGTCTGGAGGGTCTGTCGGAAGGGTCCCTTGCTTCACTTGCCATATATTTGGGCAGTAGCTTTGACCCTCAGTCATGGCATGCTTCCCGCCAGCATTGATGCAATCGGCCATGTGGATGTACCCAGTGTGTACCTGACGCTCCACAGCCAGGAAGAAGCGACGACTAGACCATTATGGCAACTGACAATCAGAAAGGTCAAGGAAGGAGTGACTTTTTGGGTCACTTCTAGTGCTTGTTTGGTGACCGATCCCGAAAAACTCATTACAGTACATGATATTACATGGAGGGCCTGACAGCTTTAAGCTGACCTGCAGGCCTGTAGGGCCAGCTTAGTCACAAGCAGAAGTCTTTTCAGCCTGACTGGCTTTATAAGCTGCTCAACGCAGCCAGTCCACCGGTCACTGAGCCACCGAGGTGAGAAGACCCCGACCCCACCCACTGAGCCAGCGAACAAAGGGACTGCATCAGGTCCTAGGAGAAGCGCTCTCCTTGGACCAAAACGTGACGCCTCGTTTAGAGATCTGGTTGATGTTAAGCATAACCACCTGAAATTCATGTGAACATCTCGTGACATATGCTCTATGTTGCATGCTTGTTCTCTTGCTTCTCGTAGCATCATGCTCCACCTTTCCTCACTCATCTCTTACCACCTATCGCCCACTGTGTAGCTTGGCTGGCACAGAAACCGTGCAGCTCCGACTCATCTCCAACTCTCTTGGGGCTTGGACCACAACTCATCAAAGATTCCAGGCCCAGGCCTTGCGCTTTGGAATCTTCGGTTTCCGCACTCTGAGTTTGGATCGTTGGGGGGGGCCTGGGGCTTTCCTGCAGGCCCTGTGGCTGAGCCTTACTACCTGTAGCACATCAACGTGCCATGCAGCACCAGAAAAATCCACGATAGAGGACTAAGTCACCGATGAAGCTGACAAGCGAGCGAGAGAGAGCGAGAGAGCGAGGGAGCGCGAGAGAGAGAGAGAGAGGAGGAAACAAAACACAAAACAAACTGGAAAAAAAACTATATATAAATATAGTAACCGAGCTCTCTGCTTGATTTCCCCATCCTGAGAAATCGGCCCAGTCTGACCAGAGCAATCGGCTGTGCCTTGGCCGGTGCCCAGCATGAAAAATCCGACGTTCTGGGGGCAAAGCGTCTTCAACATAGGAGACACTGCCATGTCAAGACAGACCAAGGCAGCAACTCAACGCCCCATGTCAAAACAAGTGCCCAATTCACTTCTCGGAAAGCAAATGAGTCGTTTTTTTCCAGTCGAAAAAGCCTCTCAAGTTCCTCCTATCTTAGCATTCTCTCGGGCACATCCGGGCACTTGCAACACAACAACAAATCGGCCGAGGACGGCGCAAACTGACACCTTGGAGTGACGGGGGCCCCATGGGACCCCGAACTTCAAGAAACGTGAAGCAATAAGGATGGGTGGCGGTGATGGAGCATGAATTTCCTCCAATATTGGTCGTGACACTCACTCTCACTCCCTCGCTCGCTCACTCACTCACTCTCTCTCTCTCTTTGTATATATATGTACGCATGGCATAGTATACATATGTCCATTTCATCTGAAGGTGCTGTTGCTGGTGCTGTTCACATTTGCCTGCTAACTTCATCCAACTCACTGAAATGGTGCATCGGCAGCATGGTCCGTTTTGCACCACACGCTCTGGCTCGAGCTGAGCGGCTCGAACTGAGCTAGGCACCAACAGGACAGCTGAGAGAGTGCCCAGCGCACACTCGGCAAAAGAATCTGGCGCACCTGTGCGCGACGGATGACGAAGAAAACGAGTACGCCACGAGGACAACAGATTTGAGGCTCAAACGATGCAAGACCACATGCTCCTCCGACTTGTCGGGAAGAACATTGAGACATGACCTGAGAATTTCTGGTTCGAGACACCGACGTTCTTCGCCCAGTCCAAACCCGCAGAGTCTGCAGACGTCCAAACGCCGGAGGCGCTTTTGTTCTCCGGCGGAGAGGCATATCACTCTTTTGGGTGAGACGCTGCCACGGCCCAATTCATCAAGCGTCGGGGCGCTCGTATTGAGAGATCACCAGTCTCGCGTTGAAGTAGTATGACTTGCCGCTGCTCCGGGAAGTACACCTGCTGGCACACGTCCGAGTCGTTTTGGGCAGCGACGGTCAACGAGTCGAGATGTGAGTCTTGGATCACTGGGGTCCAGACTTCTGCCATCCAGGTGGCAGCGTTTCATCTGGATTCGGATTCCTTGCGCCACAGCTTGGGTCCCTTCCGAGTTTAGAGCCTTGAAGACTCTTGAAGCTGGGGTTACAGGTGAGGTTTTCAATGACATGCTTCGTTTCGGATTCCTCGTTGGCTACTGTACCACTTCTCAAATCATAAGTCATGAAATCACTGAACTATGGGGGGGTTGGGCTTCTAGGGGAACTGTCCAGTTCTGCGGGACTTCTTCAAGCATCTTGAAGCGACCTGTCCAGAATCAACAGAGACTTGTCAAGGAAAATCTATGGAAATCCCGTCCAAACGCGTGGTCCAACCAAAAGCTTCATGCGGCAAGGACTCGGGGCTGGTGTAGCTGGCAGGGGCCTGGCTGGCGTGGCTGGTGGCGGGATGCTTCTGGCAGGGGTCGCCGGCTCAGGCACAGGCCGTGCTGGAGTGGCCGGTGGTGGCACAGCAGCCCGAGAGTCGGGCTCCTTGGGGCGCCATGCGGCCGCAGATGCCGCGGGTAGCGCAGGTGTTTGAGGTGCCGAGAGCCCATAAGGGCCAAAGCCCGCAGGCGTCCGTGGCGCGCCGCGAGCGGCAGGCATGGGCGTGTGGGGTGCTGTGTTGCCATGTGGCCCGAAGCCCGCAGGCGTCTGAGGCACACGAAGCCCGCTGGAGGCCGAAGTGGGCTCATCGGATGGATTCTGCCAGTTGGACCAGCTGGACCAGCTTGACGAACTCATTGAGTTCTCTTCCCGCCCTTGGTTCCAGTGTTCACTGTCCACGGGATCGGACGGCTTATCCTCTTGCTTCGTGAGGGTGCTGGAAACCATCGTCCTTCGGCGCTTCCACGATGACCATTCTTGGCTCGAGTCAATGCTCTTGTACCTGGCCGGGGTGCCTTCCAACCGCTTGGAAAGCGGAGACCCGTTGAATGAACGACTCAAGTTCAAGCAAGATCCTTTGGATTTGACTTGGGTATGATATATGCATAATATATATATATATACATAATATAATATACCCTAGGGATCCAAGTACCTTCTCAGAAGGTGATTAGATACTATTTATGTAATTCGGCTTGGAGGGCCCAAGTACCTCCTGAGAAGGTATGTGGATCCCTAGGGTATATATATAATAACTATTATCCCAATTATCCCATGACCAGTTTGCCGGTGGATGATGGTTCGTACAGTAACGGCCTTTGATCCAAATAGTGACCATTGTTTACCGACCATCACCGTGTCCGTCCATAATTGCAACGCCACCCGTGATTGCAACGCCTTCGCGATCCTTCTTGGTTTTCACACGCTGATTGAAAGATTCCCCTCCAATAGACGAAGAGGACTAACGCTTTGGAAGGGTGTTTGAAGTGTAGCTCATTGTTCTGCCGTTTGTCAGTTCGCTTCTGAGCTTTCATCAACGTAGCTACGTAGGGCTCATATTGAATCGATGCTTCGCGCGCCGCTGAAGAAGGTTCTAGAAATCGAGTTTCTGGAACAGCTGCACTGAGCAAAACCACAAAGCCACAAAACCACAACTGACTAGCGGCAATGAAACCATGCCCCCATGTTCTCGCCAGCCCCTTGTTACAGTATCATAAGGATACTTGTGATACTTGGTAGACATTCCGTGGTCTTTGATCAAGTCGATCCCTTTTCTTTTGTTTGTGTGCTGCATGTAGGTTCCAAAAGAATGGTTCCTAGATTCTTTGAGGTTGTGTAGCTGTAGCCCAAGATTAGCACTTGTTAGTGCTTCAGTTCTATGCCTTTGGGTAACGAACCAGCCAAATCAAACATCTTGGCTGATTTTCAGTATCAACACCTTTGTGAAATCATATCAAATATCTCCCCCAAAAAAACTCACAAAGAGCATTTCCCTCGCAAAGTCTCTGAGCACAAAAACTCAGCTCAAGCTAGAGCCTCATTCGTCATTTACCCCTCACCAGTTCCAACTCCTACACTCAAAATGTCTGGGAAAGCTCTATGACTCTATTTTGCTGACTTGTATCTGTCGTGATTCTCCAAAGCCGAATGAGCTGCCCGGGCCCGGCGCCTCTCGTGAATCCAATCGACGGCATCTTTCGCTAGATCCTGGGTCTTGGTCACCACCTCCATGACAGCCTGGCGAAATAGAAAGGCAGGCCTGGAAGCAGAAACACCACCGACCCCGCAAATCCTCAAAAAAGAGTGCTACGCCAACCAACCCAATACCATCCAATACCGACAGCAGAAACACATACACACACCAAACGCGCCTCTTTCTCCTCCTCATTTTCCACCCTGATGCCCGCAAAGATCAAGCGTCGCTCCCCATTGTCGTTGGTGCAGTCGTCAAAGAAGGCGCACATCTTTCCTTCCTGTATCGATCTGGATGGGTTGATTTGGGAAGAAAAGAACCATGGATGACCTACAGACCTGTAGATCTACTGAATCCCTTTAAAAAAGAAAGTAAAGCCATGTCGCAAAAAGCAGGCCTTCCCAACCAAAACCTGGTTTTGAATTGTTTTGCCTGTGATCTATTTAATATTACTATATTTAACAAAAAAGAAAAGTCACCCCGAGACTCCCTATCTCTCCCTCCAAAACACTCCCCCCATCTCCTCCATGAGAGACTTTAACCGGTCTTTAAACCATTTGGACTTGCTTGCATCTTCCGGAACCCACGTGGCCATCATGTCGGCCCTCACGTCCACGTCATGGACGTAGGGAAATTTGCCTCCTTGGCTTCTTGGCACGAAACAACGCGGCGACATTCAGAGTAGATGGTACAATCCCCCAAAAGGTTGTTTCCTTGGACATCATCCAAAAGACACCTACACGTATGGGGATTGTGCCATCTACTCTGAAACCACGGCGCATGCGGCGTCATGCGCTCGTTTGGCGCCCTCTAACTGACTCCTTTTTCGTGCCCAGATGCCAGTCGTTCGCTGCTTTGGCGCTAAGAACTGAGCATATTCTCTGGCACGCTGTCGGTTCTTCAAATGCCCTGCCAATAAAAGCCTACAGTGGCAAGATAGCAGCATACACACACAGGACCTGGGGTCCCCTGCGCTCCCAACTCAATCTGGTTCAACCAAACAAGCCCGAACGGCCGTGGGACTATACTTCAACCGTGCGTTTCCAGGCAGCGCAGTGTTTAACCACGTTTCCACCACGAAATTCTAACACAAACAATTGCGGCAAAGCATCAGGTTTCCGATACAAGCAGCATAGCAGCCCGCAGCTTCCGATAGAATCTCCTTGGAGGCAGATGGGACATGCAATGGAGGCAACGGGGACCGGGGCGAATTCGTGTCCCAAAAGGATCCAAGAGGCAGCTTTCTTGTTGGTGGCATCTTCCTGAAGGCATCGCAACACCAGCGACAAATGTCACAACCGTAGGAGGTCGTTGAGTGCACAGGTGTCGATGTCCACGAGTTGGAGGATCGTTGGATGGTGAGGGGGGGTATTTCGCACGCCTTCTCTGATCTTCATAAACAATTCCAGCGCAGAGAGAGAGAGAGAGAGAAAAAAAAGAAGGTTCAACAAAGGTTAAGTGACCTTATAGGATCCTACAGGGGTATCTATAGTCTTTTGGGTTCTTCAACCTCTGTTGGTACAGTAAGAGGTCCGGTCTCTGCCGCTGGCTCGCGTCTTCCGGGACCCGTCCTGAAAATCGAAGGTTAATCGGATCTTGTCGATGCCAACGCCATCACTTGGATCGATCTGCTCCTCTGACTGGCCAGAGCGGATCACAAAGCCGGGCACCTTTCCTGGCGCCAAGAAGCGCCGGCGCGGCCTTCGGACGGAACGCCGTGTTGGTAGAGGTTTCACCAGCGATGCTGTCCATGCGGAGCGTGTCGTGGACGGAATGCGTCATGACGCTGCCCCCCCCCCATCCGCCGAGCTAACGAACGCCGAGCTGGGCCGAGCTGCTCTCCACAAGGGCATACAGCTTCACAAGCACAATGCTTTGCGCCAATGGCTCCCCGAAAATGGCAATCTCAAACGGATCGTCTGCCTATCGCGAGGCAAGCAGTGGCATGGGTGAGAGGTAAGCAGGAGTATAGCGATGAAGGAACTCTCGTGGGCACAAAACGAACTGCATCCAGGCAAAGCCAGCAAGACATCGGAAAACATCTATGCAATTGTTGGATATTGTTGGACTATTCATGACTATTCCTCTTAAAGGCTCCTCTTATAGCGTCCCGGGCCTCCCTCAAATGGCCCGCAGATTCAAGACACTGTCTTTCCCATCCGAATCCATCGTCTCCATCCAGTTCCATCCAGTTCCGCCACACCTCCATCATGTTGGCGATAAAATCTTCCACCTCGTCGATGTCCTTCTTCTCGATGCCACCTCAAGGTGGCAACCAGGTCGCGCACCGTGTGTTTTTCAAAACACGGTGTAACACACACAATCTGAAGTGCCCGACTCATGTCTATACGAGAAATATGGGGACTCAAACAGTTCATTGATGCTCATTGGGATCAATCGGAGTTTGGGTTTGCAACCTCCTCAGAGCCGGGCCCTTGTTTTGTTGCACCGGAACAATGATGGTGTTGGTCTCATGCATCAAGTCTCGGTAGTGGCGCTGCCGATAGCCAAAGAACTGTGTCAACGCCTCACAAGGCGTTGGATTCTTCATCGGACGAGGACGCATCTGCCAGCTAAGTCTGGGTGGGGGAAACCTTTCCCCCACGTGTGGAGAGAGACAACGGCTCAAAAAAAGTTCATGTGGAGAAGTGTTTTTTCTCACTGGGAGAGGACAGATGAAGAAACTTCCAAAGGCCCCTGCTTCCATGTTTGTTGGGAGTGTGCTTTCAATGGATGTGCTTTTAAGAAGAGACACCAGCTGGACCACCGAAGACCCCGGCGTGCGAAGAAAGGAAGTGCTGCATGTTCTCCCTGTGACTTGGTGCAGGATGGTTTTGGATGGTGTCAGACGAGACAGTCAGAAGCTGGAAGGTCCTGCCTGCCCTGGGAGAGTCAGCAGGCAGCATTCTCCACCAAGTTTGGCAGGAACTCGGCCTAACCACTTCTCGATGGTGGTGTACACGATCATCCTGCGGGACGCAACAGCAAGAGGGAGGCACTGGGACTGGTGAAGGTCTTGGCAGCCAGAGCTGGGCCGCTAGAGCCGGCCGGTCCCATTGGAACACGTGAATAACCCGACCCACAGAAACGGCCCGCCCTGGAAAGCGCATCCCACCAAGGTTGGAGGTTCCATCGAATGGCCGAGATTGACCGAGCCATCGAGCCCTACAACATCATACAAACCAAACAAGACAAACTGAATGATACCGATACTGGTAACAATGTTCGCTACTAGGGGCTCCTGGCATCGCTACTAGCATTACAATGGGGAGACCTCCCAGGCAACACCCCCCCCGTTAGAAAGAACATGAAAGAACATAGATCAGTCGACCCAGCTCCCCTCTCCTCAAGAGCTCCGCAGCCATCCATCGTTGTTTTCGGGTGCCCAAAGCCTGAAAAAGAAGAAAACGAACGGCACAGCACCCGAAACCTATTGAGAAGAAGGGCGCAGCACCCCTAACCTTCTATCGCAATTCTTCCGCAAGGAAAGGCGTTTCAAAAAGCGGTGTGCTGAAGGGAACTCCTTTCAAGAACTCCTCAGCTGGAGGGCCACACCTCGGGCCTGGGAAGCATTTGGGGCGACATCTCAGCAGCCCAAAGCCACTCAATTAGGACATATTGAGAGTCTTCCGCTCCTGCGAGTCCGTTCAACTTGGGGCTCCTGGCCACCACTTTTGGGTCGGGTTTTGGGCTCCTCAACTTGTTGGTTCGCTGCGCTGCGCGAGCCAACAGAAGGAACACCAACACCTGGGACATTGGACAGAGCCTCGCCCAATCTGCAGCGACCCCCCTGCTCCAGCCCGCTTCAAAAGGACATCACGAACCTGCGAGAAAGAAAAGCTCCCCAACTCCAAAGTGATAAAAGAACGCAAACTGTATTCAATTCCGCCTAGCAACGATGATGTGTTGTTTGGAGCCTCTGCTGTAGCTTTCGCTCACAGCAGTGGGGCGCTCGTAGACACTCAGAGTGACGCAACGGCTCACCTTCGTGACCTCAGTCGAGTGCGGATCCTGAGCTTCCTGAGGAAGTGAAGAAAGCTTCCTGGGGTCAGGTGGTTTTGTGTCGTAACATTTGCGCGTTAGCGCACCCGTGCCTACATGACGGATCAATTGCTGAGTTTTCTCATCGTTTTTCAAACAGAGTCACTCTGGAGATGGCGTCCCCCATGGAGGTTTAGTAGACGGATGTCGATGGGTGCAGGTTACCATGGGGCGATGATGACGGAATGCCCAGAATCAACACATTGTCAACCAGCACCACGGTGTCTTGGGTGGTTATTGGATGGAAAATGCATTGTCCGCCATGCGATCCTGCCTGTAGTCAGGGGCTCCTACCTTTCCGTGGTGCTGGAACATCAGTTCGGATCAATATCGATGTGATTATAATTATAGTTATACTTATAATTCTATTTTATCTTTATGTCTTGTTTCAAGTAGCTTCTTGTTCCTCGTAGTACGGCCAGAAACGCCCCGTTCGTAGCGTCCGATCGCTCCTGTATTTCGCTTCCAAGGCGGTTCGTTGAAAATCGACCCAGGAGCCAGATCCACAAGCTCCGATCCATTATTCCTGAGCGGTGGAAGTCAGGATGAAATTTAGAGACCCGTTTGGAGGGAGCCTCCGACCCGTTTGGCACAGTGAAGATATGCACCCCACCAGTTCCCAAGAACTGATGGAACTGTTCAAACCGGAGGCACCAGAGTGGCTCAAACGGCCAGTGCTAGCATGCTGTTCCATGCTGTTCCCAAAGAGAACTGGGTGCGAGGCCCCCAGAATCTCTTCAAGCTCCTCTCAATTAAAAGGTGGGATCTCGATGACAAAAGTCCAAAAAGCAAGTGATTGGACACTCCGATCGAAGAGATCAGTCCTTTGATCAAAGCCCAAATCAAACTCTTGCAGCCCCATACCTCCTGAAGGCCACAAGCTATGTCTCAGCGTCATTTACACCTAGCCTAGCACGGCAGTACCTCGGTCAAAAAAACAGAATCATGCGCTCCGCTGGTATAGGATACAGCTCGCAAGCTGGTTGCATCGTGAGAATCCGCTACAGATGACTCCATCCGAGACTCCTAAGGCGACGTCCAATCTCAGCCACACACCCGAAGCTATCAAAAAACACTTTCATGCCATGCAAAAAAAGGAGCGTGACTGCCAGACTCAAAACCCATCAACACCCCAAGGAACAGTAACGCGGTTCTCGCGAACCCCTGCCTGGCCCACCATCACAACCACAAATGTCAGACCTTCTCGTCAACGTCTCCATCTGACAGGCCATCAGCCCCACCGCCTCTCCACTGAAGCACTCGAGAAAACGCCCCGCGTTTAGCGGCTTGCATGACGATGACCAACGTGACCCACCGAGTGCCGCGGCCGCGGTTTTTCGAGGAAGGTCGTCGGGTCGGCGGTGGTCGGGTCGGCGCCTTCTGGTCTGCCAAGGTGAGAACGCGCAGGAGCGCTTCGCCGCGATCTCTCAACCTGGGGAGAAGGTGGAGAACCCAGTCTCCGAGAGAAGTGGCGCGACGTCTTTGGGATTGGATCATATTGGATCTATAGCATGATCTATCTCTAGAAAGGCTCCTTTTTCACCTCTTTGGTCAGCTTGGATGGCAGCTGGATTCAGTGAGTGGGGGGGCTGTCAGACAGAAAGACTGAAACTGAGCCATCAAGCTTGCCAATGATGTGGACTCGCACAGCTGCTTGTAATTTTGAGGCATCTTCATCTCTGAGCAGGCCATCCTGACAATCATTTGAGAAGATGCCAAAACAGAACACAGCTACTCGCCAACTTTCTCCGTTCTCTCCCCCTCTCTCTGCTAAAGTCATTAGTTTGCAGACGTGTTGCCCAGCACCATGTTACTTTCACTTTTCCACCTCCTGGTGAGAACTTTCTCACCTGGGCTGCAGTCAAAACCCCGGCACTGCAGCTGAACACCTCCCCCCCCCGCACCCTCAATTTCTAGTGGGCCTGTCGGTAGGTTAGGTCGGGTGAAATCAATCAAATCCTACATCATCAACATTGAAATTGAGGGCTAGTAAGGGACCTTGAGGGGACTGGACAGGGAGAATCTTGTTGCCTCTGTTGCTGCGCGGCCCGTCCGAGTCGCCACCACCGGCTGATAGAGCTCGATTTCCTCACCTGGGGAAGAAGCTGAGGGATGTTTCAGGGTTTAGGGCCAACTCGTTTTGAAATCATGTTTGGAGAACTCACCTTATAAAGACCGGGCACTCATCACCTCAGAATCATCCGACTCTCACATTCTCGACCAGCTGTAGCCCAGGCCGCCTGTTCGGCTCCACTTCACCCAGGGCAAGCCAGCCAGCTGCCCCAAGGGAAACGCTCCCCGTCCTCACCCGGACTTGTCCCGGGACAACATCCGATGGAGGACATGGTTGGCACAAAACCATGCGGGTGTCAAAGACAAAGCATATTATATGTCGTGTTACTTTTTAAGATTCTACATTGCACTAATTTTACGGTGCACATACACATAGACAAACACACATAGTGATTGATACTTTGTTCTTGGTATCGATGATACTCGGATACTGGTATCAGGGTTTCATTCTGGGTATGGTTGATACTCGGATACTGCGGATATATATATATATATACGTGTAATGTGTTGGGTGAATCCAAGAGCTACAGTCTGTAGAAGGGTTTCAAGGCTTGTCGGAAATTACTTTGGCGGAAAATCGTAAATTCGGATTTCTGGAAAAAACTGTACTTTTGGCGGAAATTCGAAAATTGACAATTTCTGAATTTCTGGAAAAAAGAACTGTACTTGTTTTAATCGTTTTGCGGAAACTCGGACATTAATAACAATTCCTGTATTTCTGAAAAACTGTCCTTTTTTACATCGTTCTGCGGAATTTCTATGGCAATATTGTTCTTGGATGACTCACAGCAATGCTTTGGGGACATGGTGTTTGCTCAAACAATGGGGGAACAGCTTGGTCGACGCGCTATTAATCTGAAATGGGGGGCAAACCTGTATGAAGAACCCAGGCAGGTACCTATGAATCGCTTTGAATAGGAGCTTGGTGAACCAGCGCTACAACACTCCCTGTGCTCAACAAAGTCCAAGCACTTCTAACGGTGCGCCGGAAAAGCTCTTGCGTGTTGCGTTCGTGCATGACCGCTTGCAAGGATGAACCGTACTCGCGCAACCTCAACCTGCCTCACTGAGATGTATCGGAATGTCGAAAAGGAGGGGCCATACACGCCATACATTGATTCAGTCAACTGGTGCCAATCTGGCTTTTGCTCTGGAAGGATGTTTGATATGCAAGACCAACCAGGAACCACAGGGCCTAACCTCAATCAATATCATATACAGTACATGAATTTGAAAGCAAATGCTTCAACGAACAACAGCTTGGGAGAACATTGAACCTCAACCTAAACAGAAAACTCTAATCGCAGCAATTAGCCCGTCATCAAACCAAACATAAAAATACACACCAATTGCCACAAGACATTTAGCGACAAAGCCCTACCATGGCACAAGAAAACGCAGTGGCAAGCAGCACTGGAGGAATGTGTTTACTTTTGTTCCTCAGCCGCACCCCCCCCCAAAAAAAAAACGACCGCAGCAGCTTCAAAACGGATCCCCCAAGCAGCACCGCCGACAACGCCGGACGCGGAACACCACGCCGACCTGGCCGACCCAAACACAACGGTTTCCGTTGCTCCTGACAGCCGTTCAAAGACAATGAGCACATTGAGCCTCGGTCGGACGCTGTACAGGTCGAAAAAGAAGCTTCGAACATGCTGCGAAGCGACCGGATGGGGGAGCCGGGAGCTTTCAACCTTCTACGAAGGGATGGAGGTTGGAAGACAACGTTAGTAGGTCGGTTGGAATGGACGGTACCAATCAGATCGTGCCCATTCGTGCGCAAAGGTCGCAAAGGAGCCCAGATTTGTGGCCCATGTCCAGCCCCATTGTTCCACCTCGAGCCCTGCTTGACCAGAATATGTTGATTCAATCCCCCAACCTGTTTCAGAATGTTTCAGAGTACAGCTCCGGAAGCAAGAAAAATCAACTGATTTGCCACGAAAATTGAAGTCAAGCCACTCTTCTTCCAAGGCCTTTTGCCCATCCCATGCGTCTACCCACTCTGGCAACACGTGCACTGTGGAGACGTCCGCGCATCCTGTGCACCAACGAAAAGGACACCAACGGCCGGGCGTTGTAAACGAATGTAAACGAGCGACCAAATCCACATGAACCTCTCATGCCAAACCAGTGAGAAACTCTCAGCCATTCTCAGCGTCGAAAAAGCCGACCAGTGTTGAGAAATGTCACGAAACATGGATCCACAGGGGCTTTGGATGATTGCTTCTGGGTGTGCGTTCTTGTTCGAGTCGCCGAGAAGGAAAAAAAAGGCCTTCATGCACTCGATTCTTGAGCACTGCGTTGGCACAGTGGTTGGCTTGAGTTTGAGCCTCTGGCGGGCCTCACGGGTGCTGAGGATGCATTTTTGGTGTCAAAGGCAGAACAGCCAAAGCAACATCCAAGAACCCAAGCCACATCTGTTGTGGGAACGAGCCCGGTCCAAACACAAAGACACGGCCGTCGATGTTTGCCAGGATTCGCGAAGGCTTTTGAGGTGAGAGCGACCAAATATGCTACATTATGCTACTATGACCTCTTGACTTATTGGTCTTATTCATAATCTCTTACTGAATCTTCATCTAAGCCACCAAAGATCTGCAAAGCGCCAGCTTCCAGCACCAGCTGAGTTCCCTCCACGATGTGTTCAATGATCTTCACCTTCTCCGCCATCGTCTGTCGCAACTCCGCATCCACCTGGCCGTCGCTCCCGCTGCCGCACCGACGTCCACGAGGGATCACCGACGATCTCACGCACTCGGTGATGACTCCATTGGGTTTTCGGTGGCATGAAATGGGCTGGCCAGTGTTTCAATAGGGGGGAGCTGGCCCTACCTGGCCCTTTTGGGACTTTGTTTTTGTCGTCTATTTTCCCCGAAATTCGGATGTCTCATGATTTCTGGAGGGATCTCCCTAGCTACACACCACTTGTCTTCCTGGCGTTCCTTCGATCGAAAAACGAAAAAAGGTCGGGCACCCAACTCTAGAGGCTTGAAGAGGAAGTATCTGTTTGGTCATTCGACATGATGTATACATTTACCTAAACTATATTGATATATATATATATATATGTATGTATACAGATAGTTTAATATGTACGATTGTGTACGTAATATGTTACAGTTGTGTTAATTATATATATCTTTCTTTTTATATGTGTGTTTCAAATTGCAATCTAATCCTGAAAAAAAAACAATCGTCTGGATTGTGGGACACTGCAAGGGGTACAGAGGTGTCATGGCTCAGTGCCAAACATCTGCAGGATTGTTGGACTCATCTGCTCGTGTTCGCGATTGGCGTCTGTTTCGGTATAGTCCCTGGCTGCGTTTTACTCATCCAGAACCACTCAGTGATCCCCCTCATGAGTGATCCCGTGGAGGATGCTGCTTTTCGGGGCTAATGCTGAGTTTCAGGATTGCCCTTAGTTGAAGAATGTTGAGGTCATAAACCAAGGGGTGGGCAGTCACATGTTGCCGCCAATATATGTTGCTAAGGTAGGCAATGGCAGGCATGACTCAGGCAACTGAAGCGGCATCTGTTCGTGACTACCTTAGTTGTCTGTCTCTATTCTGATGGCACCAGCCCGACTCAGATGACAACGACTATAACGACTTTCACTCCATGATTCCTGCTTCTCCCCCAATTACTCTTCATCTCATAGATATACTTTTGGCATCTGTTGGCTATAGGGGTCTTTCTCATCTGGACGTTCAAGGCCCAAAGCTGCAAGGATGTCAATCCTGGAACAGTCTCCAGACAACACCTGTTGGACAAAGAAGCGGTCTCCCGAACAGTCTTCACCCGCCTGAATGACATAGTCGCCTTTCACTGTTTGGGCCTGGCCGAGGATCCAAAGGCCACCCTAGGCCCCTTGGCCCCGTCCCCGGAAAACCACTCAACCACTCGCCCTGCCCGTCGACATCCTTTCAGGGCTTTAAGATGTTGCAAGAGCTGTTGTGCAGCAACCCACCAGCCCACTTTTCTTTGCCTCCGCCGTGGGGTCGGGTGTTGCCACGGACACGGTGGCAACACCTGCAGTGGCAGCCGCTGGGGTCTCCACGACAGCTTTCTCCGGCAGTTCTGCTCCGATGGAATCCCACAGATTGGCTTCCTCGTCACCTGAAGTGCAAAACGTCGGAGCTTGCGAGAAGCGGAGTTTGTCGTCAGGCTGAGTCCGACCTGTTTGTGGAGCTCGTGTCTTGACAAATGAGTCCGACATGGAGCGGGGCGAATAGACGTGGAGTCTGGGTGGGGTGGGGGTCAATGCAGATCGGATCAAGGAAAGACCAGTTTTTTGCAATGATGCCAGACCCCCCATGATGTCAGCCCCCATGTGTGAGCGAACGAGCACAGAAGGAGAACATGACTGGAATGGAGAAAGCACCCTCGAAGGATCGCGACCACAGAAACGGAAAGAAGGACATGACGAGGCAAAGAGGAAGGACATGAGCACGGAACAAGGAAAGGCTTTTAGGGAGAAGAAGGAAAAAGCTTGTTTTTCCAATTTATTTGCACTAAGAGCTACATGATGGGGATGGCAGCTACATGACCTTTTCTTGAGGGTATGTAGTCTTTTTGATTCTTCCTAGTCAGGTGATCCCACCGAAATCCGGGGGATACCCGAACCTCGCTCAGGGGATCCTGTCGGAAGACGATGAACCGATGAAGGTCATGGAACGTCGGTGCCAAGGTTTACCACAGTTCGCTGGATCTTCCAACTACCAGGACCCGACACCGTGGGGTGTCTATTTATTAGCCCCGTAACTAGCTGTGATTCGGGGTGTCTATTTATACCACCCCGACTGGGGGTGCTGGTATGCAACATGTCCGCATTTTTGTGACACCACCCGGAAGCCATGATGTCGAACCAGACATCCCACGGCCAATCAACCTATGGACCGTGACCAGCTCGGTCAAGGCCCGCCCGAAACGCGCGACGGTCCGGCCATCGGCTCGGTGACCTGATCCATCGGCTCCATCTCCGAGACGGTCCAGCTCGTCCTCGCCTGGCCGCGGCGAGGGCGAGCATCGCCGCGGTGGATGCGAACAGAAGCCCATCGCCGGGAAGAAATCGGGAAAAAGAAGGAGCGCCTGTAGCAAGGGTGTCCGGATCTTTCTCCAGGTTGTGCTTCCGCTTCTTGTCCTTCTTCGCCTGCCAACGGATAGTCATGAATAAAAGCAAATGTTTCAGCCTACATCCAACAGAATGTGCAAGTGTATGCGAATGATCCAGCCTTGTTCTTCTCTCTTTTGCCCTTATGTTCCTTCTTGTCCTTCTCCTTCTTCTCCTTCTTCTCCCTGTTCTCTTTGTTCTCCTTGTTGTCCTTGTGTTTACTCTCTTTCTGTTTCTTCTCTTTCTTCTTCAGCTCATCCTCTTTTGCTTGAGCACCTTTGCTGGACTTCTTTGCTGCCCTGCGGCGCGCATACAGGTCCCAAAAAGGAGAGATGAGAGCAACGAAACCAAGGGCTCTGCCCAAAGAGGGGAAAAAGGGATAGTCCTCGTCAAAAGCGCTTTGGTCCCAGTGCATAAACCACAAAAACGGAAGTAAGCCGCTAACAAAAGAAAGGAAGTAAGCCTTCTCAAAACCAGGCGCGGACTTCGCAGTCACAATCTGTTTTTTGCTCCTCTCGTTCACTTGCAGGTTCTGAGGTTCTGGGCGCCTCTGACCAGGGGTATCTGCGCCAACCTGACATAGCACTTGGTGACACATTATAGAGTCAAAATGTTTGGTCCGCGGTGTTGGAAGCTCAATGAGATGTGGAATGATTCTGAAGCAGAGTGGGCCCCAAACAAACACAACATATAGAAAAGGCAAAGAAATTGAAATAACAATAATATCTTTATGCCGTTGTAAGTGGAGGACCTCTATATCCTCTATAGATGCTGAGGAAAGCAACAGCAAAGGCAGCAAAGGCAAAGGAATCCACCTCTTTGCTGGCCATTCTGCACCGCCGGCTCTGCCATTGCCGAGAAAACCGATGCAGGAGAATTGGCTTGAATATGCTTGAATTGAAGTCATAGTCATGGCGATTCAATTTCCTTCGATCTCTGCTGTCTCGGCGTTTGATCCAATCAAAGTTCAAGTTATCTTCACCAGCTAATCTCAAACTAGTGTGAGCCTACATGATGCCATCACAGGGGCCACACCCATCAGCAGGCTAAGCAAGCGCACAGCGCTTTTGGACTGAGTGGTTCTTGAATTCTCACATGATCCATGATCTTCTTTGGATGTCTGCCGGAAAACACCCCCCAAAAAAAGAAAGAGAAAACAAGTGCATCTTTTCAGCACCATGTTCCACACATTTCAGTCCAGTCTGAGAAAGACCACCTGGGAAGAAGGTCCTCCCCTCCCTCCCTTCCTCTGCAACCCACCCTTCGCAGCGGCGCCGTGGCAGTCCAAGTCCAGGCCGTCCGACTGTGCCAGCACTGCCGGACGGGGAGCCTGCCAGTGGGCATCAAACTCCCAGGCATGGTACCTGCGAAGTCGAGCGTTGGTCTCACGCCGGTCTCAGGGCATCCGTGGTGCCAAAAAAGACACTGTCTTACTTAAACCAGGGCCCCCTCCTTGGGGTGTCTCTTTTTTAGCTCCTTGGAGGTTAAGGGGTATATCAATTCACTACCCCCCACAGCGGGAGGCCAGGGCGGTCTATTCTGCGTCTGAACCCGGTTCAAGGTCGCTCTCGCCCGTCCCGAACGTCCCGAGTTCGGGGACCCAGCGACCGGTTTCGTCCGGGAACAGCTGGGCTCCACTCGTGAGAACGAACAGCTTGCAGGTTCACCGCAGCCAGCTCACCACAGCGACCGGTTCTTACATGAGAACATACCGAGCAACAAGATTGTTGGACTAAAGATTTTGCACCATACAAATTCAAACAAAACCAGGTCAGAAGATGTTTGAATCTTGAATGGTCTTGGAAGGCTATAGGGTAAAGTAAGCTTTGGTGGCTACGAGCCACAGTAAAACCACGCCATGTCGCCGAAGCGCACGACACAAGCGCACGACACAGCGCCCCTGCCTGAACACTGAAATCCGAGCGGTTCATTTACAGATCGATCGGCTCCTGCCTGATACTGGTCCAGTCCACATGCGAACTTTGCACCTCGGCGAAGTGCTACGCTCCGCCGATCCAGTGCCGTGTCCCCATCCCTTCACTCCCTTCATCAACTCCAGACACCAGTTCCTTTATACTGACCCCCAGGCCCAGTCATAGATCTAAAAAAGTAGACCCCCACCTATCCTCACGTCGAAACATGTCTTGGAAACGGTTTCAATACCACCTGGGGACGCGTCCAATGCCACTCCTCTCTGAACGTTGCTCCGGGGCATCGGCGTCCAAGCAATCGATGTCCGGCAGCTCCCCGCTCGGGAGCTCCGCGAGAACGGGCCTCGGGAGGAGACACGGCCTTTGGCCAGACACTAAGAAAGCCAAAACCACGGCGGGCCGGCCAGACTGGCAGAATGTGGCGGAAATGCCGGATGCCTGAACAAGAGGTTCGATCTTAGAAAGGATCTTTGACGAGACGTGCCCACCCAACTCATCCAGGTTGAATTCTTCAGGCTTCCCACGATTTCCTTGGTTTGCTCAGATTTGGCGGGAGAGTCCTCAGTCATCCTCAGTCCGCAAGTAGGATGTGGTTCCTAGGATCGCGTTCGGCTTCCAAGTGATGTCAGGCTTCCAAGCACTTCGGCGCCAGCCAGGCCAGCCAGGCCAGCCCATATCAAGAGAGCAAGGGAAGGACCTCAGATTCGAGGATCGGGACGGGTTCTGACTGGTTTTTTCTATAACCAGGTTGTGCAATTGTCCTGAGGAAGGAGACTAAGGCTAAGGTCTTCTTCATGAACGAAGCAGCTTCAGCACGTAGTTTCGCAACGCGGCGGGTTTTGCATGGTGTTGAGATGTTTTAAGTCTAGAAGCTATAGTAAGGATGCATGTTCTTCTTAAGGGGAAATGCATCCGACAGATTTGGCCCGGTCAATTTTGCCTAAGACGATGCTGCTTCGCTGCTTGCTATATAAATAGTCGCCGTTCGGCTTTCGGCTTTGGAAATATATGCGAGGGTATCAAATGCATATTATTCCAAGGGGAAGAACAAAGCACTGAAAGGAAAGCTTCCCCACTTCACCAACATGTTTGGTTGAGAGTTGCAAGGTCCAATTGAAACCCCTGCCAGTGAGTGCCACAGGTCGAGGTACATCATATACCTAACTGGAAAACATGGAATCATGACATGACAGAATAACTTGCCGTGACTCAACCTACATCTTCTTCCAATGCTTCCTAAAATGCGCTCACCATAGCAAGAGATTCACCCAACAAAAAGGAATGCAACTCCACTACCTTGAGATAAGCTATGAACACGCGAGTGACGGCACGCCAGTGACGAGTGCAGGCACGTGAGTGGCGAGACAGCGACGAGTTCTCATGAAGCTGCTTCTTGGTTTCGAGTTCAGAATTCAAGCAACTTCTGGCAGTTGCAGACCCAGAAACACCAAACAAACACTTGCGCCATCAGTTCGAGAGTCGCCCCCCAAGCAACCTAAAAACAACACCTGCCTCTTGTCCTCTCTGCACGTGCCATCCATGAGCTTTGGGTGAGACATGACAGCTCTTTGGGTACCTAACGCTGTGGTCTTTTTTTTTCAAAAGCCCTGCTGAGACATGGCTGATTTGGTCTTCATGTGCCTTCTGCCTTCTGTCTGCACAAGCTGGACATATGCAAAACCAAGGATGGCATTGATGGCATTCAACAAATGTGAGCTGCTGTGCATTGCCTAAACTGGACCCAGTAGTATGCTAATGATCAAGCGCCAGCGGCAGGTTCCGTGTGTGCAGCTAGAAGCCAAGTAGCAAATCCGAAGCAGTGCCACCTACTGCAGACTTGCTGAACATGTGACACCAAACCCTCGGTGATGTCTAAAGGCCTAATTAACCACGATGGTCTTCGTTTCAGCCCTTCTTGGGACATTCAGGTCCACCCACACCATCCCACACTCGCATCACCATTTGAACAACGAAGCCACTGTACAAACGTCAAAAGTCAAGGAAAGGCCAAGAGATCTCGACGCCACGGCTGGTGAGACTGCAAGGCCATTGGCCAAGCCACGCCGCCACGTCGCCATCTTACGCCTGCGAGGCGCAAGAGTTGGGCGCCAACTGAGGAGTCGAAGAAGATGCAACTGATGCACACGTCTATCAAAGGAAAACTGGTCATATTAAAGGACATGTCGGTGATAGGCGTGACATGTGTGACATTCGGTAGATGGCCAAGGTGCTCAAAGATACGCCATGTTTCATGCCGATCTCCCTAACCAAAGAAGACCCACCTTCCCCAAGGCTCGGAGGGCTTCGCCTCAGGAATTGGTTTCGAAACAATCGCAGCCATGAAGCAAACGACAGTGACATCAAGTGACAGCGGTCGATGAAGAGTTTAATACCATCTGTGTTTGCGGTATGCTTTTGTACCAACTGCTGCCAAAAGTGTGTTTTTTTCTCCCTCTTCGGCGAGTGTACATTCCATTGCATGTGTCCGAGTTTCTGTCCCAACTTGTCTCCATGTTTCACCCCCACTCAGTGGCGGACGCTGACGCCCTGCAAGCCAATGGCTACCACCCACTCCCGTCGGTGGACCCGGCCGCGGAGCAACCTCCTGGAAAATCGGGGCACGCGATGCTCACATTGATTCAGCTAAGCAAGCTCCCGGTTTCTGTTTAGCCTGGAGGTTGCTGACCCAAACGTTTGTAGAAAAGGGCCGCGAACTGCAGGTGAACAACTGTTGTTTCTGGCAAGCTTTACGGCTTTACGAAGTCTGACAAATTAATAAGCGCTCAATGACGAGGACCAAAAACAATCATGTGTTTGAAGTTGGGAGACTGCGGTGATTGGCAGTCCAGCTTGCACTGGGAGAGCGCATCGGGACCCGGATCGTCGGGAGCCTTGCGCTCGTCCAAGTACCTTCGCGGGCCGCGGCGTTTCGGTGCGAATCCGTGCGCGTCGAGCGAGCGCAATCGACGGGTGAGGTTCTTCTGAAACATGGATCTACTCATTACACGCTATACAATATACATGCCATGTAATTAGCATATGGCACACTCCCCCCGAAGCCGACAGTGGACCATGGTCCACCACAAAAACGAATAAGAAAACACCACGAAGTCTGCTACGGCAAACCAAGGAGGAACCGGTGTCACCTGACCATGTCTTCTACGGCGGCAGCATCCTGCGATGTCGCGGCACCAGGGTTGGACACATCAAGGTTCGCACAGGCCCACAGCGGCACGTATTCCACTCCTCTTCGAGGACGGAGGTTTCTCCCGTGTCAAGGTTGTGCAGCAGAAATGGAAGGAGATTGGCCTCCAACCGGGCAGATTTAGGCAAAAGATTGCAAAAGGATCAAGAGTCCAGAGAGATTTCACACTTGGTTCCCGTCGCAAGCAACGAAGTTGCTTATTTTATGGTTTTTGAACTGACCCCCCACCCAAAAAAAAGGCCGTCAAAATGACCAGCGGAACTCGGGAGCACAGAACCATCTAAGAGGGGAGTTTGTACGACATTGTACCCTTCACCCCCCTCCTTGCCAAAACGAAGTCAGACTCGGACCGCTTCAGAGCATTGATGTTCACCGCGCACCGTTCGTCGCGGCCTTACCGGTGCCGACCCTTGGCCTGGCCGGTCTTTTCACCTGCGCGCCGGCCGGTCTCCACTCCCTGGTGCTTCTGCCCCTGGGCGCCGAAAGAAGGGGAAATCCGAAGGTCTGACCGGGCGTGCACGTTGTCGGCCGAGCGGTCTGATTCAGGTCGACTTGACTGGAGGTATGACCCCACTTAGGGTTCTGGCGCTTTGGACACGTTTCACTTCCCAGCAGAGCTTCTCTCCTGACAGAATGTGGTGGACTCATGACCACTCATCTCTGGACTGATGTACAGTGCAATAGCCTCCCACATACATGGAAGTGGCAGAAATATGAGGAAATACCTCCTATCTTCTTCGGAAACTGTTCACTTTCATGATTTTGAGGGGCACCTCTGCAGACCAACTCTCTCTCTCTCTCTCTAGGTGTAACCGTGCGTCGTGCCTTCCCACCACAGCACAAGCTTGGGCTCAAGATCTTCAGACTGCCAGTCTCAGCATGTCGTCGCAGAGTGTGGGACATGCGAGAAGACCAATAGCCAAGTAATCAATCTGCCTTTCCAGCCGCGTTCGTGCACCAAATGGCCAGCATTGGCCAGCCATTTCCAACCCCCAAAGGAATCCCAACAGAACAGCCACTGCTTTGGCGACGTGCGCACTGCGCCACCAGCTCCGTGGGCCGGCCGAGGTCGGCCACGAAGCCGCCTGAGGTTCCCAACTGTATGCAGCCTCCAATTCCGAGAGCATCCGGTGAGACACCTCAGCCAGTGAAACGCTGGGACTCACCATCAGCTCAGTCATCAAGTCTGACTCTACATCAGCCGGGGCCGGGGATATATATATATATATATATGCCAAAATGACACACACCGAACTGCAGTCCCTTGCGCTTTTGCGCGAAGTGACTCTTTTTGCACGAAATGTCCGACAAATTCACTTATGTTAACCATCCCCACAGGAGCCCAAAATGTATTTCAGGGGAGCCAAGCCTCAAATTGCTGTGCGTCAGCAAGTAGCACTTCCGGCCTCCACTGAGTTGGGAGAGTGTTCGACCGCAGCTGCTTGTGTGAGAATTGCCTAAACTTCCCTCTGGATCAAAGGAATCCAACACTTAGCTCAGGAGCAAGCTCAAAGCGTCGCATTCGCCTCCAGCGAAAAGGAGCTGGATGGCTTTTGGCCGCTCCATTGGGTTCCAAAACTTCCAATTGTGCCGTATGCTGGCTACTACGAGCCCCCAAACATGCGCCCTCACATCCCGCACCAGTGCGAAATGACAATACTGTCTCGATGTCTTATCATGTGAGTGACTGAGCGATGTCAAAAGTCTATGGGTTCCTCACAAGCCCGTTTTGGTGAGGAAGTACGCACAGTAAGCAACAGGTCTGGTGAGTGGTACTCATGTCCAAACCCACGAAAAAACACGCAGAATTTGACCACCCATGCAAGTGAAGCATAATTCTCCTCATGAATTCATTTAGGTTGTCTTTAAGTAGGACCGGGCTTCAAACACAAACTTCTTCAGGAAGGTCAGGGTCTCACAGGCATCGAGGGATTGCAGCACCTCACACCATGCGGATGCCAGAGGAGGAAATCTAGACACCTGTGCCGTTCAGAACGCAATCAAAAGGGTAGAGTTCTCTCCGAAACCTCCAAAAGCCATCACCTCGAGGTTAAGAAGTAGCTGTGATGTTGAGGGCTGAGCATCTGCAATCTGCTTCAGCAGTGCTAAGCCCACCTGCCAGGTCCCACGTGCCGAAGTGATCCAGTTCGGCGGTTGCGTGGCACGAACGCTTAGATCACCCACCTGCACGATGACCTGCCAGCCGGCGACCAGAAACCTGTCCTCAGCAACGGGTAAAAACATCGTCTTCCAAAATGGGTGTGAAGCAAATCACAAGAACAAAAACAAGATGTTCTGCAACATCAACCGGGTATATCAGTAATTAGTTGGTATGTATTGGACATCAGTTTTCCAACATGTTCCACTTGTTTTTGATGGCACCCACGTGGATTTAGACGCAAGGCTAAGGCTGCCGGCCCAGATTCGATGAACAGCGCGCTGCGGCAGGTCACTAGCAAACAGGGTCAGGAACCTTAAGGCAGTTTCAGATGATGACATAACAATCATCACAGTGATTGAAATTGATGTTGAAGTTCAACAAGCTCCATCAGATTAAAGGTCATCAACAAGCTCCATTGCATTGAATTGATATTCACAGTGATTGGAATTGAATATCAACAAGTTGAATATCAGATCAGCTGGACCGCCCAAGTTACTGGGCTGAATTTTGTTCATCCAACCGATTCCCTTGGCGGTGGAAGCCTCGACTTTTCCGACCAACTGGTCGACTCAGTGTTCCACCACTGCATCGCGTAGTACTCAGCTGTAACTCCGTTGACCTGGAGAACCTCGGTGTCGCAGCTACCGAGTCCCAGCGACAACAGCGACCGAAAGAGACACGAGGTGTCGCCCCTTTATGACTCGCGGCCACGCCATTGTTACCCTATGAAGAAAGCCCCATGGATCCCCATGGTGTCACTTTTTAGACACCACTTCATATTGGTCTCGCTTCAATCGAGACAAGGATTCATGGTGGAGGTGAAGGTCTTCCGTGAAGACTCGGATGACCTTCAATCCGAAGACCCGACGTCTGCGGTGTTCGATACAACGGCCCGCCCGTTCTGCCGCCGGAACGTGAGGGCCAAGTAGCTGCATGCACATCCGGGAGGAAGGCTTCCACGATGCGGTCAAATTGCCAGACCTTACTAGATTCCAGCATGGTCACAATCCGCCGAACCGATTATGTTCAATGATTTTCCCATTCTTTCTAGAAACATAGAGGGCTCGATGCCCAACACCATCTAAATCCTACATCCATCTATAGATCACCTCTTGTACCGTACGTTATGTTGCTTCTTCACCACCGTTTCGGACCTCCGGTCTCCACCGTTTCCGTGACACGGACGACCCCCACCGAGCCACCGTCACGCCCAACTTCGGGAAGCGCGGCCTCCGACCGACCCGACCGACGGCACGGTCGCGGGCGTTGGGCGTCACATGTGTGTCCACGTGGTGTCGACTCGTGCGTCCGCCCCTCCGAAGAAGGGAGGGGTCCGATGGGGTTGATTGATCGAGAGTTCTTGGACACAAATCAGACAGCAACTACAGCACTTGCAATGTTGAAAGGGAAGAGTGGCCACGTCTTGCCAGATCTGGCCTGTAGAAGTCAGCCAGAGAATGGCGGAAAAGAAGTGCTTGAGCACAGCGGAAGACGACATCCTCCAGCGAGCAGAATGTTCACTCCCATCATTCTATGACAAACTCCTTCAATCGAAAGAGTGATTCAGTGATTCTGCATCAGCCGTGAGCCCAGGAAACTTCCTGTTTCATTAATACGTATGCTGGGCTGCTGGATCTGCTATATGTGTAGGATATCGCCCAAAACGCTCTCTTCCGTCTTGCGTGTATGAGTTGCGTTTTCAAAAACAATTGGAGCTGGAGAAAGCTTGAGCCAACATGAAAAACTGGAAGGACCAAACAGGCCAAACAGGCCCACAGGTTGCGGGGTGAGTTGGAGGAAGCCAAACAAAGGATGACTCCCTGAATGCCTCTGGCTCTTCTGCTAGAACCTGAGTCCGAACCCCAGGCGCAGGTGTTCGTTTGTCTGGGCCCAGGCGACCTCACCAAGCTGTCCGGGTGGGACCCTTGAAAAAAGAAGGCCGTTTCAACCTCCCCAATCTGAGAGAGAAGAACCAACTTGAAGGCCGATGCCCTTGTCAGCATGGCGAGCGAACAGCGCGTTGTCGAAATCTTGGCCCTGGACAACGATCAGCGTTGCGACTACAAAGTTTAGGCTTTGAACATAGCCAATGTCCCACAAGTGCCTCGGCTTCTGCCACACCGAACTCTTGTGAAGGTGAAGGTGATGAATTATCGAGGATTCTTAGTAAGACTCATAGGATACTGTATCTCTAAGATGCTATAGTAATTACATCTGTCACCTCGTTCTTGCTGCTACACTCTGAGCTTCGATCACGGCCAAAGCACGCAGGATGCGGAACAAGGATTGCTGCCCTTTGCCTGGCCATCGCAGCCGCGCGAAAGCATCGCTGTGATGGTTGGTCGGTCACACAAGATGTGGCACTTCAATCTTCATCCGCCCCTAGGAACAAGGGCATTGCTAGTAATAGTAGCAGAAGCTACTCGTAGCTCGTGGCATTACTACTAAGAACAAGAAGCTACGAGTACTAGTAACAAGGGCATCGCTACTAGGAACAAGGGCAGGCGACTGCATACCTCTAATTAGTCCATTTGATATGAGTTTGCTGTGAGCCTCTATCGCTTGCCACACGGTGGAGCACTTGTGCAACATCAGGTAAGTCTATACTCGCCAGGCAGTTGTCTGACCACGAATCTTGACACTCGCATGGCAGTGAGTGAAAACCTGGCAGCCAAATAACTACTTCCCTCAACATACCACAACTACACAACTCCCCTTCTCCCCTTCGCAAATACACACACCGCCCGGCCAGTCCGCACCGCCCCAAAAAGACTCCGCTCCAGTCCACGCGGAACGCACCGTCTTTCTCTCGGAAGAGCTCCTCCGAGGGCAACGTGCGCGCCAAGTCGCGCCGGATCACCTCGCTCCGTGCGTCGCTTTTCGGCACCGACGAAGAACCTCCGTGGCGAGCGCGTCGGACTGCGTTTTTCCTACGTGGCCCAGGTGTCAAAGGAGGCTTTAGTCATGCCATGCCAGGCCCCTGCGTGGCCCCTGGAGTGTCCGGGGCGGGGTTGGGTGGCCGGTCATGACCTTCGGTTGGATCATCAAGCGCCGTCCCTTCGTTTCATGAACAGTCGGTGGTTCCGAAGACATGCTGAACGCTTGGTGTCAGCGCTTGAGAACCTGGTACGCCGTTGCGGTAAAAGAGGCGAAAACGAAAAAGGTGTGAATGCTCTACGGAGATTTGACCCCTCCAGGACCCTAATTAAAAAAATGTTTGATGATGTTTGATGCTGCATAATTACGCATGTTCCCGCATGAGTCCAGCTTCGCATTGAAATGCAAACTATCACCATTGCCATGGGGCCGGCTTTGGGTATGGCGATGAAAGGGCTATGGCGTGGTGTCCGTTTCAGAAACCAGCAGAGATAAGCCAAGGACGGCATCGTAGGGGCATGGAGCTTGAAGAGAGATGCTGAAATCAAAGGACACCTGATGAAACATCACATGATTCACACGTGATTCACATTGATTCACATGATCTGAACAAATGTCCAAGACTGCACCACCACCTGCCTTGGTGTTCAACCTTGGCCAGGCGAATTCATCTGGTTCTTCGGCGGGTTTCGGCGGGGTCTTCATCTGAGTCGAAGACCCGTCCAGCAGCAGGACCTGGACATCACACATGACCAGCTCGGCTTGATCCTTTCTCGAACAACCTGAACCTTGGGTAGTTGGGCTACATTTTGGGAGTATCCTTGTTATCCTTATAGCAGGGTGGTGATGATGATCATGATGATTATGACAAAAAATAGCAGTCGCAGCATTGGTTATCGTAGTTGTTCGCAACTACCCTCCCCCACCAAAACCAAAACTGGGTGACTTCAACTCAACGAACATGAGTCAGCGGGATGACTCGTGATGAATCATCCCAACTAAAGCATCCAAATATCTGAAAACCACCACAACCCCAAAAAAAGCAAATGAAAGAAACATCACGCGCCGGTTAGCGGCAACTCGCCCTCCCGGAAGGACTCAAACACCGGGCACTTGCTTCACCCACCTCGCCCGCACCGGGCACCCGTGCTCTCCAGGTCCGGCTCCTCCGCCGAGCTCCCACGTCACGCGTCCACAACTCCGACTCCTCCGAGGCCGAATGAGAGACAAAGCCTTAATTCCAGTATAAAACCGGTAGCGGTAGCATGATGTGGCCATTTTTTCATGTGCTTCCCCCATATACATTCGCCCACACTTCCCGTTTCGTCCATCAAAGGCGACCACAAGATTCGCTGCCACTGCCGGCTCGTCTGCCAAGACTCATGCAATTCCTCACAAGGCACGTTGGTGGGAGTCTGAGAGGCGATCATGGCCCAGCAGCGGGCAAATAAGAAAGAATGTGTGTGTGTGACATCTTCTGTAAAAAGCTGTGTTGGCATGTTTCAAAACACATGCCTGGCTTGAAGATATGAAATATTATACATACGTATACCCGAGAAGGGAGGAGACGAAAGCCAGCCCCTGTAGGGACTAAGAAGCCTCAGAAGTCTTATTGTTATTCTAGGGCAAAACCGAAGCTGCACTTATTTCTTGCGTTCTTTAGCCACGGGAAAACAGAAGGCAGAGACACGCAAAGTTTCACATTATATTGCGGCTCGATATGATAGAGCCGATATACACAAGCCTGACCAACCCCCATCCACTGTTACTGGTCATAGGATAGGCTTGGATCCCACGCTCTTGTACAAAAGTCCAACATTTAGAGTTGTGGGGGCGCCCTGCTTCTTCCGGCTTAGGGCGCTTTTCACATTCTTGCCTCCACTCCTGTCCTCTACTTGGACTCACACACCTGGTCGCCGTTGTTTGTTGCATTTCTATTTTGGAAGGGAAGCACAAAGGGCACCATTGCAAACACTGCAAATGTCATTCAGTCTCCTCTCTCCTGTCCTCTACCCGGGCCCACACATCTGGCCGGTAGACAATCCAATAAATAGTTTTCTGAGCACTTTCTGATGCTAATGATGCACTGGTCAGCATCATTTGCATCACTTACATCACCAAACCCCTAAAAACATACATGTTCACTACCTTCTGCGCCGCCTCTTTTTTCGCTCTCCCCCACCAAGCTCTGCGTTCACCCTGCCCGGCGGGTACCATCCTGCAACCACTTCCCTCCACCCCCCTATTACTCACGGCGTTCGCCATCGAGGACTCAGCGATGCCTATCGGCTGGCTTTCGTAATGACTAAATACAATTAAATACATATTAATATAGTATACAGTAATGCTATATATATATATATATCTATTCCATCCAGAATCACCTGCCCACAAGTTACACCTATTCGGGTTCCATGACTTGCGAGCGCATGTCTACTAAGCTTACTAAACGCTCTTCGCTCATTCTGCCCGCCCCGGCATGGCTGAGCTTTCGACCGTCAGACTGAAATTGCTGGCCAAACAACTAGCAGCAGCTGGGGGCAGCCTCGACTGGCATCTTCTCTCGGTGCGTGGTGACTTCATAAAATCTTACAAAAATCATGGACAGCCAAGCCTTTCCCAACGTCCATCGCCAGGTAGGTCCTCGCGATTGGTGAAGGTCCCTGGTTAATGGTCCAGATGCCTCCGCGTCACTAGAGTCCAGTAACTTCTTGTTAGTATGTGTTGCCGGTCCCAAACGCCAACGCCAACTTCTTTCCAACACAACCCAGCACTGAAATGCACAAATTGAGCACATCAACCAAAATCTCCCTCAAGTAAAGCGGCTCTTGGGTGCCGACCAAATTGGGTAGTCCCGATGCTTTCAGGATGCATCGTGTATCACCGACTTACTTCAACCGAAACCTCCGTCCGCCTCCACCTTCATCCACCCTGCTCCAGCTTTTTCCGGTCTCCACCGGCTGCAAGCGATCCAGGACTTCCCGCAGCTCGCGCGGCAACGCGGCCACCGCACCAAACGGTTGTCCCGTGAAATCCCGGAGTTTCACCCGGCGGCAGTGCAGAAAGAGCCGTTCGCAAGTCAGCAGCGTCGAGGCTTTGGCACCATAGGTGAGATCTCCCAGCAATGGACGACCCAGGTAGGCCAGATGCACTCGGATCTGGTGCATCCGCCCCGTGATGGGCTTCACTGACAACAAGGTCAGTTCTCTTGTATCCGTGTGAGCGGTGTTGGGCGCACGATATCGGGCTAGGATGGTGTACTTGGTGAGTGCCTCCCGCGCTTTGGGCTGGGCATCCCCCACCACCATCCGACCCTGGAGCTCATCCGCTAGCAGTGGTACAGACACCTGCCCAGTCGAGCCCACTGAACCCAAAGGCTCGCCTTCACATAAACAAATGTATTTCTTATCCACCAAGCGACTAGCAAACTGCACCTGCAGCCAATTGGCCTGGGGAGATCCCGCCTCACCCAGTGCCAGCATCAGAATCCCTGAGGTGGGATGGTCCAAACGGGAAACGACACTGAAGGGGCCCCTTTCTTCCGGTAGAGTTTCGCAGCGAAGGTTTTCCACGAAGACCTCTGTGGCAACCCCCGCTGGCTTTAAGCATGCAACGACACCTTCACCAATACGCACGATGCCTTGAGGCGGGTGTGTTTTCACCTTCGTCCTCTGTGTCCTCGTCAGGTGCGTCAGGTGCCATGCCTCAAGGACTGCTTGGAAAGGGCGAAGATCTCCAGGCCAAGCGTGGCTCCAAACTGCTTTCATCTTGCTTATGAGCTGCAAGGCTTTCATCTTGCTTTCATCTTTTCCTTGGTCCTTTCCTTTACGGATGGCATTAGCGGCAGAGCCCACATGCAGTGCATCTGGGATAAGGTGATGTGACTCAATGTGGCGCAAGGTAGCTAGAGCGGCTTCCCATGCAGAATCGTCCTCACATGCGCTCATGAGAACACCAAACATAATAGCTGTCACATGCACGTGCCGTGCCTGCAGGCCATCAAGAACCTGCAAGCACAGCTGCCACCCTCCTGGCTCAGCTGCAGTACTCAAGGTGGTGGTAAAGCAAAACTCACCGGGCTCAAGGTGCTTTCTGGTCATGACATCTAGCAAGGTAAGGCTCAGCTGCCACTTGCTGCTCGCATGACAAGCCGTCAATGCACTGTTGAAGCTCACAAGGTCTGGCTCAATAAAGCTGGCGGGCAGTTCTTGAAACAAAGCCAAACCCGTCTGCCACCGGCTTGCTCGAACGCACGCGCTGATCGCTGTGTTGTAACTCACCTCTTCCGCCGCAAGACCCAACGATGGCATTAAACTTATCAGGGATAAGGCCTGCTGCCACTGGCTTCCAGAAGAGCAGGCACTGATGGCACTATTGCATGCAACTTCACTGAGGGCCATGGACTTCTGACGCATGTGCTGCAGATTGGCCAAGGCGCTTTGCCATTGCTGACCCGCATCGAGTGCCTTGATCAGCGAACAGAAGCTCACGAGGTCGGCGCAAACGGAGGAGCTCAACATCCCCTCGAAGACGCTACAGGCCAATGCCCAGCGCGCTGCACTTGCACATGCAGAGATCACAGAGCTGTAGCTGAAGTTGTCTGGCTGCAACTTGGCAAAATGCATTGAAGAAAGCAAGTCTAAGGAACGTCTCCATGAACTCCCCTTCTCACAAGCTGCCATCGCTGAGCTGAAGGTGATCACATCCGGACGGGCAGCTGCATCAAACAAATCCAGTGCACGTGCCCACTCCCCTGCGCATGAAAAGGCTCCCATCATCGCATTCATCGTCACGGTGCTGGCCAATCCAAGCTCAGCGGTGCGTTCGAAGAAAGACAAAGAGGCTTCCCAATGTTCGCCCTTCCCACATGCTGTGATGGCGCTGTTCCAACACACCGAATCCGGTGGAATTCGCCTTTCATCCATGTCTGCCAACAGGTCGATGACCACTTCCCATCCGGACGGGGATCTGCGATGGACGCGCTCCTCCGGCACGGACGCCGGGATCGCCCTGATCACGGCGCTGTAGTGGAAGGCATTGGTTTGAAGAAGCTGGACTTGCATGAAGCGCAACAGCTCCAAAGACAGCTGCAACGCGTCTCTTCCGGAGCACTTGGCTCCCAGCTCTCGAAGGACTTGTGTGGCAAAGCGTGGGTCTTTGAAGGAATCTTTGAATTCTCCCAGCACCTCGTTGAAGGACCCCGGTGTCGAGTGTCGTAGTAGTGCTCCCAGGGTCCGAGCCGTCTCCGCCATGCCGTCGGTCCCGTGGCGGTTTCGCTCCGAGAAACCGCGGAGAAATCGCTGTTCGACACGTTGATCTGGCGGCGAACAAGCCGGATAGATCAAGTCCGCAGGGCGAAATCGAGTGATTGGTTCAGCGGAAGCTGGGAAAAGCAACATGACATTTCAATGAGAAGAATGAAAATCATGGCCAGGTCTCCAAAGACATCAAAGGACATAGTCACCAGTTCAAATAGAATGGTCTTTTGGCTCATGCTGATGCTTCCCCCCATCTTATTGCCTAAACCGAGACTGTCTGACCAAGCCTGATGTGGCACAGGCAAAGTGTGAATGTGTTCCCCGGATTTTGGTGCACAAGAAGCACTAGGCCTCGGCATTCGCCAAGGCCTGGGCCAGGCTGTTATTCGCCAAGCACAGGGGTCCTTTGGAACTCTCTCTTCGGGCCGCTGGTCCTCTGGCTTCGCGCCTGTGTGAAGACCTAAGTGGTTCATAAAACTCTGGATGTTCAGACGTCGCTATTGTATCTACCTGTGTGCCCCAAATGCGGTTATCATACAGAAAGAATCCCACATCAAACTGCGAAAAAGATCAAAACAGTTGCATTCTGGGCAGGCACTTTTCGGGGAATGTGCCTCTCTTACACAGGTGAACATCACTTGGTCATCCTCACCCAAGCCCCTTAGGCCGTAGAACAGTCTGAGACCCTTCCACCAAGAAAAAGCGAAGGAACTCTCCGGGAATCCACATCCTCCTCCAAAGCCGATATAATCCGAACAATCCTATTAACCAGGACGTTTGCTGACCAGTTCTCCAGTTCTCCCGACCGGCGCCCAAAACCAGACCTCTCTGGAGCCTCTGCGACCTGAGTGTGCCACGTGGACCGGCGACAGACGCCGCAGAAGAGCACGTGCCATATGCACCCGCCATGTGGACAGACTAGGACAGGCTAAAACCAACCAGGTCGACCGCCGCTGTAGAGTATTGGCATCTTTGAAGCAGATCTGAAGCATCATGCGTTCTTGAATGCTGAGTGTTGTTGAGTGTGTCGTACTTACTGGTCTTGAGGCTCACAAGACCCCATTTGGGATCTACTTGCTCTGCTGCTGAGCTTCAATCTCTGGCGTGTTGCATTTTCGAGCCCTACTTGTCTGCAGGATACTGCAAATACCTTCTGTACCGCAGCTAGTCAAGAAGTATGTTCGGTTGTGTTTGATGTAGAACTTTTGCTTTTCACCCAGAACTTCTTCGTCTGGTTTTGGACGAGTGATGCTTTAAACAACCTCACCGCACGCGCAGAAGCTCGAAGCTCCTCGCGCGCACGCGTCGTCACTGCGTCCGACCGAAGCTGTGGAACCAGCAGCGGAAAATCCGTGAGCCCCGACATCTCACGCCAGTCGCAGATGATGTCGGCAGGACTGGTAATTGGCACAAATCATTCAGAATTAGTTCTCTGGCCCGAGAACAGACTCGCCGCTTGAGGTATGAAAGATGAAAGGTGGGGCCCATGGTGGGCATGAAAGGTGACTCACCCAGTTTGAACGCCCACTTGAGGAAGAAATCCAAAAGCAAATCCAGTGGAGTCCTCTTTCCGCGGAAGTACGCGATTCCCTGTGGTCACCCCCGATAGGCGAACGGCATCAAACGGCGACTCCAATGGCCACTACAGCAAGGCACTCGATTCGGGGGAAATGGTTCGGAGCTTCGGCGGCATCAAACCAGCTTTCACAAGGCTGTCGACTTCACTATGCAAAGTCAAAGGGTCTCAAAGGCTGTTGTCACATCACGATCATCACTTTTTGAGCTTCCGAACTGAAGGCAAACGTTAGATGGCTTGCTGGTTCCTCGACCGCACCATCTTCCACAAACGGCCGGCCGGAAGGAAGAGGGCACCCATTGAATTCTGGCTGGCGTTTTTGCCTTGAAATGTTAGGATTGATTGTCCACGACCTTTGTAACTGCAATGGCCTCGAAGCAGGTCAAACTCGGACATCAACATGGGTGTGGTTTCAAACTCCCAAAAAAATGCAGCTTCGAACATCTGGCATCTCCCTAACGATGATTTTTGGGTCGTGCAGATCGCCCCATTTGAGACGAATATTGCAGAAAACCTCGCAGAGTCGGGTCTCACAAAGGAGTTTCGAGACAAAGCACGTTTTACTATTATTTGATTGATGGGCCTTGACTCACACTGATGTAAGGAGGAGAAGGAGTTTTTTTTCTGAAAAGGGCCTTCTCTTCAATCCAAACAGGGCTGCGCGTTTGTTTGGTTGGGTGAACATTCGTCTCTTTCCAGCCTCGGCCACGTTTTTGACCTCGGATTTGAGATTGTAGCCCACCTTTCCTCTTCGTTGACGGTCCATCCTGAAGCGAGCGGTGGTCGACCCAACCATCCAGAGGTGACCATGGGTGTCGTGGCAACCGGCCACCACCTCACCTGGAAGATGTTTTTCGGGTCATTGGGATTAGGATTCGTCATGACGGTTTAAAACATATGCAGCGTGTGTATATATATATATATACACCTGAGAAAGGAGGGGGCGAAAGCGGGCCACCGTAAAACATGTCAATATGGTTATGGGGGGTGAATGCGAGAGCCCTGGTGAGCTCCCCACCTCTTTTCCTATCACCTCCTCCCCCGCTATGCCCACTTTGCACATTCCCACTCCAAATGGGATGCCCTTTTGCGTCAGGTCAACAGGCCTCTTCACCATAAAAAAAGGGTACCCCCAAGCAACTCAAAGCTTGCCCGCTCCATTCTGTTCCCTCCCTGTTCTTTCTTGCAATCCCTCTTTTCCTATCACGTCCTCCTCCACTATGCCTGTCTCGGCAACTAGACCTCTTCACCGTAAAAAAAGGGCACCACCAAGCAACTCAAAGCTTGCCCGCTGCATTTTGTTCTCTTTCCTGCCCTCAACGGACCACAGCATTACATGAACTCGCACCCCATATGGGGTGCCAATTTGCGTATAGTTGACAGGCGTCTTCGCCATGAAAGAAGGGCACCCCCAAGCAACTCTAACATTTCTTGTAAACACTCTTTGTCTACCACCTTCCCCACAGCATTCTGGCTTCTCACAGATCACACAATGTCTTGAGAGACACACACCTCCCTTTCACACTATTTTACTGGCCATGGGAGGCGCGCACTTTTCTGGAGGAGCTCCAACCACTTTTCGCATCCCGTTGTCCCCTGTTTCCTATGATTGACATGAACTCCCACCCTGGTAGAAAACGGTTTACATTGCCTCTTGAGCCCCTCGTGATGCTAATCATGCACTACTGGCCGTCAATTACATCACCGGCATCACAACACCCGCAAAAACTACTCGTTTTCACTGCCAAGTGGCCACCTCTTTTTTTTTCGCTCTCCCCCACCAGGATCTGGGTCAGCTCCCCGAGATTGCTCGCAACCACCCCCCCACACCCCCTTACTCACTTCGATCGCATAGCCACCTCAAGCCTTGCCTATCGGCTGGCTTTTGTGGTGTTTCATGGTTTATTTTAAACATATTTTGCATAATTATATATTTATCCATGTAAATATAACTATAATATATATATATATACTATAAATTACAAGATTTCCAAAATATTGGACACCGCCAATTGGTTAATATTATGAGTGCAAGCTTGTCTTTGCTTCAAGCTGCATCTCATGGCCCCACGTTTACCCCCAAGCACGAGACACACGCCTCATGCCAGGCAGGGTGTGAACCGGGTGTGACACATCCCTGAGGCTGGCACAGAGCTCTTCCCCACAGCAGAGCATCTGGAGGAATCGTCTTGGCGAGTAGCCTCCCATCTATTTTCATCCCATCCCAGCAGTTCCATGTTCAACTCCGCCACACCCAAAATCAGATGAGTCATGATGAGTCCCTGAAACCAAAAGATTGGATCCAAAAGACTCCAACACGTCAGATTGGGCCCTCCAACATCCGATTTGCTCCAAAAGATCTATACCCACAAGTGCGGTCCGTGCCCACAAGCTCCATGGTTCTTTCCCCCACTCCGCGTGCGGAACGAACCCGTTTCAGGCGCCCCGGAACGAAACGCTGTCGCGCCGACTGCTTGATCAGCGTTGTTGGGGTAGGTCGTCGTTGGGGTGAGCTTAGATTTCAATCCTTGCGTCAACGTCGCGCCGACTGCTCCGCGCGGAACGTCCGCGGGCCGGCTGCGGTCCGGCTTGCGGGGCTCCGGCGGTAGACCTGCAGTGGGTTGCTCGATGGACAACAGATAAAACGGAGGGTTTGGTGCCGAAACACGACTGGATCAATAATAATCTTACTCCGAGATTTGGACCTCTAAAACTGAAACTCTTTAATACTCTTGGCTCAGCTTGGCTCATGTAAAAGACCAACATTCTAAGGCGATTGGCATTAGATCGAGAAATCTATGACCTCCAACTGCCACGCGTGTGTCATCTTATTTTCCACCTCCCAGCTCCTACCCTCCCCCCCAATGTCACACTTCGGTCACACACTTTCACGAAAAGCATCCACAAACACTCGACCAGACCCAGTTTCGCTTGGGGCGCACCAAAGAGCTCGCGCATGCGACTTCTTGGAGGTAGCACGTACTTGCTGGGATCTTTCAGGCCTCGCACGTACTGGAATCGGGAGAGGGGGAGAGGGCTCAGACAGCACGGGGGAAGAAAGGAGAAGCGCAATGGGCAATTTCATGTTCCAGTCCACATCTTGGAGAATCCCAAAACTCTGCAGCCACCAAACAAGTGAGCAGCGGTCAAAAGGTCGTGTAATTGGCCTATGTCGTAAGGATTTGCTTACGCATGCACTTACGCAATGCTTACGCGCCCCAGGTTTTATCTTACGCGTGGGAAAGGGACTTATTTGAAGCTTACGCGCTCTTACGCGAAACATACACTTTAACCACACCACAGCGGCAGCTTACGCGCAAATTGTTTTCCAAGCAGAAGTTATGCTCAAGAACTGTCAGACGAGTCGGCAGAAGATGAGGAAGAAGACGAATCAAAAGCATCAAGTTCTTGATCACCAGGCTGAGGGGTGCGCTGCTGGGTCATCTTCCGTCTTCTCTTCGCACATGTAAAAGAGCTTCGAACTATTCCATGTAAAGAGCTTCAGCTTCTGATACTGACGGGCAATGCGCTTGGAGGTTTCAGAAATAGTTTGCAGGACGCGCTGTCTTTGTCGCCATTGCAGTTCAGAGAAAGGCTTTGCTTTCGGAGGCATTGTGGGCAAGTAACTCACAAACACAAAGTAGGCTTACGCGGAGCTTACGCGGAGCTTACGTGCAGCTTACGCGGATTATCGTGCATCTCTCTAAAAGTTGCATTGATGGTTGATAGGCCATGCTCTCTTGCCCTTTGGCCAGTGAACCTTTGGCCAGTGCATCTTGATAGGCCCACCAGCAAATAAACAACAGATTGGCTCTTGAACAAATGCATTTGACTGCAACTCAACATCTCCCTGATCAAGGCTACAGCTATTCCAAACATGGTTTTCAACTTTCTCGACTATGCTTACGCAACATGTGATCTGAAAAATCTGCTTACGCGAGCTTACGCGACTCAGTCTTTGGCTTACGCGAGAAAGCCTTATGACAAGGCTCTTTCATGTCTCAATTAGGCGGGTTTTGACCCTTGCTCAAGTGTAGTCACAAGCTTGCAGTCTCACCTTCACGATACCGCTCCATGTAGTCTGCCTCTTCCTTCTCCCGGTCTGCCTGGATGCACGGAGTTTCACAGCACGACGCAGTCACACGGCGAAAGCCCCGCAGTCTGGCCGAGGCCGCCTTGACATCGTCTGACTCCTTAGGTTTCACCGACAGGCACGGGGCGGAGGGCGGAGGGAGTCCACCCGCCCCACCAGCTGAGGCGACGTCCAAGCTATACACATCTTCGGCAGCATGTGGCTGAACGCTGGAGAGGCGAATCTGCCATGCGACTGCTCACATCAAACTTGGACCACCCACGCGGTGCAGCTACGCCAAAGGCGCTCGTCTGGCCTGCTTGGGCTCCAAGCAAGCTACTGGCCTCAAACGGTCCGGTAGCTTAAGGCGTTTTCTTCGACGGCGTGGACTCGTGAGGGCTGGGAGACCCAGACTTGCCATCTGCAGCCTTGCAGAGAAAGAAGGAGTTCCCTTCCATCCTTTCCTCAGTGATAGCCCATAGGCTTGGAAGACAGAAAATCCGAAGTCGCTGGGACCGCTCAGATCGCTAGGGCCACGGGCTCCTTGCACCTCTTTGCCTCAGTGCCGCGCGCCGCGCGACGCGACGCGTGTGAATTGGATGTCTCGCAAGCCGTCCATGTAACAAACAATGCATACCAAGCTCCCGGGCGAGCGGTGAAAACAGGAATCTGCATATCCCGCACTTCTTCCAAGACCTGCACGACTTCGGATACAGCTGAGATTCACCCCTTCAAAGACATCCCTTCAGCCCTTCTCAGCCCTTCTCAGCCCTTCTCAGCCCTTCTCTGAGCACTTGAGCTTCACTTTTGTCATCTGCAACTTTGGCATTTACAAGGTCAGCAAGGCGCGCCGTCGGGCCTCAGCTTTCACCATGGCTTCCAGGATCTGCAGACTGCTCTGTAGATATCGATGCGTGGAAGGCGCACAGTTCGTCTCTTCGATGGCACGTTGTGCCCTCACCAGCGCCTCTTCTAATTGCATGCTGCTCTCATCGGAGGCCGCCAGCAGATCCGCCTGCGCCCGTTGCTGTCGGATGAAGTCCTCAAAGCGCCAGACCGGAGAAGAGGACGACAAACCCAAACGAGAAGAGGACGACAAACATGAAGACCTGGGCCAATCAGCAAAGGGTAAGGCATGGGCAAACGATCTGCCAGATCTCCCATCACTCCTCCATGGCTTCTGACCACTCGGACACCGTTCCCTGTCCGCCCTCTCGCGACACCGTTCCACACTCGGACTCGAGATCCGTGGGCTTTGAACCTCCATCCGCAGCTCCTCCGCGTGGTGCAGCAGCTCCTCCACACACTGCGCCGTGGCACTCGCCAGGTCCGTGGCCTCCTGCTGCAGCTCGCGGCTTCTCTGCTGAAGCCGCAGCAGCTCGGACCCTGCGCGTGCCGCGCGCGCGGATCCGGTGGATCGGTCTGGATTTCGCGCCATGGGCGTCGTTCCGGTGTTGACGAAGGGCGTCGTTGACCCTGGGCGTCGAGCCCAAATGTTCAGATCGAGAAAATCCATGAGAATCATGATGTCCTTTCATGCCATCTTGCAAAAGGTGGAAGTTTGCCATGGGAATTCTTGGGTCTGACCATGAGGTCACGAGATCCCTTGGTACATCCTATTGCTCTGCAACAAACTTGCATAACTTATGTTTGTCGCTTTCAGCGCTTCTGCCAAGCCTCCTTCGCGAACTTCTTGTCAATCACTACACCTGTCATCCATGACAAGGACAGGTACAGGGTCCAATCACATTGAAAACAAAAGAAGCATAGGGCAAAAAGAAAGTCACGTGGCCAGCACTACCATTCATTATCTTCCCTTTTGGAAGCCTGAGTTGCAAAATTGCGATTGGCACACATCAAAATTTCTTGCATCAAAGCAATCATTTCTTTCCAGCATCTCGAAGTCAAAACAGCCAGATGGAAGCTGGCCAAAAGCCACTTTGATCACCCAAGCAGCTCTACGCCAATCTTGTTGAACTTCTCTTTCAGGTTGTTGGCCTCAAAAAGGGCTTCCCAAGAAGCTGCGTCTGCATCTCAGTTCGAGGGCCAACGAAGGTGTTAAAGGGATTTACAAGGAGTTGAAGGGCCCCGGCGCACGCAGCTGTTCGCAGCAGAGGCAGCACCAACAAGAACCAAAGGTTTCCAGGTCTATGAAAGATTGACCCACCTGGATTCTCCATCGCTAATTATACTAACACCACAGCACCCACCGGAATCCTCAACACCCAGTCCTTCTGGCCGTCCTTCTGCCGCTGAGGTCCCGTGCCAAATCTATTAAGCCTTCCTTCACCTCTCGCGGCTCGGACGCTTCGACCGGTTTTCTGCTCAGATCGGTCGCTCCTTCCACCCGCCTTGGGAGATTGCAAAGAGGCGACCGCGGGCGACACGGGCCCTGGCCTTCAGGCGGACATGCTTTTTCAAGAAAGAACTCGAAATGAGAGAGGTCATGCTTGGGGGGTTCACCTTATTATTAGGTTTCTAGATGTTTAATTCAGTTTATTCCTTATTTAATCATATTTATAACTCCTAAATGTGTTTGTTTCATGTTTTATTTTCCTTATTATTCCTTGTCTTTCTTTTTCAGATCTCAAGTGATGGGTGCTCAATGGAACATGAAGCCGCCGCCCAGACGCGCAAAAACCCACTCACTTCAAGTTGGGCCCCCTCTTGCCCTCTTGCGTCTGTCCCTGAGACGCCAGCTGACCCCAACTCGTAAGCGGCTTCCGCAAGCGCTGCAGTCGGAAGTCCACCCAGAGCTCGTAGCCAGAGTTGCTGTCACTAGCGCCCTCGCGACGTGTCGGAACAACGACAAAGAGGGTGTTAGTTTGGAGCTCTAGAAGTCAAACCCAAGATGCTACAGGAGTTTGAGGAGGCGGGGTGGGGAATTAGGAAAAGGTCTTCTTGTGGAAAGTAGGGTGTTCCAGCCTGCCAAGTCATCAGCAACACTGCCCACTTCAGAAAAGAAATTAATCAATATCATGCGGAAACATTCCCACTTCCCGTAAATGTGCAAAATACATCCAAATACCAAATGTTGAAGCTATCCCCTCCTCCTTCCAATTAAAAATCCAAACCATGAGGTCAACCTCTTTTCCGTGCGTTGTTTGCATCCGACCACCGCCTGCCCACTCCATCACTTGGGTGTCGGTCCCACCTGCGGCTCAGCCATTCTTGTGAGGCAATTCACCTCGGTGTCCTGCTTGAAAACCATCCCTTTTTGCATCCTTTTGCGCCATGCATCGTCAGCAACGTCCCAGTCCAGTTTCCGTCCCAGAGGCTTCGAAGTCCTGAAAACGCATCTCTGGAGCGGCACAACATTTCTGGGCGCTTTTGATCCGCGTGGCGCGTGGTATGTTCTCTCTTTTGATCCGCTTGAGTGGCGTGCAATCTTCTGCCCCGCAAGAGCTGCGCTTGTGTGTCTTGCGTGGGCGCGAGACTGGCCGCACACCGCGTCCCGCACGCCAAACAATGAATCGACCATCACAAGTTGGGTACATGCTCACATTCTCGTAGAAGGATGAGCTCTCCTCCTGTCAGCTTTCCGGCAAATTCTGTCCAATCAATCAACATGATCTTCGAAACCTCTGGATGTTCACCCCCCTCGAACAGGTCTGCAAAGGATGTGGAAACAGTGGAAACTGAAATTGAAAACATCCTCGAACTGAGGTGAACCCCTTTAGAAATTCTCTCCTGACCCTCCTGCTCCAGGTTGACCACCTCAAATAGCCGCCCTGTGGGGATGTGCTCCTGTGTCACCAGCCACATTTCACCGCCCTCCTCCAGCAAGCGCGGTCCGGCGCGCAGCAACTCCAGCAGCAAATCCAAATCATCCGCATGGCCGTGATGTACCGGCGGGTTCGAGATGATCAAATTAAATCTGCGATCCAGGTCACATCTGAAGCCATCCGACAGAACCTGTGATGCTTCTGGAAGATTTCGACCAGCAGCTTCCAGCGCTGCAGCATCCGCATCCAAGAGACATACATGGCCCGTCGTCAGCAATCGCATCACTCCGGCCGCCAGAATACCAGTTCCACTGGCAAAGTCAAGAACGCTACACGCTTCGCCTTCAGCTAGCTGCCATGCTTCATCCGATGTCTTGATTGAGACCATAGTGTCCAACAAATACTGTGTCATCACATCCACCTGCCCCGCAGCAAAGAGACCAGGCACCGACCACCACTCCTGAGGTTGTCCAAGCAGGTCCAGCGTCTCCTTCCGAAGCCAGGCCTCGAAGCTTCCCTTCGCCGCGCCGGTGGCCCTCCTCGCCGAGATCACGCGGCAGTCCTTCTCCTCGTGGATCGCCTCCAGGCGAAAGAGGCCCCGCAAGGCACGGGTGGTGCTGAGCACGCCTTCACGGACGTCGCCATACACCCACAAGGGCGCGCCCTCTGGGAGTTGGGCAGCGACGGCATCTAAGGCGAACTCAAAGGACTCCCCCGAGTCCGGATATCGCATCGCCGCCGCGCAGGGCGGAGACTTCTCCACCACCTCCTCCAGCTCCGGCCAGGCACTGGCCCGGCACCGACCTGAGGCGAAGCGGCGCCAGAGGACGCAGCGCAAGCCCGCCTGCAGGAGCGCGGGGCGCAGGTGGCGGTTGGGGCCGAAGAGGAGGACTGAAGCTCCAGGAGGCAACTTCGAGGCCCTCCAGGGCTGCAGTTCCGCTGCCACTTGGAGGGGCCTCTCTCGAAAGGCCTTGCTCTCCACACGGATCCGCTGCGCTTCCTCTCGGCACAGCAGGGTGAGGGATGTCAAGAGCTCCGTGGGAGCCGACGAACTAGTTCGTGGTGAGAGGGATCGGAGCGCATATTCCAAGTGGGCCGCAGACCACCAGTTCAACTCGCTCAGGATCTGCTCCTGGTTTGCTCGCTCCACCAGACCTGCAAAAGGTGACTCGAGGGTTTGGAGGGCCTCTCGTGTTCAACAAAGAAAAGGATGGAACACGTATGGAATACGTGGAGCACCTGCAAGTGGTGGGAGGACGGTGAATTTCAGTGATTCAACAGAAACTGGGCACTGAACTTTTTAGACTACAATTATCATGACTGTTTCCATGTAACAGGCAGACAGACAGACAGACAGACAGACAGACAGAGAGAGAGAGAGGGGTAGATGCGGATGTGGATGTAGAGGGCAATATAGAAACAGCATGAAAACAGTGAACCCCCAGCACTCTTACCGATCCCAAATACATCCAGATGGCGGAGATAGCACGCACCCCTTCGCTCCCTCGGCCTCGAAGCACTTTGCGCCAACCTTTGGGCTGCAGAGTGGCCAGAGCCCAAGCGCTGATCCCCACTTCTTGCGCTCCCATACGCATGTGTAGCAGCTCGACATTGGCTGCCAAGGCCAATGCCACCTCCTGTAGGCCTCGGTGGTGTTAAGACTGCTAGGAAGTGAAGCTCAGAGGGTTTGATATAAGAGCTCTTGGGGGAGAGATCAACAGCTGGAAGAAAAGACTAATTAATATCCAAAAAACAACTCTGCTGGCTACCAGTCAGTGAGAAGCTTATATAATTGGTGTTGTCTAAATGGTGCTATTTCATGCCTGAGACCCAAAAAAAAAGCTATATATCCATCTTTGTCCTTAGTTGTCTCCACTCATCCACACACACCCTCACCTTGATTGCTGTCACCCTCCACCAGAAAGGCCAGTTTCGCGAGTGCCGTCAGCAGCCGCACGCTGCGGTGCGCGCCAAAGCCCTCCGCCAACTGCCGGGCCTGGCCGAGCAAAACGCCCAGCAGCGGCCCTGGAGGCACCTGGGAAGTGCTCAGCAGTCATGGATGGGGGGGATGATGAGGGGAGACGAGGAGGGATGAGTGGCGGCAGGTGATCAGTCTGTTTGATCCAATTCCAGAAAGGGGGAGGAGGTGTCATTCGAGAGGAAGGTTGATGGACATCCCAAGTTCACATGGATAACCACTGCATGGAGAGCTTCTGTAAGGAACTACCATGAACTACCGGGTGTTTCATAGGTCAGGGCTGGAGGATCAGGGCCTGGATTCTTCTCCATCCATAGGATTCCAAAAACCAACTGGAAACAGGAACTAAGTCTCGGCAAAAACGCACTGGGTTTATAGTTTATACTGGTTTCAATGGTCTACGGAGTCTGCAGAGTCTGCGGGACACCTGGCGGTCAACACCCGGCTCGCAAACTCCCATCCCTTGTGCTTTGCTTTAAAAGAAAAGTTCAGAAACACACTGGCCGGGCTCACCCATCGAAGAGTTCCAAAGGACCACAAAAGCTGCGAGACCACTAGCTCCGCACCACCTCCAAGGAGCGATCCGACGCGAAGACCAAAGCGACCCGAAGACCGTTCGAATGGGCCGCTGGCGGGCTGCTCCGGAGACCCCGGAGCAGGGATCGTCACATGGGGGGTTGGTTTCCACCCCACATGACGGTCCAGCATCCAGGGGTGGAAGCCTCAATTGTCTCCCTTCACCAAGCACTCAAGCAGACTCAAGCAGTGGTGGCCCCCGCAGTTCGCAGCAAGGCAGGAATGTCATTGAAATCCATGGAAGTCACATGGTCCATTTGGTCCTGTTGGTGAAGCTCCCCCAAACAAAAGGCATCAGCCCGCGATGCGCGCCCGAAAAAGGATGGAAGAACTCCCATCCAGTGGAGGAAAATATCCCTACATAATTCTATGGCTTCTTGTTGGAGGAGTTTTGAACCTCAGAAAACAGCTTGGACATACCCGGATAGCCCCTGACCTTCGGTCAAAGGCAGCTTCCCAGCACGTTTGCAAAGCTTCTGCAGGAAATCTTCGCGAAGAAGCTTGAACTTCGCATGACTCCAAACCTTAGTCTTTGTGCTGTAGCGTTTGAAGCAGCCATCCTATCCCCCCAACAAGAGCTTGCAAGGTTGACTAGCCAGCCAGCTAGCCAGTTTGGTGTCGAGCAATATGATGCAACTAGAATGTGAACAATGTACCTCCTACCAAAATCTGCTCGCTTGTGACGTTTTTGGATGCTTTTGGTCATTCGATTGAGGGACAAAAGAATTTGGTCGATAGATTCTTTGACACATTGACCTTGCTCGGGAACCAAAGGCTTGAACAGGGGCTCAGTGAGAAGCCTGTTTGTGATTTGCCCTCTGCCGGGCACGCCGCAAGGTGATGTGGAACAAGAGTGCCAAAGAAAAGTACCAACGCCCCTTGACCTTGAAGCAGAAGCATCATAGCTTAAGTCGCTGATGTTAGGCAGCAAAAGGGAAAAAAAGAGGTTCCGCCCCCCCGTCAACACCGCTGTCTCTTGTTTCATCTTGTTTCTCACCCCCCGTCTCGCCAAGAGAAACGAGCTGTGCCACGTCGCGGCAGTTCAACTCCTTCAGCCTCTCTTCGGCCTGGCTCCGGATCGCTTCCAGCAACGGTTCCACGAAGACCCCCACGCGCGCGTAGGCCGCCGCCAAGGTCGACAAGCCCTGAGGCGTGAAGGTCTCCAAGCCCTGACCTTGGGCCGCCTCACTGGCGAGCGACATGAGCTTGTTATCGCGCACGCCCAGCTTTCCAAGGGCCCATAAGACATTACAAAGCTCTTGGGGTAAAAAGTCCCACACCAAAGCATGCGATGAGGAGGCGATTTGCTTCCCTAACTTGGCCCGCCCCTTGACTCTGGGCAGTTTGGCCAAAGCCCAGGCCAGATTGGCCACACCTTGCCGGTCAAAATCTGGCAAACGTGCCAAAGAAGCGTCCACAATGGCGGCTGTCAGAGTAGCATCACGCAGCCCCAAGCCGGCACTTGCATGAGCAATTGTTGAGACTGCTCTGGCATCACACTCGGTGGCGGGCATGCCGAGTACCTTCGTCGTCTTAACGATCAAGGACTTGAAAGCATCTGACTGAGCTAACAATCCTTTACCTCCATCTGCCCCATGCAATCGCGCTAGTCGGTGGAGTGCTGTGGCAATATTGATGGCATTGAAAGAGTCTGACCGCTGCCCAATGAGGACCAACAGGGAGTCAGAGCCTTCATTTGCTGCCCATGTGATCTCTCTGTTCAGCCAGGCCATCGGCTGCCGTGGCTGCTCTTCTCCAACGAGCGGAATGCCAGCAACATTGGATAGGTCCTTCCTTCAAAGTGAAGAGTTGCGGAATCCAAGTGTTGTCAGTGCGGTCCCCAGTCACTCAACAAATAAACCAATGCGGAACTGAGTGACTCATGTCTTCTGCTAGAAACGATCTCCCTTGATGAAGGTAGCCTGACTTGTACTCTGCCTTTTCCCCCCTTGCGCATGTTTTTCGAAGAAGGCTGCTTGAGCGCAGGTGCCGGGCCCACAAGCCACCGTCGGAGAAAATCAAAATGAACAATCCGTGAAAATGTGAAAGTCCAAAAAGCGATGATGAAAAAGAAGAGGATACGTCAACAAAAGGTGTCGACAAAACAGAAACAGAGGCTGATGTTGTGGTGAATTCGGCTGTGACTTTGGAGCCTTTCAACGCTGTTTCAAGCCTGGCCGCCCGGCCGGGCGTCGATACGTTCCTGAGGCCCTGAAGCCTGGGCTGCGCGGCGACATGAAGCGGACGCGAAGCCTGGCAGCCACCAAGGGCAAAAACCGCTTCACCAAGGGCAACTGAATGGTATTTATTGTTCCTTGGATGTTTGTTTGGTCTCTTTACGTCCTAAAGAGGCCCTGGTGTTCCTCTCAAATACCAAATGCATGAGGCGGGACAGGTGTTGGTTTTCGCAGGGAATATCCCATTCACCTCTTTTTCTCACCATTCTTACAAAAACCTGCGACTGAGGTGTCCAAGCGAGCGATCTTTGTCTCTCCAAGCGCGTCCATCTTCCCGATCAGACCCCACGGTCGAAAACATCGTGGCGCCTGCAAAAGCAGGTGCCGCCACCAAAAGCCCCCACCTGAAGTGCAGAGTTGTGCTTACTAGCAAGGATGCTAGGTCGAGGCCATCGCATCGCAAGCAGGGTTGGAGGCCATCGCTAGTAGGGAGGCCATCACAAGCAGGTTGGAGGCCAACAAGAAGCTACTAATGGTAGCAAGGCATCCAAAGCTCGGCTGCCTCATGCCTCTTCTCCTCTCTCTCTCGCTCAGTGTCTCGATGGGATCCCATTTTTCCCACTGAGCTGTCGACGCCAGGCAAGCAGCACCAAGAACCTTGTGCATTGAAGCAGCGGAGCGAGCCAAACTTCCCAGCTGAGCGTGCTTTCGAGAGGCGCTTTTCACACTGAGCCAGGAACAGAAGACTTTTTGGATGCCATCTTCAAGCTCGTATGACCACACTTGTCTACAGAGCTGGCCAAAAGCTCGAAATCAAAGTATGTATTAATTAGGGCCCTTAATAGAAAACTGCGTGTTCATTCACTTCTGAGTTGGTTTTCACGCAGGTAGGTGGGAAGAGGCTGCAAGATTCAAGCAGGGCTCTCAGTTTGGGCCAAGCAAGCTGCACAAGTCTGAACTTCAGTACGCACAGTACAAACCTCGGTCAGAAAAGTCTTGAGGCAGTTATGCTTGCAGCCTTTCAATTGAAAGGACACATCAAAATCGTGGGGTCCTGTCCCTCCACAGGAGTCAAGAAGGCGCCTTGTCTTTTGCTGCAACGCGGAGCCACTCTTGGCACGACAGCGACGGGAGCGGCTTGCGAACGAGCCTGCGCTGCTGGAGCAGCTCCAGAAGTGGCTGCGAGCCGTGGTGGAGAGAGCGACTTTACAAAACTGGCAGACCAAACGAGACTCCGTCTACGAGACTCATCTGGCACTGGAGCAGACCTGGATTCTCTATGGCTATAATATGCTATAGTAGCAGCAGGAGTTGCCGTCACCGGTGCCCTGACCATGAGTCCACTCAAGCAGTTGGGGGGGTCGAGAGCAGGTGGACTCAGAGAAACCTCTCCTCACCATAGAGCCATGACAAAGGGCTACCAGGACAAGCCACTACGGCTGTAGAAAAGGCCATTCTTATCCAGCCTTGTCAACCTGAATTCTGAAGGCCTCTTTGGCTTCCAGTTCGCAATTCTCGTATCCTATTGAATTATTGCTTGCTCAACATTGTTGGGTGTCCTTTTTGGTCTGTCCGTGAGTGGCTTGCCCCTGTCAAAGCAGAAAGTCGTCTCATATGTCTTGAGTTTGTTCTCATCATCCTTTCTGATTGAATATGTCTCCATTTCAAAAGGTAAATAGGCAGTCTGATGCAATCTGCTCGGAATGCTTCAAATTGGAGTCATGACTGTTTGATGCATCTTGAAGGATGCGGTTTTTGAGTTGGGGTGTTGTGTCAGGTCCAAGGTTCTTTCGGTGGTAGCTTTTGAGGCAATCTTCATCCAACTGTTTCTTGGTTACAGGTTCCGTCCGATGTCCATCTGCTTTCAACTTCGTTGAGTGCTTCTTGGAGCGTTAAGTTGGTGTAATGCTTTAACTATCTGGCCATAGTTGTCTGTGCTCATCAATGTTTGTCAATGCCATCCACCAAATAGCAGGTCAGCAGCATCTCAAATCTGTATACATGGCTGTACTTTTACAAGTGTCTGTGGGGTTGCGCATCGTTTAGTGTTTGGGGTTGTGTTGGTTTGTTCGCGTCAGCCGGTGATTGTTGGCATCATATGAGTAACATCATCTTGTTGTCAGCCTTTGGAGCCAGCAAAATGCCTGCGACCAAAGGTCAGCACCTTGCTTTGCCACCCCTTGAGTTGAAAATTTGGGGCGGCGTTGTAGCTGGACCCTTGCAGGCCCGCCCCTCCTCCTTACTTGTCAAGAAATCCAATGATGGGCACGATGACGTCCCATCCACCTCGACCACAATGTCTGTGACCCTTTGGACAAGTAGATTGGAAAACTGTTGTTGGTTTAAACACTTGTTTGGCATCATATGTGTGTGTGTGTAAAACCCTGTTTCAAAGGGACTTAGTCGCAGGGGCGTGCAGCATCTGTGGTCCACTGCACGCAACGAAGCTACGACCACAGATGGGAAGGGATCAAGGACGCTTGATCCTGTACCTGCAGATCAACACATTGACACCAATGGTCCACCCTGCCGCTGTTCGTTGGTTCCATGGTTTTTTCTTCATGCTACTACCCCTCAAACCATTTTCCTTCAGCCGCTTTCAGCAGCAGCGCGTTTTGCAGCATGTCACCGCAGTCAAGTGGGAAACTCTTTTGTTCAAACATCTTCAAATCTTTGGACCCCTCGCCTTGCCGTTCCATCACCTTCCTTCTCAGCTTGGGAACTGAGCTAACTGAAAACCAATGTCAGAGTGTGCACATCATGTACCGTACTGCAAAACATTTGTAAGTAAACTGCCCTCCCCAGTGGACTGAAGCTTGAACAACTGTCAAACGTCAGGTGAAGAAGTGGCTATGGAGCTCCAAGCTCTCTCGGGACGCACCGCCAAGAAAGACTTGCCTGAGATGGGCAAAAGGGGCAGCTGCTTAACAGGGAAGAAAGAAAAGCAGTACAAAATCAAATCTGATGTTGAACACTGACTCTGATTTTCTGACTCGCTAGACACATCTGGTATGCACCAAAACTTCTGTACAGGTGACGGGATGTAAAAATTGTGGGTCTGCACAAGCCCCATGCTATCAAACAAAGAAAATTGATTAGGTCAAAAGCCGAACAAATTGCCCGGAGCAATTCGACCTACATAACCAAACAACGCCCAACACCTCTCTTGCTTTCAAGGTCTTCAACTGGCTCCTCCTCAGGGATCGAGACCTCGACTGGAGAGTCTTGACTTCGGGCTGAGACAAATGTCTGGGTGTCAGGGTCAAACGTCAATTGTGCGTCTCCCACTTTGTCAAGCTCCTCAGTCGGGATAGATTTGAAGGACTCAGCGTCATCGCTGCAAATGATAAGTTTCTTCTCCATGGAGCCGAAGTCCTGCCAATGCTTCTTCACTGCAGCTACGAGCTTCTCCACCACTGCGTCCAAAGCTTTAGGCTCATCAAGGGATTGACCATCAATGTACACTCGCTCGGTGAACATTATCTTATTTAGCTCGCCCCCAATTCCACCTGGCTGAGGTGGATACGGTTCCTCAAGCTTTATTGGAATGACCGGAATGTGCTCGCGTCTTGCATGCATGAGTTCCTCAAAAGTCTCCCATGTGCCCTTGGTCCTCTCGCCATATTTCTGGGTGCAAAATGCAACCATTACCTTCGCACGGTGCAAGCCTTCCAAGGTCATCATGGCAAAATCTTCTCCACCACCTGCCTTTACCATGTAGACTGGAAGTCCACGCTCTTCAAGCTTCTCTTGCACTCTGCTCATGTAGTCCAAGATCCATTCATGTGTAAAGCGCCCAGACAGGAAGATGTGTTTGTCGCCCCAGTTCTGAGCCTCTGGATCTGGCTCTGGACGGGATAGGGTCTTTGATTGTGGTGGCTCCGTCTCCAGAGCTGGGACTTCATCTGGCACCTCTCCTGCGACTTTTGGAACTGGCGCTTGATCGTCGCAGGTAGGTGTCTCCACATACCTGACCTCTGGATCTGGTTCTGAATGAGTCTTCGGTTGTGGTGGCTCCGGCCCTGGCAGAGCTACGACTTCATCTGGCCCGTTCTCTGCAACATTTGGGACAACTGGTGGTGGAGCCTCTTGATCTGGATGGCTGTCCTCTGTTTGGGCCTCTGCCACAACAAAAGTGGCTGCACACAGTGGTTTGACCAGCGGCTGGACCAAGCGCAAAAGCATGCATGCAGAAGTGGCAAGATTGAAGATTGCAAAATAGCTGCCTCCGAACTCAGCAACATCGATTGCCGCAAGAACCAGGGCGGGAATGTCCTCAATGATGCGCAACACTTGTGTGTAGAGCGGCATCATCACAATCCACAACAATGTAGTGGCAAGTGATACGGCCGCCGCAACAAACAGCCCAAAGGCTACATGGTCATCTTGGGCAGTGAATCTTCGAACACAAACCGCAAAAGAATAGATCACGGTTGAGCAAAGGTCAGTCGCTTCCAGAAATCGGTGAATGCACACCAACTGACATCCCTGAACCATTCTGGCTTTGCATTTCTCCAAGACCGGCTGCATGCTCCACCCAGCTTTCGCGGTGGTCGTGCAAGGGCACAGCAAGTCTATTTGGTTTGAGCTGGTGATGTTATCATGTGCATCTGTCAGTTGGGTAGTCGAGCATTTGCAAACCTGCAAGTGGACAAAAGCATCACAAGGCCCAGTGCTGAGGAGTTGCAAAAGCAAAGCAGACGATGGGCTGCACGAAGGTGATGTTGATGAGGTGGGTGTGGCTCAAAGAAAACATAATTTCAAGACAACTTGAAGATCTTTTTGATTCAAGATTCACAAGACCTCAAAGCTTAAAAGATCTTAAAACAATACTTAAAAGTACAGTAGCCAAGTGTTGAGAAAAACGAGACGGCCTTCAGACAAATAGAGACAATCAAACACACAGGTCTCAAACAGGTGACTCAAGCACCTTTTCGCCCCAGCACAGCCACACAGCCAGAGACATCGCAAAAGAGACGACCCAAGCAACTCAGCACGCCTGAAGACAACCGGAGACATCGCAAAAGCAACCCAGCACAGCCGGAGACAACGAGAGACAAGCGGAGAAAATCCTACGACCAGCAAGCTAGCACCCACAGATAAGGAGTAAGAAATCCCCACAGGTGTTCACCTGCTTCGGGAAACAACTAGCAAAACAACCCACCAACGAACCAGCTCCCGAACTGCCCACTGTCACTAATTCCTGCACGACACGTATATATCAAATGCCACAAGCTATAGATCATAAAAGGGGATCCCCCCTAGTGATTCACAAACCCATCTGAAACTAAATGATCCATTCGCATGTCACGAGTCGTGGCGCCTGCTCGGCCATTCTTGTGAGGCGATTTACCTGGGACGCGAAAAACAGGCCGGTGGAACTGGAACAGGTGCCCAGCAATCATGCGTGGTACCAACCAAATGAAATTGGAAAGTGGCCTTGGGGAATAAACAAAGAGTGAACTTCAACTCCGTGGAAAATGGGTCGGGGTGCATCCTCTGAAGTGCAGAGTTGTGCTTACTAGCAAGGATGCTAGGTCGAGGCCATCGCAAGTAGGGAGGCCATCGCAAGCAGGTTGGAGGCCAACAAGAAGCTACTAATGGTAGCAAGGCATCCAAAGCTCGGCTGCCTCATGCCTCTTCTCCTCTCTCTCTCGCTCAGTGTCTCGATGGGATCCCATTTTTCCCACTGAGCTGTCGACGCCAGGCAAGCAACACCAAGAACCTTGTGCATTGAAGCGGAGCGAGCCAAACTTCCCAGCTGAGCGTGTTTTCGAGAGGCGCTTTTCACACTGAGCCAGGAACAGAAGACTTTTTGGATGCCATCTTCAAGCTCGTATGACCACACTTGTCTACAGAGCTGGCCAAAGCTCGAAATCAAAGTATGTATTAATTAGGGCCCTTAATAGAAAACTGCGTGTCCATTCACTTCTGAGTTGGTTTTCACGCAGGTAGGTGGGAAGAGGCTGCAAGATTCAAGCAGGGCTCTCAGTTTGGGCCAAGCAAGCTGCACAAGTCTGAATTTCAGTACGCACAGTACAAACCTCGGTCAGAAAAGTCTTGAGGCAGTTATGCTTGCAGCCTTTCAATTGAAAGGACACATCAAAATCGTGGGGTCCTGTCCCTCCACAGGAGTCAAGAAGGCGCCTTGTCTTTTGCTGCAACGCGGAGCCACTCTTGGCACGACAGCGACGGGAGCGGCTTGCGGCTTGCGAACGAGCCTGCGCTGCTGGAGCAGCTCCAGAAGTGGCTGCGAGCCGTGGTGGAGAGAGCGACTTTACAAAACTGGCAGACCAAACGAGACTCCGTCTACGAGACTCATCTGGCACTGGAGCAGTCTGCGACTTGGAAAGTCCCTAAAGTCCTAGAAACTGGTCTGACTATGTGTGACTATCACAACCACGGTTGGTTTGCGCCAATTCCGTATCTGGTCTCTCTCTGTGTGTTCTTTTTTCGTTACATTCACCTAAAGGCCAGTGCACCCAGACTGCACTGAGAGTGGAGGCCCCTCTTGAAACACAGCGGCGCTGGCCCCACTCAGGTGGTTTGGCCGCAGTTCGGTCGCATCGTTCGACGCAAGTGACCCCCAGCGAACCACTGGCGCTCAGGGAATTCGTCTCAGAAGGGGCCTCGGAGCGGTCGCGCAGGTCGTTTGGAACGCGGGATCGACCGGTGTCCGTCGGTGTCGGAAGTGGTGGAGGCGGACGGTTCTGAGCTCCAGACTTGGGGTCAGCCAAGTAGATATTGGTCGGCTGAGGTTCGTCCTGACGAGCCGAAGAAGTTCATGCGGACGGAAGGTGAGACATGCTTGGAAGGAGACATGTGTGCCGGATGTCTGCCTACAAACATGATGTGGCAGTGGGGCGTGTGTGCTACCTGCCTCCAAATCAAAATTTATACCTCTTTGGTGGCGCAGGTCGAGACCTCTCATTTTGAACCATTCTCTTTCTCCATTTACGGTCTTTTTCCCCATCAGCAGCCTTGTGGCTGGGGGAGCCATGCACGGGTGACTGGTCAAAACAACTGGTATCAACTTGCAAGGTCAAACGGCACATCAGCTGCGGAGAGAGCTCAGAATGGGGGGGCTTGCCCGTGTCCAAAATATAAGGGGTATACACAAAAAGGATTGGTGTCAAACTGAGGTGGCAGGGGGCGACCCTCCCATTTTGAGAGGAGCTGGCAAGGTAAAGGCACCAAATGCTGCTGCTTGAAACCAAGCAGTAATGAACTGATCAGAGCTCATCAAAGCTAATCACAGTTCATAGTTCTCCATTCCTGACTCCTCACTGCGCGGCCCAGATTTCAGGCCCAGTGAAAGGAAATACGTGAAGACATAGATCGCCACCCCCACGGAGAGGATCACCGAGATGGAGCCCACGATCTCCAAGGCACTGCTCCCCGTCTTCTCCCGCACGGAGGGGTCTTTCTCGCTGGGAGCCTGTGGAGCCCCACACAAAGGGAAAAGGACAGAAGGGCAGTGCCTCGTAGTACCGGACAGAAGGGAAGATCTATCGTCGATCTATCAACAAAACCCGAGAAACAAGGACCGCTCGTGAAACCTGGTCCTTGACCTCATTTAGTACTGTTGACCTGTAGGGTCTCGTAAACGCGAGTTGGATCAGAAAATGCCCCACACATCGAGGATCGTGAATGCCTTTTTCAGCTGGATGGCATCCCACAACTCATCTCACACACTTCATTGTCAAATGACCCCACCCAAAAAGGAAGAACAAAGGGAATATTTAAATTACAAACAAGAAAGTAATATATATATATATACCTGTAGTTATATTATATACACGGTCTATTGTAACAATATACGGTATATACATTATGACCTCCAAATGCTGGAGGTCCTTTTGGTGCCTGCTGCTGCTCATCTGGCGAGTCATCAAGCCAGCCACGGATTTCGGCTTTGATCTTCGCCCGGTCCGTCGGCCAGAGCCCCGCAATGTCGTCCTCCAGTAACTTGGACACGGCTTTGGACACCAAGACCTTCTCGTTCACCAGGACCTGAGGACCCAACGGGGGTTACCAGGGCGGACCGGGCGTCACTCTCAACGGCTCTGTGACGCCCCGATGTTTCTTGGGACGTGGATGCCTTGATATGCCTTTTGAGTGCCTGGAAGGGAAAAGGATCTGAACTTGTTCCCCCAAGTCCTTCTCCAACACACTGCATGGTGTCTTTTCATTGTTTCTTCGACGGACGTGTGGCCTGTTGGGCTTGTTTCCTCCCCAAGTCCATTCCCTCTGGCCACGCCCAAGCGGAGACTCGCATGAAGGAAGCTCATCTCGGGGGTGTTGTTTTTTCTGGTTTGGGGCTCACAGCACACTATGCCGCACTCTATTGCACCGAAGTTCTTTCGAAATCGCTACCTCCGATCTGGAAGTGTTCAGATCCACCAGATCTGACCCTGCCTCCAGCTTCTTGGCAGAGGATTGAATCTTGAAAAACAGCTTCACGCCACGAGGGAACCTCGTCCGCAAGCACGGGACGACATGGACGACGTGGTTTTGGGGTTCCGGCACGGCGCAACAGAACGGAAACCACCACGCACATGGGCACGTGCGGAGGGGTGCATGTTCTATAGCTGTATACTGACGCATGTGTTTCCATACGAGAATCTACGTGACACCGGTGATGTTATCCATCACCTCCATCACGTCAGACGTGAGTGATGCCCGCGGTGCCCGGAGGTCTAACGGTCGGACCACCGGGGAGGAGTGGAGACCCGCTCCTCGGAGTGGGACTGATTCACCGGTGGCGCAGGGCGTCTGTTGAAACGGGCCGCCGGGTGTCTTTCTTCTCGGAAGAGGGGCCTGACATGGAGTTAGAAGGAGGACATTGATTATATATATATATACCCTGGGAGTCAAAGACCATAAAAAGAATGGTCTTTAGGTGACCCGAAAAGGAATGTCCTTTACTTCAGCCGGTCAAAATATAGTGTTTGGACTTCTAGGGTATATAATATATATATATATATATACCCTACAAGTCCAACCACCCTTGAAAAAATGTCGGTTTCGCCAACAGACATTTCACGCTCCCCTTTTCTTGGCTAAGTGTTCAAGCTGGCTTTGCCAGCTTGTCATCGCCGTGAGGTAGATGAGAGATTCAGCCTTAGGTTGATCAAAACGTTGGGTGAGAATTACTAGATGGATCCCACACAAACCCGGCAAATGAACCAAGTCAAAAGCATGCTCTATGGGAGAACAAGCCACTGCGTAGCGCGGAGCTTCATGGCCTTCAACTGTAGACGCCCACAACGCAAAGCCCATCTCGATCTATACTTCATGCTGGATTGGTTGCACACGCCTCAGATGTGATCGAACATCAACTCATGTGCCCTGCACCAACTGATCAGCTGCAATGAGCTCCAAAGTTCATCGAAGACACACTTCAACCAGCGCATCGCGTCCTCATCGTGGAAGCAGTGCGTATATCGAGGGTTGGCTCCTTATTGGCCATACTAGCATTTCACGGTTTGACGTGTCGACCTTTTGCAACCACACATTCTGAGCTGCAGTGTTTGTTCAGTGTAAGGAATATTCCGAATGCCAAGATTCTATAGGTGCGAGCATTCCACGCTAGGTGTGCAAGCATCTTAGATGATCAAAGTAAACCATCATTCCACCCAGCCAATGATACAGTGGCAAAGTAGAACTCAGTGAACAAATGCAACAAAGGCTCATGCACCTTGGGACGTAGGAGGAACTCCCATTTGTTGAGCCTGCAGGCATTGTTTGTTTTGATACACTGTCCATCCATGAACCCCGAACCTGCCTGACACTCAGCATTTGCAGGCCCTTATACGCTTCCAAAAAGAGTAGCCCTTCTTTCCAAAGGTCACGCGATGCCCCTTCCGACCTGGATCAAATTAACAAGGAAAGGTATATATCCTATTGGCGACTTCACCGATTAAATGCAACCAAAACTAACTAACTAATCAAACAAGATGCATGTGACGCGGGTTATCCTCCATGATGAAGAAAAATCGTACGATGGCGGTCCTTGCTTGCTGCAGCTCTCCAACATCAGCGAGGAGATTTTTTGGAGGGACATGGGAAGAACATCTAATGCAGGACAAGTACATCAGTTGCACCAAGAGACATTGCTGTTGATGCAAGAATCAACCGCTCATGGTCTGGAAATCTCCCAGATGCAATCACAGATTGAAGCTCGACAGCGATCCACTGGGATATGCACCGCCCATTGTGCGCTTTAGCTGTAAAGAGCACGTCTCCAGAAAATCTTCACAGTATATACTGTAGCTAGACGTGGTTTGAACAGATCATCCTCTCAACCACCCAACTGAATAGGCCAAGACCAAGACACCATCTTCACGAGAAAGGGGAGAGAGCTGCGCTTTTTAGCCCGTGGGCGTGACTCTGTTCCATGAGAAGATGGGTTCTTGGAAAGTGCTGCAGCTGAGAGAGAGCTGCCGCTGCCAAGCACACGCAACCCATACTTTAACCATTTGCCAAATGTGTCATGGCAAATGCTAGTAAAATTCAGCCGCGTATAGCAGAGTGCTGAGCGCGGAGAGCCGCAGGTAGGCAGAAAGGTGAAAAGGTCTGACAGTGAAGTCATGCCTAGGAAAGTTGCAGGGGTGAGTTGGATTGAAGTTTCAACTTCCCAGGTTTAAAGTGCTTGTTTAGTTTCGGTTCAAGCAGAGTCTGGCGTGCAGAGACTGAGCTCTGACCTGGACATGGCTGCCTTGGTGCTTTTTGGCTGCACAGTGGCCTCTGTGTTGAGTGACCCAACGTTCAATGGCTTGCCGCGAGATTTGAAGGTAGTCGAAATCTTCTCCGGTGTGGGAAGTGTGGCAGCAGCAGCGACTGCATCAGGTCTTTCTTCCCAACCCTTCGACAAGTTCAGAATTGAGGGCCGCACCAACATTCCAGGGCGCAGCTGCGAAGACTTGACTGTGAAGGCTGGGTTTGTGAATGCGGTGAAGCTAGTCATGCAGCTGGCACTTGGAGGGTTGCTTTGGCTTGCGCCTGTTTGCTCATCATGGGTGGGCCTCAACATCAGCCGGACCTTGCGGTCACACAAGAACAACTTCCAAGGTGACACAACGTACCCAAAAGTTGCAGAGGGCAATCTGCAAGCAAAGGCGTGCGCCTTCTTCATGCAGCTGGCACAGTTTCGAGGCATTGAGGTCATCCTTGAGAACCCACCTAGCAGCACTATCTTCAACTTCCCCGTGCTCCGGGCAGCTATTTCCAGCATGAAGCTGGTGAGCTTTGTGACCCATCGCTGCGCTTTTGATGTGTCTGCTGCAAAAGGGAAAAGGCTGTGGAAGAAGTACAAATTCGTGGGGCCAGCTGCATGGGTTCAGAAGCTGGCCAAGCCTTGCCCTTGCCAAGGGAAAAACCACATCTACCTGACTGAACGTTGGACTGATTGCCACGGCAAGAACCGATTCAAAGGCTTGAAGACCCTGCTTGACAAGTCTGCGGCGTACCCAGCAGCAATGGGAACTGCAGCAGTCAAGGCTTGGCTCAGCAACACCGCTGAAAAGCACAGAGCCCCAGACTCAGAGACCAGAGGCCAGAAGCGGAAAGCTGTATGGTCCACCAATTCTTGGCTGCAGCCGTCAGTGAGTGGAGCTGTAGATTCCAGGCCATCTTCCAAGCCGCATTGGTGTTTGCCACCGGCTGGCAAGTAACATATCAGAGGCGCTTGTTAATTAGCAGAAAAAGCCACGTCAATTCGCAGCACCCTGTACCATACTGTTTACACATTTCAGACCCAGACCTGACCTGATGTTGCCAGGTTCCCGGGCTATGCTCCGACTCCTGGGCTTATGCACTCTGCGGCTGCTCAGACCTCAAGTGACAGCTGTTGGTTGACTGTTGGCTTTGATGGAAAAAGTTGTCAGAGCTTAAAAGTTGTCAGAATTGAATTGTTCAACACTGCATTGCACTACACCGATTTCGTGGATAGAAGCCTTGATAGCTCAAACAAGTCATGGCGGACTGCAACCACCTAATGACCAAGATTTGGTTGAGCGATGTGTTCGTGGATGAGCCACCAAACCCTGGCAGCGCTGAACCAAAGCCGCTACCTGGTGGATAACCAAAGGTTGCGCAGTTCGATTGTTCTAAACTAAACGATTGGTTTTCTGTAGCCATGCCACTTGTGCTGAGGCTTAAACCTGGCACATGGGAGGCAAACTTTGCAGAATGGGTGTGGTCAAAACAGTGGAAACAGAACCCGACTTTCTGCTTTCACAATGAGCACCTCTACACACTACTCGACGCCATGGCCGAGACGGATACAGAGACCAATGAGTGGATGAGGATCTGGGGCTGCCTTCTAGATATGAAGGAAAATTGCCTCCGCACAGTCCTTGTCAGTAGGTGAGCTGAGCCCAAGGCCCAAGGCAATACACCGTGTTGTTTGTGTGCCCGAGTCCAGAGTTCAGAGTTCAGAATGGGGTCCTCTGACTCTCGACAACAAAGCTGGCCAAATACAGCCAAAAAAGAAACTAAGAGTTTTGTTGCAGCCGCTGACTCTGTCAACCATCTGCCTTTGGAAGCTGAGGTCTGGGCTGCATAGATGATGCTGGCCGCTGCACTGCCCAGCTGCATTGTGACACCCTTCATCTTGTGTGCTTGCTTTCACCCCCCAAGATAACAGGTTTTTTGCAAATGAAGACCAAAATCCAAACTACCAGAATCAAAAACCAAACTACCAGAATCAAAAACCATAGGCTCTAGCATCTCGATTTTTGCTTTCAGCTCTTCATACTCTGCCTTTCGTTTTACCCTCTGAACCTCGTGTGTGGCTAAGGTTTTCTTCTTGTCCTCCTCAACCTTTTCCGGAGTTGCTTCATATAGATCATGTCCCACAGGAATCTGAGAGTCAGTGACTTCATGCATTGGTAGATCACGATGCTCCAGTCCTTCAGCATCAGCTTCAGTCTCACGCACTTCACACTCTTGGTCATGTTCCATTGGCTCCTCTTCTGCTTCCTCTTGTTCTTCATCTTCTTGCGTTTCCTGCAGCTCTTCTTTGAACGCTTCACCTTCCACTTCCATTGGCAAAGTCTCCACCTCATCAGCGCTAACCTTCTTCGTGAAGTCCTAAGTGCAACTGCAGCGTCCATGATCTAGGCACACGCAGCTCAAAATGGGAAAACTTGATGTTGTCATTAAAAGAGTGAACAACATGTGGACAGTTTTTTCTAGTTGCGCAAAAGAGTGTCCATCGAGGCAGACCTTCCCCGTGTTGCAAGCTTCTTGCCCTCCGCAGTCAATTTTCCTTCAGCCTACCAGCGCACATGTGCACATTTCACATGCAATATTAGCCTGAAGATTCGTTTGGCCCACACCTCCAACTTTGAGCGGATGACTTGCTTCAATTGGGACATCCTCGATTTCTTTGACCTCCAAATAGACTTTTCAGACCCATACGCTAAAGCCGGCACAGTTGTTGTTGCAATTTAAATTCTCACATTTCCCACCTTGTACCCGTGTTTTTCTGAAAACGGGTCAGGGCGTAGGTCACCATGGATCTTTGAACACCAGCTTCCACTGTCGACCAATCCTTAGAAAGTGACATGACAAAAATGTGAGAGAATTGCTCTCTCTCTCTCTCTATGATAAATGTGGCATTCATGTGGGTCCTTGACATGTGTACCTGTGTACCATATAAGGCAGGATACAACATGGGCAGCGTGGCCATCGAAGTCCGGGTTCAAGTTGAAATGCATGGACGCCCAAGCCAAAGCCTCCTGAAGTATTTCAATCACATTTCGATAAGACTTTTAGACAGAGCTTCAAATTCTTCATTGCTAGCAGTCAGAGGTCCTCCATGTCCTTCAAATTCGGGACGTTGTGTGCAAAGGATGCTATTCGAGGCAAAAGGTAAAGTTCACATCCATTTCAACCTGCATGCCATGAGATGGGGGCATTGGGGCAATGTGCCCAAAAGCCACTTTGTAGTGCCCAACCATCAAGATCCAGCCTCGTTTTCTTGTATCGTGGCCTTCTTCCAATACCTGATCACGAAGGCAAAGCTAGGCACCTCAGATCACACATAACATCGTAGCTCGTGCATCGCATCGTGTCATATTTCTTGATATGTTTTGAAGGTCAATCCCAGAAACCGTTTGATCATCTGCCTTCATCTTCAGCCTGGTTCTCAAGAGTTTCCTCCTTGATTTGATGAAGTTGGGCTGCTGCAGGATGTCCGAGTAGAAGGCCTCCCACGATTTCTTCAACACTACAGCTCATGCGCCAACCATCATGATGCATGCCCAAAGTTCCTCTCGTTGTCATGTTTTTGAACAACTCGATCGAACAAGTGCCTTGAGCAGGCTGACACGGTCCTCCGCGTGATCAGCCATTGTCGAGCTGGCCACCGTTCCCCAGATGGCTTCGCTTCGGAGCCCAAACAACAAATAATATATCCATCAACAACAAGGTTCGTGCAGCACGGCATGATCAGTCAAATCTAGCGTGTTTCAAAGGTTGTAATTTCAAGAGATTGGGCCAGCCTCTTGATTCAGGGAGGGAACCGGCAGCTCGATTTAATCGAAGGATCTCAGATTCCTGATGGAGTCCTGGGCCCGCAGCTTTGGAAAGCGGCCGAGAGAGGGGTTGGAGGAATACCGAGTTTCCCACTCTTGCGCAATGCCTTTTTCATTCGATATATACGAGGTATAGTATGACCTCAATCAGGATTAAACAACACATCAATTGGTGATTGTCACGATGTTCTTGATTTGATCCCAGCCACTGGCCGCTCCAAAGCACGCCCTTCATCATCACCGAACCATGGCCCACAGGAGGCCGCACAGTGAAAAGGAAAAGAAATCATGAAAGCACCTATGGTTTGATGGATGTTTAGTCATGTCCATGCATGTTAACCATGTTTAGTCATGTCCATGTGTGGGGCCTCAACACTTCATGTTGAGAAATGTCGCTTGGCTTGAAAAAATGGCCGCTCGATAACCACCCTGTAAAAAATGGTCGACGACCGCCAGGGTATATATATCTACACATATCTACACGGATGGTTCGGAAGTTCCCCTTCGCGATCATGGAACAACCCTGCGTGGTCCGGTCGGACCGTGGGGGCCCCATGGAGATCCGCACTGAAGAACACAGAACACATGGAAGTGGAGCTCAATCCCTGTTGGTAGAGGAAAGTCGTCTTCCAACAAACCATTGTCCACTTCCATGTTAGTTAGTGAGTCAAAGGGTAGTTCTCACATATCGTGCACATCTTTCAGCAGGTATAGGACCAAGTCTGTTGTTTTTGGGGGTGCGCGTGTGGTTCTATTTTGTCTGTCTATTGAGGCCACTACACTCGCCAACTTCGCATGCAAGTCTGGCATGTTTTGGGAGTTGATGTTCCAAGCTCCAGCGATGTCAACAGAAAAAAGCCTGCATGGTACCGCCGAAAAGGCTCCAAGTCTTGCTCATGGTCTTCATTGAGGCAAGGTTGGGGGTGAGGGAGGTTCGTGTTTGGGCCCAAAGAGGTGGCGCCTTTTTGCCAATGTTTTGCCCCAAAGAAGTTCCGTTGGGACTCAGTAGATGAAGATCTATGAAAAGCCCAGAAACCACTCGATGAGGAGGTTCTGGATGGCCCAGGCTTGCTCATGGCTGCTGCAGCCAGTGACCGTGACCTTGCTGGATTGAAGAAACTCGCAACTGAAGACTAGGTCATTCATCCACTCCAAAAAGGGCAAGTGTGTCTGTGTGCTTGGTGGACTCTTCTTCGAATCGTAACTTGATGAATTTCGATGACTAGACCCAACGTGCCCCTCAAAAACGAGCCTCTGCAGCTGGCTGTACCCTCTTGATGGTGCCGCCATCCATCTGCACTGCAGTTGCCATTGGTCACACTGATGGCAGTCAAAGTGAAGTCTTCTTGTGCCGAAGAGTGGTTGGCATCCATCACACTAGTGGCACTTTCACCTGCATCATGACCCTCTGTGATGTCAAAGGTATTTTTGCCCAGTGTTCCTGCTTGTCAAGAGCCAGAGACAGCCAAGAGGAAAGACAAAACCAGGGCGGGCGGGTGTTCCTGCTGCAAGAGTTGCAGAAACTCGTGACCCCTCATCCTGCTCTGTCCATGCAGTTCTCGGCTCTGTCCGCAGCTCGGAGCTGGTTCTCTCCTCACATCCATTGGCCAGGCGCCGTCCGGTTTGTTGTACCTCGGAGCCAAGGAGGCCCTCCTCGGAGGTAGAAGAAGGAAGGGGCCAGGTGTTGGCCATATAGGGCCATAACTGTCGATGTGGTGTATTCTGCATATGGTCTAGAAATAAAATTAGATAATCTTAGATGTAGATATAGATATGGGTATACCGGTATACCCGTGTGTGTGCCTTAATCTAATGTTTATCAATGTTCAGTAAGGCAGCAGGTCCAGAAACTTACGCCGGCTCACATGCAGACTTTGGAAATAGGCCACGCGGTCCAAGGGTGGCCTGCAGCATGAGCCGTCATGCCGGCACCCTGAAATAAGAAGAAGTCTTGTGTGCCTGGTCATAGGCATGAAGGCAGGCTCATGCCCCATTCTATCCAGTCTGGCTTCCACAGCCTGCCATCTGAAGGCATGAAAAAGCCACCACTCTCACATCGCAAAACCCTATCTGATTCTGCTGGGTGGCCCCGCCTCCAAGCGCTGCTTCATGGTACTTTCGGCCTCGGAGCGCTCGCGTTGGCGCCGGAGGCTCCGACGCCGGTGGCTCCCGTTGTGTCAGCTCAGCTGTCCACGTCGCGGCTTTGCTCTAAGACCTGCCAAGCTCGACGGTGCCGGTGGGTTGAGTACTGGGGGACCCTACTCGGATTGCTCGTATTCTTGCTTTTTGAATCTATATAGATGCCTCCAGTCAACCGGTGCAGTTTTCCACGCATTGATTCTTGACACATCTTGTCGAATCACCGAATCATGGTTCAACCGGTACGTCCAACTTGCATCCCCCGAAACCCTGCCAGCCAAATGCGGAACCTCAATGACCCATCCGTTTGTGGAACCTCAATGGATGGAGGGGACTCCACAATTCTTCCACCACCTATGTGGGAGAAGCCCACCAGCTAAGTCCCCTTTTTTTCCACCCTCCCAGCCATGTGGTGCTTCTCCACCCTCCCGCCGCGGAACCAGCCTTGCCCAAGAGTCGTAGGCTCTCATCGCTGGCGCTGGCTTTCTGGCACCGACCGCGGAGGACTCCCGTCGCGGCGCGGTCGAACGGCGTCGCGGTCGGCGCGTGCTGGAGCCGTCCGGTCCCACCTGCTCCAAGCCCTGCCGGAGCGGAGCTAACCTCGGGCCGGTCGGTCGTTTTCTGGTGGGGTTGGACCAAAAACAGCAGGAAAGAATAGGAAAAGAAACGTCTCAGGATCTGTCATCCGAGCCTCGCGAATCGTTCTTCTTCTCCGGCGGAGCCACAAGCAAATTGAAAAAGACAGGTGGAAAGGTTGGGGACGACTCAGTGACTAGTCTTGCGCACTGCCTCCATGGGTTGGATTTTCGATGAACCGAACGCATGTCAAAGGGCCCATGGGACTTGAACGTGTCTCAGACCCATGCTGTTCCTCCAGACTCTTCTGAAGGCCACCAAGTAGCCTGACAACAACAAGAAGAAGGAACTGCCACAGGCTTGCACCTCCCCTCCCTAAAACAACATAACTCCACAGACATACAGATACGGTTGTCGAGGCGTAGATGGGAGGAGTGAGTAGTGCCAAGTGTGGTTTCCCTCACGGCAAACCTTCAATGACATGGACAAGCGCCACGCGGCTCGGCCCCAGCATTCACCGCGCGGTGATTCGCCCACTGGGCTCGGCTCTTTTTCTTGCGTTCAGAAGTCAGCCAGGCCTGGAATCATCAAGGGGCGAGGGCCTGAGTCAGGAAGGACTGGGGGTCTCAACAAAGTCACTCCACCACTGGGTCTCTCTCTATCTCTCTCTCTCTCTCTCTCTGGTAAGTCCCAGAGACGTCCAGCCTCCTCTTTGAGGAAGACCGAGGTCGGAAAGTATGAATCAAAGGTACACTCGCAGACATCATGGTTATGTGGATGTCATGGCCCTGATTTCGATGACCATGACTTCCGAAGACCAATGACCCGGTGTTGAACTCCACTTCCATCATTATTCAAGGAAGTGTAGGGGCATCCCAACAAGTCTGAGACCAACCCACTGTTGCAACACAAGGCTGCGGCCGATCCATTGACCTCCGCAGTCCTGCCAAACGATGTTTGCCGTCATGACATGTTTCGAGAAGGTTGTTCTCTTTTTGGTTGGCTCTCTACACGCAGCTCAAAACATTTTTGACAGGCCCCGATGCAACGCAGCCAAGCACACTCTGAGAACACCTGGGACAGAAAAAGAACAGCAATGCAAGTCTTCAGGTCCTTCGACCACACCCTCAAGTTGTCTGACTTGAGCTTCCGCTGCAGTGACCTCAGCATGTTGTCCACATCATGTCTCCCCTCAAGCCTGCCAAACGGCGCAAATTTAGCTTCAGGTATGACCAGCCAAGCCATCAGGTAGATCATCTGATTCGTCCCCCCTTTCGTAGCTTTGGGACCCTCCGACTCACGTGGATGGCATGGCCTTTCGGAAGGCGATCCTCCACTACGAACAGACTGGTTGGCACTTCCATCTGAGATACGATACGTCACAGCCATGCACACCATGTCACAGCCATACACGTAGTCACGTAATGTGGACTCTTGATTAAGAACCTCCCCCAATTGAATTGACCCACCTCTTCATAGGGGGGTATGAATCAAGAGTCTACATTAGCACAGTATTTAGTATGATGTGGCTGTTCATGGCAGGCCAACCGGTGGACTGCTCAGACCCTTCAGGCCTTCAGGTGACTCTCTGCCGCGACCCCTCCGACCATCTCCGACCCCTCCGAGTTCGCGAACTCGGTTCCACATGGACCTTCAACAAAGAGAACTGAACGTGGCCTTCCCAAAACATCCCACTTTTTCAACGTGGCCAGGTCCTCGGATCCGACTCTCGAGTCCGCGCCGCAGCGCAGGAGCAACGCGGCGGCTCCGGCTGGGAGATCGGACGCGCGCTTCGGCCCGGCTGCTCTTGGACTCCTCCAGCGCTTCGGCGCGCGGGCGCAAAAAAAAGCCGGTTCAGTACAAGTCACATATGCCTTTGTGGAAAATATCTAATACACATTTCTCATATTAAAATGCCTCTGTGTATGTGTGATGTTCTTATTATTAAAGAAGACTATATAACTGTCCAGTTATGTTCCGTTCGCGATCTACACGAGAAACCAGTGAGAGGAACAAAAGGATACAAAAGGATACGAAAGGAACGGCCCAGAGCATCGGTGAGATGGTCTCCTCTTCTTGTAGTCTCTTCTCCAGAAATTGCACCGTGAGCTCCACCTGCAATCGAAAATCATCGAAAAGACGTTCAGATGGCGAACGGGGGAGACGGGGCAGATGGCCACTCCTAGGCCCGGCCCTCCTGAGCTGGGGCCTCCATTTCACTCTCCCAAACGCAGAGTGCCACGGACCCTGGAGAGACTCCTGCCTTGGAGCGTTCTTGGCGTTCAGTGTCAAAGGCATCCTTGAGCTCCTCAAGCACCGGCCCAAGACTCCAGCTTCCGAACGGTTTGTGAGTCAGGCGATTTGTCGGTTTCGGCCTTCATCTTGTCTTGGAGGTCCTGTCACGAGCTATTCCAAACAGCTTCAAAAACACCGATCTGTGATCTGACTACTGAGCCTTTCTCTCTGTCCAAGCTTTGGGCTCGAGTCGGGAAAGCACCACGATCACAAGGGTGTCACATCATACCACATCAACAACTCAAGATCAGCAGATCCTCGCCTTCACTGACCGTTCCAATGCCTGCAGTTGGCAGCGGAAAGGGGCTTTCACAGATCAACACCCTTTGGTCAGCCACTAGGGCTCCAACATCCACCTTGGAGTAATCAGCCCCGTAGCCATACCTCAGCGGCCAACCCCCAAAGGTCAACCACTGGGCCCGTCACCGGGCGTCTATGGAAGGAACAACTGCTAATGTCTAAGGCTTTCATGGAACAAACGTTCCACTAATGCCACAATATGTACAAGTGAGGTGCGCCCCTTGAGAAGCGGGCATTGCTGGCATACCCATCATGCCGGCCATGCCCATATGGGGCATGCCTCAGAAGTACCAGTTTCTGTTGATGCAAGACCTTTCCACAACTCCAACCACCGCACCGGCATGCTGTGCTCTGCAAGTTCGTTCATTTGAGCGCCACACATGGTGGCAATCCAAATTGCCTGAACTACTGAATCACTGAATCCACCGCGACATGTAGACACACATCCTGCCATAATCACCAAGGGCGTGGCTGGCCACAAGGAAACGGATAATTGTAGGCTCCTGCTCAGGGCGCGGCTCTGCGCGACGCCTCGCCCTTCCGACGCATCTTCCGCGCTCTTCCGAACCCACCGAGGCTGCTGCCGCAAGGCACTTGAGATGGATCGACGGTTGCCTCGGATCGGCAGCGGTCCAGAACTGTCTTCGGTGCCATCCCTCTTTGGCCCTTCGCCACGGCTGGTGGCTGGCACCGCTGAGGCCGCGACGGGCGGCGGCGGCGGTGCCCTGCGGCGGAGGACGCCGAGACGTCGAGAATCGACCGTGGCGGTGCACGGCGGTGAGTGGCCGGGATCGACCTGGGGCCCCGGACGCCGCTTTGGACTGAACCGGCGGAGAGGTCGGGGGCGCCTGAGTTTCCCCACGGGGCGGAACAGGTCACGCAAAGGTCACACAGGTCGCACAGGTCAGAGGTGTCACTGAGTTGAGTGGCGTTTCACGGTGTTTCCACCCATCTTGGCCAGTGGATGATGGATTCCGGGCGGAAAAAATGCCAGGGGTGGCAGGTCGACGACGATGTCGTGAAAAATGTCTGCGCTCCACAATCCAAGGCACCAAGGAGTGGCCGAACTTGATTCCCACAGCCGTCTCGGCCGTGACCTTCTCCAAAAGTCACTGAACATGTGATGAAACTCATTGTATTGCGGCATGATGTGTTTCATCATCTGGCATCTCAAGCTGCCGACTCCGTCTGCTTGTTGTGCATTGCCTGGATTCCCACGCCGCAAACAAAAGTTTCTGCAGCTGAAGCTTTCTTCACCAATGTCAGCGCAAACTGAGAAACCTTTAGGGGCTCTTCATACTCGGCCGTGTCCCTGAAACAATGAGGGAAGTGGAACATAACCCCTGGAAACACAACTTTCCTCCATACAAACAGGGGGTTGTCCACTTCCATGTTTGCTGGAGGGGTGTTTAGGCATATTATTGTCATTATAATCTAGGTCAGGCCTGACACACCAAAGCCAAATGAGCCACCACCTGCAGTCGGACACACTTGTCGTTCAAAGTTTCACCGAATCAAATCAATCAAAGCATATTGGAGAGCAATAGCAATAGGCAATATTGTATATATATATATATGTGTGTGTGTGTATGTATTTAAGGATCTTAAAATGCGCTTTCTTTCCATGCACATCCAAGCAGGCTGTGTTTCATCTCAGAAGGATGCACACTTTTTTAGCGCAGGGCGGAGATCTATTTCCTTCGGCGCTGTGCTGGCCCTCACTCACTCATGCGGCTGAGTTTAACCCACGTGAGTCCCAGAGCATTCCAGCATAAAGCCTCATAAGAAATGGGATGAATGATCGAAGACAACACAAGGACATCCCTGAATTGTGTGTCTCTCAAATGGAACATTCCTCTCAAGAAGCTTTCTTTCAATAGTTTCGGGACTCCTGGCATCTTCATTTAAACAGATTACCTTCTCCCAAGCCAACCATCTCCTATCCTCACGCTCTGAACCCGAATTTCCACCCTTCAACATCTGCCCCGCCCGACACAAAAACCCAAAAAAGGGGGGTAAGATGAGAATCTCCTAAGGCCTCTCCTAAGGCCTCTCGGTCTCTCCCCTCGGTCACTCCAAGTGACGTCTGTAAAGCTGCTTCGCCAAGTTCTTCCGCGACTCCCCGGACATCCCATCGAAGGGCCCATCAGGGCAGGCCTCGATGGTCCTAAACGTGGGAGGGAGACGGATGTCTTGCGGGGCCAGCGCCTGTCCGGTGGGCTGATAGATAAAGGTGTACCTCCGCCCAATCGCAGTGACGAACGGCAAGGGGGGACGATGGGCCCGGGGGTCAGGCGGAACAACCGGCCGGCTTTCGTGCGCATCGGTGGGGGTTTCGAACACGAAGGGAGCCGGGATCGGCACGGCAGCACCGGATATGTCGTGCACGACACGGGCGAAGAGCACGGGATGGAAGATGGAAGCAGAAGTTTGGTAAGACGAGTAGACACACAACGAAGAGCAGGAGTAGATAAGAAGGTAAGAAGAGCACGGGCAAAATCCGCAGGAGAATGGAAGCAGGTGCGGGTGGTGAGGTGGTGGTTCTTAAAAGAAAAGAGCAGACACACAGAGACACACACCTAAAGGTTCTGAGTAGAACCCAGTGATCTGCTCTTTTCAGAGAAAAAATTGCTGTAATCCTGCTGGGCTACACCATATCCTTCTCGGCCCGTTGGACATTGTAGCCTTCTCCTTCATCCGGCCGTCGATAGGTGTCCCGCCGATCTCCATAGGAGCGACCATAGCGGTGCAGGCTCCACTGCAGAAACGGCATGGTCTCCGTGTGGCGGAACTCGTTCTCCACCGCGGAGCAAATGATGTAGGAATATCGAACTCCCACAGCTCCCTGGTTGGATGCCACCTGGCAGGTCTGCCGCAGGTCTGCAGACCTACTGGTCTACAAGTCTACCACACGCGGCCGTCTGTGGGACCCGTTGTGGGCGTTGGGGCGGGGGGCGGACGGGGCACTGGTGACCCGGAAAGCCAACGACCATGAGCCACTCCGAGATCCCCACAGAAGCCATCTTCTTGCGGAAAAAGTGGACCAATTCAGACACCACATGTTTTGGGAAAGAGATTCACACTAGGGTGGCAAGGGAACCAACCCGATCGACAAATATTATCAAAAATTATATATATAATATATATATATATATAAATATATATCATGGAACATGCCAAACATGAGTCAAAGCAAAGTCTCTCTCTCTCTTTCCCATTGCCATGCCATGCCATGTCACAAGGAAGTCCAAATTATAGTCACATGCTCTCTTTTCATCTACTTGGTTGCCTCAGGCCATTCAGGGACGACACCCAAAGCAAGCCAAGTGAATTACAGCCACCAAGTGAGTTCGTGATACACCGTTTTTCAGCAAGGGGCTGTGCACCTGTGAAGAAGGACACCAGTCCACCAAGTCGAGTCTTAGAGTGCTCAGAGCTGCTCAGGCGTCAGGCTTCTCCAATGACAATGAGTGGCGACCGGCACCCAATTCCCAGATCCTCCCGGCGGCCAGGCCGACCCGCCAGACCGTACCAACGGCCCCCCGCCCCCCCAAGCAGTGGAAAACACCCCCGCCTTGACGATCCCGCCAGGCTTCACGTACGCGCGCAGGGCGCGGAAAAAGAGTCGCATCAAGTTTTCATGACGCCAGTTGACCAGTGGGTGGCCATCGAAGAACCCGCCCACAGCTCCTCGCGGCCGCCACGGCGAACGAAAGGGAGGGGGTCGTCCGCGGGGGTCGGGTCCTCGTGCTACCGGCCTTTGTTCAGAAAGGATGGGAAAGGAAATGGGAAACGCATGGGATGACCAAGGGACAATAGATTTCAGAATATATTATGCGTTTGGCATGTGCGCATGATTGCACACGCAAATGCATAGCCAGGACCTCTTGTCAAATCCATATTCACCCAAGAAAGCAGTGCTCAAATGCTAGACCCCAGACCCAGTGTGGAATCGCGCAAAAAATTTTTAAGGCCCTTACCCCTTTCGCCATCGGGTCCTGCGTGCGGGAAGTTGTAGTAAACAGCTCCCAAAGAGCCTTCCAGGTCTTTGAATTGCGGATGGACAGCTATCCTCGTACAGTCCACCTCCTTAGATGAGACGACGCATACCAAGGCGGTTACAAGTGGTCTGGCCATGTGCTCTAGCAACCCTAGTAGCTTCTTGCTACCTGGTAGTAAGAGCAGGAGCTACTAGTAGCGTCCTTGCTCCTAGTAGCCATGCCCTTTGTTACTAGTAGCTTTTTGTTCCTAGTAGTAAGAATGCTACTAGTAGTAATCCCCTGTGTTACTAGTAGCGATGCGCTCTAGCAACCCCACTAGAAAGTGGTAGCCCACACTCAATGTTCAACGGCTCTGCAGTGATTCTTCCTAGCAAACTTCGCCCGCGACATCAGGCGGCTAAGCGCTAGAGGTGAATGACACATTTTGTGCTAGGGGAGATGAGTTCTCCAAATAGAACTTCTCCCATGGACCGGACCAAAAGAATGAAAGAAAGAACCGAAAAAATCTGGCTGGATGACGATGGGTCATAAATAACCCCTTTGGGCCCAAGATGCGTGGTAGACTTCGGAAAAATCCTTCTCCAGCTCCGCGATGGTCTCATCGATCTCTGCATACCGTTCGCGCAGCACCTCCAGCGACTCGAAGGTGGTGGCAATCACCCGGCCCACATGACCCAAGGCCTGGCGAGCAGTGGGCCAGGCCGATCGTGGTCACGTGGTCTAAGTCGGCCAGGAGCTAGCTTGTTTGGGGGGGTGGATGCAAGATGCAAGGGTTTGGTTCCAAAGAAATGGCATGGGGATTTGGAGTCCGGAGCCAAATCCACCTGCCTTGTTCGACCGGAGCTTCCCACCGTCCACACCCCGACGGTACCACGCCCGAGCCCATCGTCCCTGCCTTGCGATGCCGCACGAGGTTCCTCGGACATCGAAACGATCGTGTCGTTTCTCCAGTTCGGTGAGGGAAGTTTCAGCCAAGCCCTCCCTCTTGACACAGCAAACCTGTGAACTTCTAGGGGTGGAGCGCAAAACAAAATGGCCCCTCCACTTGGGGAGAGTCTTCCCCAGTGGAGTTCGACAAAAGATCACTGCTCACTGCTCACCGAGTTGCAAGGCAAAGCCTCAGGTCGCTGCTTCTGGAAAAGAGCACGCACGCATGAAGACGCAAAAAAACGCATGAAGACGCCAAAATATATCATGTGCGATGGCCAAACTGACCGGCTAGCTTCTCTCGGGAAGTGGAAGCACGTCCTCACAAATCCTCCCCAAAAGTAAACGTTAAGACCAAGACTTGTGGCTGCATTCGTCTTTAACTATACTTCCACTCTAGCAACTTTCGTGCAGAATTCTTGGGCAATGAAAGGTTGAGGATGATAGACAGTTTTTGTTGAGCGAATCTGGCAGGGGCGGCCTCTTACTTCTTGCAAGATCCACTTCTGGGCATTTTGATGCATGTGTGTGTGTGTGTTACTGGTGTTCAGCGTGTCTTAGAAAATGCTCTGCAGTTGCTTGGGAATCCTGGGTACCAGTCCTGTGTCCTGTGTGGCCTGAACATTGAAATCACCACCTCTTGAAGTTTGCCATGCTTCAATGTCAAAGCCTCTCAAAACGCCTGCCGTCTTTCCACATGGTGCTTTAGATCGGGATTGTCCTTGCTCCCAAAAAAGAGAAAAGGAGATTGCTCAAAAGACTGGCTTGAAGAGAGAAACTCTTCCGGGCTCTGAAAGGGGACTGAAACGACTCTCCCTCTCTCTCTTTCTCGCGCACACAAGCCGGCCGCGTGCTAGGAGCGCGCCGCGTCGAAAACGGCATGAAAACGAAAAAAGCCAGAAACTCAAGTTGGCATCTCCGAAGACCGCTGCGTCCGCTTCCGGATCGATCAGCTCCAATCGAGTAAACCGGCCCAGAGCCGTGCAACCCGGTGCCTGGGAACCACGTGGGAAACGGCACGCGCGGAGGTTCACCGCGAAAAGTCGCATAGTACCCCGGAAAAGCCAGGTGGACACGGAAAATCTAAGGTTAGTAGGTATTGAGAAAGGAAAGACTCAATACCTAGACCTGCAAAAAGACCGGCTTCTTAGCTACTTGGGCATTCTGCACAGATGTTCACAAATGTTCACAAATGTTCAGCAACGTGCCAAATTGGGGTGAGGTTTCAATCCCAATCATTATCAGCCCTGGTTTCAATCACTCATCCCATGTCGTCCCTTCATTCCAGTTGATGCAATCCCACCCACGGGTGCGCAAGTCCGTTCCATGTTCGCACCAGCGCTTCCTCCCTTTCACCATGGCACCGTCGCTGCAACTCCAGTCGCTGCAACCTCCGGCTCTGAGTCGACGGCCTCTTGGATCAGACTCGGCAAGTCCTGAGGACGGACGGCGACGCGGTCATACGCGGGGAGCCTTCGAGACGTCCCTTCGCACGTCGAAACCGGCGAACGGAGCGTTTATCCTTCGGGGTGAGATGGAAAGGCCTCATGGAGAAAGGGAATGTCCCACGCATTCTTCGCGATAAAAAGAATCCGTTGACAAGGCACATGTTGATCCATCTTGGACAAAGCCGCGATAATGAACCATTACCAGTCACTACCACAAAAGACTGAGTCGGGTCAAAATCTCTACCTCGAGCCGAGAACGTTCCCCAATGTTCCCAACACACCCCGCATTGCAGAGAACGTGGACCTGGATTTGTGTGGTGCACAGTGCACAGCGATTTCTTTCACTATTTACTGCGATGCCTCGCGTGGCAATGCATGGCAAGCTGCTCTTTCACCATCATAGTGTGTCAGCACATAGCCTCGGACTTCTTCTTGTGTGAGAGGGCCGATCTCGATTGGCTCTCCCCTCCAGAAAAAAGACTCACGCAACGGAAGGTCGACCCTGTGGCATTACAAAAAACGAAAGCACCCGGTACGACCCTGGCCCTTGGGATCATCAGTCGTATAGCTCCGCCTGGCGGCTTAGCTCCAAAATACCCTACCCCCCTCAGATGACGGTAGAAGACAAACAAGGAAAGGATCGGCATCCCGTGAGCTGTGCTTCGCACCTGTTCATTGGCAAACCAAACGTGCCAAACGCCACGAGTCTCTTTCTTTCTATTTACGGCACCACAAAGGTCAACTGAGCGGCGTAAGTCCTTATGGCTGAGCTTGCGGAGGATGGGATCCGTCGTGCCGTCCAGCTTCCAATTAAACCTGCCGTCGCTGCGACGCCGCGTCACCCGTCTGCTCACGGGAATTGTGGAGGCCATCATCGAATTCGATGCACGAAGTAAGAAGGTGGATCAGTGTGGTGAGGCACCTAAACAAGCACCCTAGAAACCCCAGAACTTCCATTTCGACTCATGAACTACTCCACCCGGAAGTCATAATCCACCACTCCCGAGTAAAATGAGTCATGACTGGACTCTCAGGGAAACATCTCTCAATCTTATCACCACCCCTACAAACGACCTCGGGCATGTTCATTGCAGAAGATAGCACCCCCAGAGTCCAGTCGTGACTCATGAACTACTGAGGCCTGGTAGTGGATGATTTTGACTTCCAGATGGGGTAGTTCATGAGTCGAAATGGAAGATATTGGAAGTTCTGGGCTAGCTGCGGGCAAAAAGGGGCCTGAAGGCCGCGATCGCATCAAGTGCTCCGCCACCGGCCGTGTTCCGCTCGCGCATGCCCGCAATGTGCATGGCGGTGAGGTCCTGGGTAGGCGCTGAGGATGAAGAACCACCACCAACGAAAACAAACAAGCCATTGCGGGCGACGAGTTGGTGAACCCGTGACACGTCCAAGCATCCATTTCCAAGCTATGTTATGGTGGAAAACTAAGGCTACAAGGACAGTCGAAAGACCCGCAGCGCACCTTTTGAAAGAAAGACTGAAAGACTGCAGAAAAAGACCACTCTGTGACGAGTTCATCGACGGCGATGTCTACTAAATGTCTACTAAGTGTCTACCTGGTCGTGACCACATGCTGAAGTTGTTCGGCTGTGGGGGCTTCATGCAGGAAAAAAAACTATGAGAGTCCGGTCGTGGTTCTTCTCCACCGTGATGGAAGCACTTGACCTCTTGTACTTTCCGCCACTTCCACAAGGCCTCCCAACCCGCCACCCGCTCGCCCGCTCCCCAACCCAAACGCCCAAACGGATTCTGCTGTGGCACGGCGCAGGACTTCCATGCATTGAACTTATCGGGCAAATACCCCGAGTTGTTCAAGATATCGAGCTCGGGCAGCTTCAATCCCTCCAAAACATGCCTCGGCGCATCGTACGAACAGGCAAGAAGGCAGATAAGATCAGATAAGGCTGCCCATACGAGACAAAAAGAGCTCTTTGCAGCGCCCTGCCAATCCGTGAATTTAGATGAATTTAGAACCAGATAAAGAAAAATCGAAGAGGAAGTGGTCCAAAAGCTACGAACATGCCAGACTTGGGTGAAAAAGAGCCCAGCACCCCGCGGCACCTGAGGAGCACGTCATCCAGGGAGCCCCATTTGGTGAGAAGATGGGTCACCTCAGACTTGGGAAGGAGGTGAACGCGGCCCATGATTCCAGCGGCCCGATGACGAGTCTCGTCTCGGATTGAATCTGGAAGACCTCAAACACCCGTTCCTTCTTGCAGACTGAAGCGTTGCAGATTGCAGCATTTGGTCTGGGAGCCAAGACCAGAAGAAGAGCCCTTCAATTAAGGAACATATATCCCAGGCCAACATGAATCCGCCGAAGGAAAATGAACCGATGCTTCAATCCCAACCCTTGATTTCCGCAGAGGTGTCTTTGGATCAAGGTCGACTCCAGTGGGAAAAAGGGCACCTCTGCCCAAGACGGAATGACCTCCGGTGTCCGGTCCCACCCACAGCGGCCAGTCGCTTTGGCTTGCTCCGCGGGCCCGCAGCGCTCCACGGTTCGTCTCTTCTTCACGGAAGAGCCAAGCTTGGCAAAGGCATCTTCGTCTTCACCTCGGGAGTGCAGGAAACTGTTGCCGAAGTGCAGATTTTTCCCTGAGAGTCCAGTCATGACTCATGACTCATCTTACCCTGGCCTGGTAGTTATGATTTCCAGGTGTGGTTCAATGAGTCATTGGAAGTGCAGATATACCTTGGGAATATAATGCAGATGAATAACTGCTTGACAGCGACCTGTCCTGAAAATACGACAAGGCTGAAACGTCGGCGAAACCATATGACCTTGCCAGAAGAATCCCGCCACCTACAATACCTGCCCATGCGCCCTTGGCAACGGCCCTTTGACTCGGCGGTGAAGGGAAGCGTAGCTTCAACGACAAAGTCGACCGATGTCTTTCTCCCTCATGGTCTGCACCTATACTCATGAGGCTGACATTGATAGGCTAAAATAGACTGAGACGGCGTTCGCCGCAAGATAAACCTTCAACGAAAAAAGGGAATGAATGAGTCTAGGTTAATGTCGAACATTTCATGCAATGGCTTTGGGTGTCACTGAGATTCTCATGCATCCTTAGGTTGTGTTGCAATGTATATCTGTTGTGATGAAGGGTGGATTGGTGTTGATCTTTGATCCAGACTGGGAAAGGCTCGCCGGGAGCTGACTCTTCATCAGAAAACCCTTGGACGAGCGAGTTGGGAGAGCCTTTGCTTGCTACTACTGTATCTAGTAGCTTCTTGTTGCTAGTAGTAATGCCAGGAGATACTAGTAGCTTCTTGTTATTAGTAGTAAGGTGCCTTGTCCCCTTGCATCCAAGGCACTGAGCAAGCGTTTAAGCTTCAGGGTGCCTGCAACGGCATCCTTCAAGTGCTCCTGCACACCTTGGTCCAGCACCGGAAACCGCTCCGGAAAAAAAAAAAAAAAAACATGGGCTGCCAGTTCAGAGCAACATGGAGCATCCACCGGAGTTAGCTCCTTTAAGCAGTCAAGAGAGCCTTAGGAGCTTAAACCCTCAAATCTCCAATCCAGATTCTGCATCGTGGGGGCGGAGACAAACCCATATCAATCCTCCATGTCAAGAGTTCAGAGGGGACGGTCCCTGACTTCAGGACTCAGGACTCAGAACTCGTCCTAGTCACCGGACTGTTCCACGCCGGACGAAAGCTCACATGGACCGGGCGCACCTTCATCGGACTCTTCCTCATCTTCTTCGTCCGGTTTCTCGGCCATTTCTCAGGCTTCCCGAAAAGCTTGATCCATGGCTGCGGTGAAAGGCAGTCAGCACTGGAAGTAGTGACGAAATGTGACGAAAACACCCATACCCCTTGGGGGGGCCCTGGTAGTGACAAAGGCGTCAGCTTCGATTTGCGTCTTAGGACAGCACCTGATCCAAACATGGAGCTGGAAGGGGCACCACCGGCGCCTGCGTTCACGATGTATTCGGCCGCGCGAACGGTGTCTTTGCGCGGGACAACGGCATGCTTGAGGCTCTCCCTCTCTCTCTCTCTCTCTCTCGCGTTTTGGTGGGTGGAACATGGTGGGGAAACCTGAAGTGCTGGGTTCTCACACGCACCCGACTGTCTGGTGCGAGCAACACGTGGGGGGGGTTCTAAACTCTCACCCGACGCTCTGCCTGGAGGGTCTGAAGAACCAAAGATCGAACCAGCAGACGCCCCGCCAAAGATTGATGAGCTGGCTGGTGTAGCCTTATTTCGTCACTTGAGACAAGTGGAGCACATGGAGCTGTTCAAACAAAAAGGGGTGTCCAATGCCATTTTCCGGTTGGTTTTTGGAATGCTTTTGGCATGCTCCATGGTTCTTGGATGTTCTTCCATCTTCGGGCTCTCCTGTAGTGACCATGAATCTTAGCAATCCATGACCAAAATCGCAGTAGTCTCTCAACCCCTTTCTGAGCTGCAAGCGCCAAAAAGCCCGCCCTAGCGGCACGTTTTTTTTCGCGGCACCAGACCCGTCTCGGTTGGTCGAGGCAATGACCCCAACATGTTAGCTCTATGTTTGGATGTCCATCCGGCGACATCAAAACCCACTTCATCCCGGCTGGTGCCCATCCAAACAAACAGACCCGATGTTCTCCTCAGAATGGCCATGTTAATCCATCACATTCCATCATACTTTGGTGTAACATGGGTAACATGGGTATCAAAAATGGAGAGGACCTCCCAGTTCGAGCTCCTAGAAGAATGAAGTTCCAACGTTCCTCCGCGCCGTTCCAGTTCCCAGTTCCCAGGTCTTCAGCCACCCAGACTCCGCCCGGTCCCCGAGTTCCCGGGCCGAACTCGAGGATCCAAACCCGAAGCTGAGCGCAGGCGCCGAAGGCCTCATCGACGCTCCGGGCACCGGGCCCCGGCCGGGTCGCGCCGCGCCGCCGCAAAGGGCGCTCCGCCGTCGTCGCGACGACTGGGGCACGAACGCAGCGGCGGTGCTCTCCTTCGTCCTGTGGGGTGTCCAAAGGGACGAAAAACACGAGAAGAGATGGGGAAAGGAGTGAAAGGAGCCAAGAAATGTCCCAAGTGCCGACATTTCGTGAGCATCCATGAGCCGAAGGTGTGCTCCTAAGGGCCTAGACTCATGATGCAAGCGGTTGGAAGCCCATCTCAGTCTCACACGAGGTTCCACCACCCAAGAAGGCGGCTGCTGCACTCTGCCTCGGGCCCAAACAATGGTGGATGCGTCCCACACTCCGACGCCCCAAGCTGAGATGCCAACATCCCCTTGCTTTTGTCCGCTTTGGCAGCGGCAACCTGTGAACTCCCTTCTGTTCAGCAGGTTTCATCTCACAATGACATCACATGTCACGTCTTCCCTTCTGCGGATCGCCACCGGTGAAATCTGCACCGTGGATTAGTCCCAGACCGGGTCCTCTACACGAGCCTTCGGACCTCCGTTACGGCTCGGTCGCATCTGTGTAGTGGAGCGAACGAGGCCCGCGGCCTGCCCCCCGCGGCAGCCTTTGGTGCGTGCGCCCTGCCTCCTCTTCGTAGCCGGGACGAGCTGTCTCACAAATGGAGCATTCGATGACCTGTCTTGGAAGAATGTATATATGCAGGTGAAAACACTAAAATAGTTGCGTGTATATCCACATAATCATACAAAATCATGCAAATTGATAAGCACAGCTTCCCTCCCACCCAAAAGAACAAGAATTTGGGCATCTATGGAGGAATGTGTGCTGCTTCCCTTCCTTGACCCATTCTTCTTCAAGCATGGTGGCCTGGTCACCGTAAACCAAACGACAGCCCATACAGCGCCAGCCAGACTCTGCCTGGTGAAGAGGATGTGCTTGACTCAACACCCCAAGACCAGTGATGGGCATAGGATCTGGACCAAAAATTCGGGAGGCGAAGAGTTAGCCTGCTCCCCGAAAAAACGGGCAGGGCAGCCGTTCACAATGACCCATGTCAAACAATGACCCAAGTGCATTGGGAGCCTCAGGGTGAGCTCAGAGCTCAGGTCATCCACACTACGGAGTCTTATACAGTCAGAACACATCGAGGTGTTGGAGCTGGCCGCAGGCGGGCAAGCTAAGCCCAGAGACATGTGCCTGTTGTTGTGCCAAGGCTGCAAAGCAACCTGTTTCACCATCGGCGGTGCCCGTGTCGTACTCGGCCTCCAGAAGTTGAGGGCTCAGAGCAAGCGGCGAGCGATGCAAGACGTGCCCAGTCTCAGCAATTTTGGCCGGTCAGATGTTGAGAATGAGATTCAATGAGCCCCGTGGATTTACACAGGACATCAAGTTGACACGAGCTGTGTCCACAAGATTGGGAGACACTTTGTGTCCCAAGAATGGTGGTGCGGTCAAGTTGGGCCATGCTCTTCTTGAAGTTGTTGACCAGTTGTGCACGGCAAGAGCCGGTCTTCCTGTGTTGCTACAGTTTAGTTCCAGAACAGCCCACAAAAACTTTGAATCCCGCGCCCACTCTGTACAAGACCCCCCTAGCCAGTCCTGCTGAGTGTCCTACTGCACCAAAATGGTGCACATGCAGAGATTCATTTTGATACTACTTCCAGTAGGTAAGCCCACTGGCAACTAGTAACTAGTATGTCAGCCTGCCCCTCAACCATCACCGCAACAGATTCTGAAGCATCATCGCAACTTCAAAGTTTGGCCCGGGAGCCCCTTCCACTTGACTCAGAAACGACGTCCGGCGTGCCTTTCCATACTCACAATCGCACTCGCTGCCAAACTCGTCCTTTTGACTGCAGGAGTAGGAAGCTTTGCTTGCTTCAGATGCAGGAACTCCAGCAATTGACAGGGGATAGTCCTGCAATTGGTGGGTGTCCACAAAATGTGCCCACCAATTTTGAGCTCCCTGCTGTTCCTGCCCCAACTTGTAGTCCTTCCTTTGAAAGCCCATGGATCCCAACGCCCCGGCACCCCAACGGAAATCCACCCTCTCCGGGCTGGAGCGAGTGCAGGCCGCCTCGGGCGGCAGGCTGGGGATCAAGATCACCGCCTCCTCCGTCGCGCCGCGCACGTCCGTCTTCAGGCCCTGGGCATCCTTCACGGGCCGCGGCCGCTGGGGCAGCACGCGGCTCGCGCGAAAACGGTCCAAGCCCGGCCAGCCGGTGTGTCCCTCCGAGTCGGGACGCCAGCGGTAGACCCAGAAGCCCTGGTGGTCAAGGACCTGAGAAAGAATTGCACGGGAGTGAAGGCCAAATGGAGAACAGGATATATATATATATATGATTTCTGGTGAGTTTGGGATTTCTCAGTTGCTTGTCCTGTAGTTCCACCAAAACAACCACATTCTATCACGGCATTTTTGAGGGAAAAAGATGCACATGTGCACACACCATGTATAGATAATATAAATAGTATATGTGTGTGTGTGTAGCAAGGCTTGTTGATCTGAGCATTCATCGCCCAGGAACTACGGCAAAGACATAAGGCGTGTGCTCAAAATTCTCAAATCGATCGGTTCCGGGATGACCTCCACCGTGCCAGATGTTGGCATCTTGAGAGGTCCAAGGCCTACAGCCCACAGCGCTGGGGTTTGCACGACAGAAGCCTCGGAAGCTTTCCGGCTCGGAGAAGGTCTGCCGTTTCCCATTGCCTTGTGCGGCAGTGCCGGGCATCGGCATGCATCCGGTGACTTGTGCAGTGGCTGTCACGTACAACTGGTTCAAGTTTCCGGGCAAGGGGCTCCCCTTGGGCACCGTACCCAAGAGTCCCTCGATGGCATCGAATTCCCACTCCCAGCAATTGTTGTGCTCCCTGTGGCCCTGTGCATTCAGGGTCAACTGCGACAGCATATACAACGTGCCGTAGTAGAAGCTGTCCACACTCAAGACCCACAAACCGGCCGGCGGAGTGAGTCCACGGGGGCCTTGTGCCCCGAGACCCCATGGAGCATATTTCGTTGGCCAGTCGCCTGGAGCGGGCGCCGTTCGCCGGGCTAGAACGGCGAACGGCGGAGGCCGGTCGTCTTAGTGAGATCAAAAAGTCGAGATATACGCAATGGGTGATGATATATACTAATACATCTAATTACCCTGAGAGTCCAGTCTTGACTCATTTTACCCCGGGGAGAAATGAGTCATTGGAACTTCTGGGTTACCTCGATCATGAATACAATGCAAGAGTGTCTGAACTTCTTGTGGGCGCACACACAGCTTCCGCAAAAACGAGCCCAAGGAATTGAACAACACGAAGAAAGCGCTTCTAACAAGACACCCCAAACATCCCAAGACGCCAGGTCTCGCTTTGCGCCCCAAAGCCAACGCCGCGCCTTCGCCGCCTTCCCATCTGAATTTACTCTTGACCTTCTCCCAGCCAGTCTTGTCTTTGAAGGATCCAGCCACCCCAGCATCTGAGAGGTCTCCCGCCGTGGAGGCATCTTGCAGCACAAAGTGGCTGCCGTTGTATTGGTATGCCTCACATCGGGCCCCAACCCACCAACCGGCCCACCAAAGGGCCCCAACCGACCCGCACGCACCAGCCCTGACGACCGAAACGGACCCGAACACGACGAGCCGGTCTGTTCCGTGTCCTTCCAAGTTCTTTTCTGAAGCAGTCCGTCTGATGTTTTTGGACCAGAAAAAATCCGTCCAATACCAAGTCTTTGATGTTTTTTCCCCTCTTCCAAAAAGAATCTCAAGAGTTTCATCCTTCCTCGTTCTCACGTCGCCCATCTCTGCTCCTCCGCTCCTCCCGTCTTCTCGTCCTCCGCTCCGCCCAGGCGCCGCGGCGTAGTTGATCTGCGGCGCCCGAGCGCAGGGCGGGATCCCATCGCAGAAGGTGGCGTTGGGGATGTGAGCGTTGCTCTCACAGGTGCCGACCACCCAGTTGAAATGTGGCCTGGAGGATGCAAAAAGAAAGGAGCCGGGGTGTTGCTTGGATCCAGTTTGTGGGGATTGAACGTAAAAAACCTTGAAAAAACCATTGCAAACCGGTGTTGGGTTGCTGTGCCCGTGAGGTTGTTGCATGCTGTTGTACATCTCTCCAATGCCCTGTCTGCCAGATGCGGAAAACCGACGTGCCTCCAGCCGCAACACATGGAATTCTGCCCGAAGGGCGAGTTGTACCTCAGAGATGCGGAAACATCTCGAATCGAACCGCTCGAACCGACGACGAGACACAACCGAACTCCTGAACGTCCGAACTCCCGAAATGTCTGAAAGCCATTTCGAACAAGGAACCAGGTCGGACGTCCATCAACACTCAGAACAGGGGCATGTCAAAGGAGAACCAACCGACCTCTGATGGCGTGGTCAATCATAATAATCATATTATATGTCAACAATTGTCAACAGGACTTCTATGACAAGCAACTGGCATTGCAGCTCCGTCGTGTCCTTGGTTTCTTCGCGCTTCGCGGGAGCACTCCCACTCTCCGTCAAACAAGAGCAGGCCGCAGGTTCAATGGGTGGTTCTTCTTCGGATTCTTCCGATCAACTGCTCTCACCACTTCTGATCTTAAAACAGAAAGACTGCTCCAGAAGTGATTCATCAATGGCCGGTTTCTGGCGCCCCTTTTTTGGGGGTGACCATCGTCATCCCTCTTCCTCACTGAAGAAGAAAAACAATGTATAGACTTATTATAGACACCTCCCCCCCCCCAAAAAAAAACATGATAAGAAAAAAGGTCAAAAAAAACGAACTCACCCAACCATCTTCCCTCCAAACCAGGGCCGCGTTGCGGTCGCTCCGGGTAGGTCCGGCTCTGCTGGAGGCGCATAGCGTCCATGTGCGGCGCCCAAGCTGCACCGCTGCAGCTGCGCCGCCAGGGCCTCGGGGGAGCTCAGCCCCTTGGCCTGCGAAGGCGAAGAGCAATCGACACGGCATAGGGCATAAGGTAGACTTCTTAGGAAATTCTATCTCACCCAACCCATATGGAAGAAGATGTCCAATTCAAAAACGGAGAGGTTTATTCATCACGAGTCTACATGCATTAGGGAACGGCCTCAGGTCTACGTCGCCAAACTGGTCGGTCATGGCGCCACACACCGACGAGACTTCCAGGTCTGGCGCTTGACTGATGGTGTTGGCTCCAGCTTTGGACGGCGTGCCGTGTGCCTCCTTTGCTGGGTTATGATTCCCAGGTCTGCAGGGGTGAAAGGATTTCTTAGTAAGAGGTAAGAGAATTTCTCGCAAGGGTTTGCAAGGGGTAAAAGGATGTGAAAATGAGTCCACTTGTAAGTTCTGTTGTCACATGTGTCTATCATGGATGGAACTGAAGAAGTGGTTTTCCGCATGCTGGTGGCCTAACCCTGCAACAATGCCACAATGTGACCTGCAAGCATCTTAGCCCTTAAGAAAGGAACATGTGACAGGCACAAACCGCGCACCTTGAGATATTCTTGGCATGCAGGTCCCAGCCCAGAAGAATTGAAGCTGGCAGAGCTAGGTGGCGGCATGGGTGCGGTAGGAGCCGTTGGCTGAACTGCCTGCCAGCCAGCGCGCTACACTTACACATCGGACACGTCGAGACAGGAGGAAACTGCTTCTGCACCGGCAGAGCGGAGAAATCAAGCACTTGATGAATGATGAATACCAGAAGTGCGGCAGCAACCACCACCACCGGAGCCCGCCAGAAGCCCCGTGCCTCACTTCCACTGCAGCAGTCCAAAAATTTGCCATTCTCCGTGGGGCAGCATTTCCCGCTCAACCCCAGACACTTGCTGTACGCTGAGCCTTAGAGATCAGCCGATTCGGCTTTTGGTTCGTCATGTTAGTCACCAAACGCCTCGAAACTCCATCGTCTTCGTCATCTTCGTTTGTTTCTGGGGCTTTGTGGATGTTTTGTTGAACGCCTGTTTGCTTACCCTAGGCTTTCAACCATTGATTTAATGGCTTTTACTGAACCACCATTGTTATTTGGTACGGCGGTACGGGTTGTTGCACTACAAGACCAGGTCAACCTTTCTTTCAAATGGTCTTCAAAGCCTACGGTTCTGCACGGTCATTTAATGTCCTTCTGGGTCCGAGACAAACACGGTCACGAACCAGCCCAAACCTTGCCAATTCATCCAGCCACATTCGGGCGCGTGCGTGGCTAATAGCTCGCTTGCACCAGCGGTGGTTGCGGCCGCAGCGAGAAAGTGCCACACGCCCATGACGGTCGGACCGTGCCCCAAATCGGACTGAAAACCTTGGAAAAAAATAACACCGTATTGCTTGCGAGATCCATCTGTCTCCCTCTCTCTCTCGAGGTGTGAAAAAAGGTCATCTCTAACAAAGGCGAACGGTCTGCGTGAGCCTAAACAATCCGTCATGCAGCAGAAGAAATGAGAAAAAGAGATGCAACAAATAGAGCAGACCAGAAATCCTGCAATTCCAAGCCTTTTCCCGGACCCTTAAAGAAAATATGAGAAAATCAAACCGTGGCCTGCACCCACTCTTCCTCGTCTTTTTGCCTAGTAACTAGTATGCCAACTCACATCGCATCAGGTGAACATGCAAAAAGTCACATGGTGGACACTGGGGCTTGTGCCATCCATTGACCTCAAAAAAACTCATAGGAAAAGTGAGCAAGCGGCACACATCAGGATTCGTCCAAGCGCAGCCACCAATGGATTGCCCAAGGTTATCGCAACCAGTGTGACAGCCAAATCTGTTCCAAAATCAGGCGCAAACGGGAGCTGACTCACCACCTTGGCAGGCTCCGAACATGTCCCGGAAAGAAAAAGATCGAACCCCACGATCTTCGAGTCGGAAGAGGTCCAGCCGACCCCTAGTCTCCACGGCAACCCTTCGGACACGCCGTGGAGCAGCACCTATCGCCTTGCAACAAAAACCCAAAACAAGTGGGCTCCAAAAAGGCAGGGGCTCCGGGCGTTTGGCAGCGAGGAAGGCCGCGCCGAATTCTTCCGCCTCGGACCGAGCGGGAAAATCGAGCGATCCCCGGTCGAAGACGATGCACCGCCGCCGTGATGCCAAGCAGAAGTGTCGAAATGGGACTATCAAAACATATGTCATCGGTCGACTAGTCATCGCACCGGTGGGTGCTTCTCTTCAAAATAGACCTGGCATGGTTCACGCCCAGCCGTTGACGCCCTTTTGGCTGACCTGAAAAGCATCTTCAGCCCTTGAGCCCTCGGCAATCTCCTCGGTCTTGAAGCGCAGGGCGAACTGTTCCACCTGCACGGGTTGCTCTTGGGCTTGCTCGAAGGGCTTGCTCGAAACTGCATGGGTTTGAAGTCCATCTGACCCATTTGACCCCATGTGACCGTCACTCCGTCACCCAAAAATCAAACTGAACAACACCAGCAGTCACAGGCAGTCACAAGGATAGGGGTGCCAAAACTTGGAGGATAGGCATGCCCTTGTCGCATCCACTCACTGGATGGGACGAGCCACACCGGTCAACTCCACCCCTGGCACCAGCATCACTCCGTGGTGTCCACGCTTCCCCCGAGCGGGGACCGACCGAGTAAGGGGGGCACCTTCTGCTCCTCATCCGCATAGTCAATTGCAGTCCACACCTCAGCGTAATAAGATCCAACGATGGTTTCAGCAAACTGGAGCTCTTTGGAAATGGGGGAGGAAACGTTGGGAAGCAAACGAAAGGCTTGTGACCGTCACAAAGCAAAGGACGAAACGAAAAGCTTCACGTGTGGAAGCTGGGCACATCGCAAGTCTAGTTGCTGAGATTCGATGGAATCACAACATCATCCACCTCTAGTTGAGCTAACTCCTTGGACATCTACACATCTCTTACCTCCACCGCGCGCGCCCCGCTTCTCGTTCCATTCGACCCGCCACCGGGTCCTCCGTCCGTCGTCCGTCGTCCGTCTCCGTGGGCGTGGCCCAGATCTTGGCGTTGCCGGCGTTGTGCACCAGTTCCTGGGTTCGGACGCAGGTCTTCACCCGACCCAAATGGAAGGAACGACCTGAAGGACCACCCGGTCGGGTGGTCCACCAATTTTTTAGGGGGGATCAGTCAGTGGAAGGAACTACCTGATATGTGCGGAGGAAAGCGAATGGATCAAAAGGATGGTTGTCAAAGTACTGGCATGGGTGTGAAACAAAGTGCACTTCAAAGGAACAGGTCGGGGTGTGTGCACAAGCTTTAACTTTATTTTAAAAAAAACTTTCATATGGTAAGGCCGGAATCCTTGATTTAAAAAAAATCAAAAAAAAAAAAAGTCAACTGGAAAAGTCAAAGTCAAAAAAAAATCAAATTGAAAAGTCAAAAAAAGACCCCCCCAAAAAAAAACGTCTAAAAAAAATATAAAGAAACAAACATGTCCAGGCAAGCGACTCAGGAGCAAAAGAATATATGGAAAACACAGGCAAAGAGGACAACAACATTGAACTAAACT